TTAGTATGCTGGAGTTACGTAGATCGGGAAAGAACACTGACAGCTACACCACTGCTATCAGCAAATAACTAACCATAATTTGCACTTGTTTCCTCTTGTTGTAAAGTTTTTTCCTTGTTCTCAGTTTGTATGATACAGCTTTTGTGGGCCTATATTTGTCCACACACACACCAACTGTGTAATGAGGGTATTAAATATACTTTTCAGTATTAAATACACTTTTCAGTTGCTAAAATGTATAGTGATGAAAATGCTTTGGCTGCAAACCGCATTTGAGAGTGGGCGTTGTCTTCTCTTCCTCTTGCATTGCTAAGTGACTGGGTTTGCCGCCTATAAAAGCACCTCTTGTGGATAGAAGAGACATCAATTTCGAGAAGGAGAGCAAGCAAACAAACAAGGACAGTTCTGATCTGCTAAGAGCACTGCTGGTGTAATAATAGATACTTTATTCCTGACGACTTGTCCACTAGCAGTTTTAGTTAATATTTATTATCAGATCCCAGCCCTTCATCAGCAATTCAACATGACTTCTTGCTACTACATATGGACGTGCTTGCTGCTCTCTGTAGCACTTTGCTGTAACGCTGAAAGCACAAATTTTAGTTGCACATCTAATTGGTGTGGAGAAAAATGGTGAGCTAATTAGACTAACTATCATTCCTAGTCTAAATTGCCAGCATGCAATCCCTGCATTCCTTGATATTATGCATTATTGCATTGTCTCTTTATTAGGAGAAGCACTGATAGAATATTAGTCTACAATTACACTGAAGAAGTAGAGAATGTGACATTTGTGAGGAACACAACAATCACTAGGAAGAACTGCACCATCATGGATCTGCTTCTATCCCCAAACACAGACAGATGGTAAGACAAAACACAAACCTCTCCAGCTTAAACTTTATGAATGAGCTGAATGATTAATTTGTCTAGCATCTCATTCATATGCGCATGTTTATCTGTTTCATTTTCATTTCTCTCTTGCAGTAAAACTGTCAACATGACAAAGAGTGAAACCATTACTTTTCAAGTCACCAGTCACAGACGAAGCACAGAGCCTGAGATACGTGAACTCCCAAAGGAGCTCACACTCGGCATCATAGCAACAGAAAACGTTGACATATTTGGCAATCAATCGAGAGACGCTTACAGCGAGCTTGAGGACAAAGTCTGGCAGATCTGGGTACCAAGAGGCTGCAGAATGGTAATGTTCTTCTCAGAGTTTGACTTGGAGTCTTCCCCAAACTGCTCCAAGGACTATTTTACGATCCAGAGCACCAAAAAGCAAGCAAAGATACCAAAGTACTGCGGAGGAATAAGCTCCGCTCCCAAGGACGTTCAGATCACTAAGAGGAGAGTTCAGCTTCATTTTCATTCTGACTCAGATGAAGTCCGATCAGGGATTCGTGCAACATTCTGCTTCCAGAAGAATAGAGATGTTGATCGAAGTGATGTCCTCTGTAACTGCAATGCTGGTGTTAGCAACCTCATTAAAAAGAGGCATGCTAAGAGCAGGAGCAATTCAGACAGCACAAAGAGTGGATCAAACTCAAAGTCAAAATCTAAGAAAAGTAAGTGAAATGAGCAAAGAGATACTTTCAGGGTTTATCATTTGTCTTCTTCTACTTTAATTAGCTAAATCAAAGAAGAGAAAAATGAGCAAAAAAGAAATGAAAAGACTTATGGCAGAGCAAGTAAGTTCTTCATACATTCACAACGTCTGCATGCATCTAGTATAACCACTCAACAGCTACTTTTATCATATCTTTCTTTACTTTTTACAGGATAGATTGGTTGGTCAGGGACTACGTGACATGATGAAGTATGGACTGAAGGCAATCAATGAGTACAAATACTCCTCAAATAAAGCAATGAGAATGCTAGCAGAGAAATATCAGGCAGCCCTTGACATGTCACTGGTATAATAGTAACTGATATAGCTCCATAATACTGACAAACTCTCTGCTAAAGATATAGAATTATTTATTAATCATTATGGATATTATTATTATTATTATTATGTGTATTATAATTGTGTATTTTTTTAATTTTTAATTATTTCAAAGTGATGTTTCATGATGTACATCCTTCCTAATAATATTCTTCATTCTCTTTACATCACTTGATGCCCTCTCATTTCTACATTCTTTCCAAAATGAACATTTTTATCTTCTCAATAAAAAAATTGTATCCTATTGCTACAAGCTAAGTTATAACAATTTGTCATGCAAGCAGTCTTACCACATCCGGCAGGATTAGTGCAGTATATTCTCTAGCTCACAGATAACAGGAACAATAAAAGAAGTGTATTATTGCAAGGTGGCCTAATGGGATAATTCTGAAGTATTGTTATGCTGATCTGTCAATATGAGTAGCTTGTAAAATGATCATTACATGCATTAATAGTTCACACACTTGATTTCGCATCAATCTCAAGTTATCAAGTCATCAGTATTTTACAATGACATGAAAAGAACATGAAACAAAGTTCAATGAATCCACAATGATGCATGCAGACGTTGATATTGTTAATGATTTAATCTCTTCTTAGCCAAAGCTGTCTGAAGCTGCAATAGTTCAAAGTCCTACAGTGGTATGGACAAAAGACATAACTTGTTACCTCCAACCTGTTCCTTGCATTTCTTTTCTCCCTTTCTCTCTATCTCTCATATTTACCTTCTCTGCTCCATAATTAGAGCCTTCATGTGTGTGTGTAGTTGAAACACGACTTAGATACACTATCTGCTCTGAGAGATCTTGCTCAATAGTCTAAAAAAAACAAGAACTCAATTAACATGATTATCATATATGCAATTAGTAAACCACAAATGAGGTGTAGTAACGAGTAATGTTACTGTGACAACTGGTATTTCAAAATGTGCTCTCATTTAATAATACTTTCTCAGGCTACACCCGACGTACCTACATGCATATCATAGCCCGGTGGCTCGAGCTAATGGATGCTTATTATAGTGTGGTGTCTGTCTCCTAGCAATACTAATTGGTGGGTATGAGCTCTTTTACACATTCACACAGTTGGTAAACTATACACAAACATGCCTACTGTATACATTTCCTGTGTACATGGAGTGTAGTATACCCACTTCAAGGGATTTAAGGAAGTCCTTAGTTTTGTATTCCACCATCTCTTGTGCTGGATTAGGTTTGGAGAGCTCACCTATTGCATCTGCAGCATGGGATAGGAGCATTCCTATTTCCTACAGCGTTGATTTACACAGTAAATGAACAATGATTATAATTAATTCAATAATGTGGGAGGGTAATTGGCTTAGCACATTTCTGCTTGTCTACATACAAGTTTACTTTAGTACATTATGCATCACATTGTAAAATTTAATTGGTTTTATCATTTCACCTGCTCAATTTTCTGGAGCTTTTCAATTCTTTCCACTCCAGTGGAAGACATCTTCAGGTTTTTAGGCGTGGCTGAAGTTGAGCCACGCCCATCTTCATCACTCACGTGTAGTCAGCCATTTCACTAATTTCAGTTCTCTCTTCATTAAAAAATGGTCTTTTAAGAGGATGAGCAGGATAAAAGAAGTCCTAGGACATAGTTTAAAGGAGCAGGAACAGAATAGAGTGGATCAAAATGAAGAAGGAGAAGGGAGAAATGGTTCTAACTTTAATGTCGACTCCCATTTGTCAATACATTGTAAAAGATACTTTGACAATAGGGTGGAGTTCTCTCCAGCTCGTCACCCTGACACGCATCTAGAGTCACTTAAAGACAAATACCAACCGATTAACACCTTGGACAACAAAATGGACTCAACTTCTGACACCCCTTCTACTCCTCTAGCGGTTCAATCCGAAATACCAAAGCCGAAGAAGGTTCTTTTTGATCCAGATTGTCTGTTGATGAATTGGACAGAGTCACGGCCCATTGGCTCTGGTCTAAGTAACATGGGGAACACTTGTTTCCTTAATTCCGTCCTTCAGTGTCTCTCTTATACGCCCCCGCTTGTTAATTACATACTTTCTGGACATCATAAAAATAAATGTAAGATGTTATTATTATTATTATTATTATTGTTATTATTATGCCAATTTTTCTCAAAAATGAAAATGAGGGAATCTTCTATTTTTATAATTTTTTTCTAGTACATATACATGTTCTTATGTTGTGTTTCAAGTTTGGGCTGATTCCGATTATATTTGAATTTTTTATGAATTTTTGAAGTTCCTTCAAAATTGGGTCAAAGTCCCTGTACTATAGTACAGGGTCTCGAGCCAAATTTTGCCAAAAATGGCAAAGAGAGAATTATCCATTTTTATAATTTTTTCTGATGCATGTACATGTACTTATGTTGTGTTTCAAGTTTGAGCTGATTCCAATCAAAATTGGATTTTTTGTGAATTTTTAAAGTTGTCTTTTTGTCCTCAGGCACTCATCAAGGTTTCTGTGCCATGTGTGAGTATCATTCTCATCTCGTGAGGGTCAGAAAGTCAACGGGTGTGGTCAAGCCAATCCCTATTGTTCACAACTTGAGAGGTGAGAAAGAGGGAGAGGGAAAGAGAATGAATTAATAGCAGCTGCTCAAGAAACTACTATCACCTTTAACTTTTAAACAATTCACATTATTATGACTTCTACATCTGTACATGGTCATCATTGTACACTGACTCTTTTTAATTTTAATTTTATCATTCTTTCTCTTTTTTCTTACTCCAACAGTTTTTGCTAAGCACTTTCGTAATGGTCATCAAGAAGATGCCCACGAGTTCCTCAGGTACTTCATAGACTCCCTTCAAAGGATATCCCTCATCGGACACCAGCCATCAAAACTTGACGTCTTCTCTAAACACACCACAGTCATTCATCAGATCTTTGGAGGATATCACAGGAGCCAAGGTACAGCCTGTTTACCAGCTGTTCCTCTTTTCACCCTGTGTGCGTGTGTAGTGTGTATTTGTGATTATGTCCATCTCTTTACTTCTCTTGTCACTTCCTTCTTTCCTTTTCGGTCTCCAACACTCCATCCCTTAATTCTCCTTATATTTATGTACATGTACATATCCCTGTTGATGTACACGTATAACTCATTGCTTAATGAAGTGTAGTACTACTTAGAGTAGTAACATATGGGGTTTAGAAATCAATTTCACTGCTACTGGACGCTCTGATTGTACAACACCTCGTAACCTCTGTTTCTTGGGCTTCCTACTCCTGTTTGTTGTTATGGCTATCTTCAGGCTTCCTGCTTGCATGACATAATCTGCTAATGACTCCACAGGCAAAATACCAGACACTCAAAGCTGTTTTGAGATGTATACTGTTTCACAAGGTGACATCTGTATATGCATCACTTGCAAGGAGATCTAGATTATGTGTACATGTGCCCATGATGCTTGTATATATGTTAGTACATGTTATACAGACTCTAAAGGTAGTGAGGTAGTCACAGCAGCAAAATCCTAGGACACACATTGGAACCATGAACTATTATTTGTGGTTTCTCATGCCCTGGTGACTTTAAACTAATTTTTACGACAAACACACACACATACACACTCATTGATTACAAAGCAATGATAGGTTGTGTGTTACGTGTAGTTTAATTGTGAAGGATTGTAGTCACATTTAGTGTTTATAAGCTGTTTCTTGTTTTTGATTATTTATTTTATTAATTTTATTTATTCATTATTATTATTATTATTATTATTATTATTATTAAATTATTATATTTCTACTTTCCCTGGTGTTACAATACATCTTTTTTTTGTTATAGTTAAATGTCTCAAGTGCAAGCGTTTTTCTAATACGTATGATCCTCTCCTGGATATTAGTCTTGATATAAAAGGCTGTCCCTCGCTCCAAAAAGCTCTGTTCTCTTCGATCAAGCCCGACCTATTAGACGAAGAGAATAAATACGCCTGCCCATTGTGAGCTTTTAAATTTGTTTATGTTTACAAATTTGTTGTTGTTGTTGTTGTTGTTGTTTTTGTAGTTGTAAGGAGCTCACAAGAGCAAAGAAACAATTAACTGTTCACGTTTTGCCAAAAGTGTTGACCATCCAGTTAAAGAGGTGAGGGTACAGATTACTAGTGAAGATTTTAATCTTCTGCATGAATAGGTTTGAATTTAACACAATGTTTGGTGGTAAGATCAACAAGACAGTACAATATCCAGAGCATTTGGACATGCGACCTTTTATGAGTGACAAAGAGGTATGATGCTAATTTTTAAATTTGATATTATCATTTTCATAATTTTAGGGCCCACACGAATGGTACAGACTATATGCAGTTTTGGTCCATTATGGCTACTCCTGTCACTCTGGTCATTATTATTGCTATGTTAGGAATTCCAATGGTGTATGGTACTCAATGAATGACTCTATGGTAAGGTGTACATCTTTTTAGCAATTCATACAACTGTATATCAATTGCTCTTTTTTAATGTCATTTGAGTGTTCATATGTTTATTGTGTGTAGGTTAATCAAGTCAGTAAAGCAACAGTTCTATCCCAGCAGGCCTATCTGCTCTTTTACATCAAGGACTCAGAATATGCTGGCAAAACTCCGTCTTCTACTCCTACTCTCTTGCCTTTCTCACCGTCACAGGTTAGATTTTTATTTTTGACAAAAATAATTATCATTTAAATTTTTTAGAAGAATCAGCCCATATCTTCGAAAGGCAAGCACTATTATAAATTATTGCTATTTTATTATTATTATTTATTATTATTATTATCATTTTATAGTAAGTGCTACTGGTGTTGGTGTACCAGTTAAACGACCTGATAATGAAGGGGTCATCCCTTCTCCACTAACTCCTTCAAAACCAACTGGTGTTGTAACTCCATCTCCAAAATACACCTCAGTCCCTCCTCCTCCTTCTCTCACTAGTGACGCTAGTATCTTCAATACTGGTGGTAGTAAGAAAGTCGAATTGCCTGCTTTGTCAAACAAGCCTTCTCCCACTCCTCCAGTCATGCCCTCTCCCTCTGATAATCCTCCTTTACAACCCTCTATTCAGACCACGCCTATTCCATTTTCAACTCCACCCAGAAGTACGACTAGCATCAAATTTACTCCTAGATCAGTTTCAACGTCAAAATCAAAGTCAGTCTTGTCAGCTGACGAAACAGGTAAATCAGTAAAGCCCCATGCATTGGTACAGCCAATGAGATCAGTAACTGCTAAGAGACCAGTAGCACGTGTACTACCGAGTCCTCAACAGGTCACGAAGAGTGATAGTACTTTAAGTGACCAGCTTGAGTCTCCTGCCTCAAGCACTGTCTGTGATAAGAAGCTAAAGGAGAATGAGGAGTCTACTCATATTAATGGTGATAATGTTGATAGTAGCACACAGCCAAGCCCTGCTCCTACTGTTAATAGAGATGTAGAACATGATAAGAAAAATGAAAAAGATGTAAAGAGTAGCAAAGATGACGATTTAGCAAAGACGGAGTGTGAGTCGCCGAAACAGGATTGGGTAGTGTCGAACTCTCCATCCACTTCATCTCTCCCCACCATGTTTGGTCCATCCTTACCGCCTGATTATGTTCAAAGTTCTTCTCCTAATAATTGGACAGTGAGTGATATGAAGGAACGTCTTGTCTCTCGGAAAAAGAAACACTCTCACAAGAAGACTGCATCAGTCTCGAAGGCCAGCCCTGATGAGAGTAGTATTGAGAGCAGTGATACAAGCGGAGGAAGAAAGAGAGGCAAAGATGAAAGACACAAAGAAGAGAGAAGGATTAAGAGAAAAAGAGACAGACTTAAGGAAAAAGAAAAGAACAGGTCAAAGGAGAAAGATCATATTAAAGAGAAAAAAGAGAGAGATAGATCCAAGTCTTCCAAGAGAGACAGTGTTAAGGAAAGAGAAGAACCCAAGAAAAGAGAGGATAGTGACAATGAGAGAGATAGCTCCAAGCATCACAAACTATCGAAAAAGAGAAGACACAGGGATAGGAGCTCCTCTGATGAAAGTGATGAAGAAGAAATAGAGAAAAAGAGAAGGAAACAGACTGAGCATTCACACAAGAAACGTAAGAAGCACCACAGTAAGAGACACCATTCCCGCCACAGTGACAGTAGTGATGATGAGAGCCACGATGGGAGACGTAAGAAGCGACAGAAGTCACCCTCACCTTTCACTCCTCCTCACTCAAAACAATGGAAGAAGAGTGATGATAGAAGCAGAGGAAGAGATAAGGACGAACTATTCAGAGAGAAGGCAAGAAGAGGAATGGAAGAATTCAGGAGAATGAAAGAGAGTGACAAACTTTTTGATGACTGTTTAAAAAATAAAGGTATGTGATAAGAGAGTTGAGAAACGGAGACATTATTGTCTTTTATTGCATAGGATCTACTAGTGTAACTGAGATCAAATGGGATTCAAAGAGATCAAGTCGTCGTCATGATTCCACGAGCTCTGGTGAACCTAATGTTCTTGATTCACTTGATAAATCTGATCAGCTAGGAGATGGAGGTATAATATACATGTAGTGCATATGCAACCATGATCCATTGAGCTCTAATGTTGTACAATAGTATTTACTTCTTTTGTTCCTTCTCTCTCAGTCAAGACATGGAGTGGAGAGAAGAACAGCATAGACTCCATTAAAACCTCAGAGATTCCTTCAAGAAGGAAAGGTGGTAGAGATGATTGGGACAGAGAGATTGACAGAGGAAAGGTAAGAAGCCTATAGCTTGTAGTAGCACATAAAGTTGTGTGCTAATTGTAGGTAAAGAAATCCAAGGGACGACATAATGAGAGCTGGGACTCTAGGAACAAGTTTCAAAGTTATCAAAATAAGAAAAACTTCCAGAATAATAAAAAATTTTAAATTTTTCACAGTGATGATTTAAATCATGTTATGGTACAAAATGATTGTTATTATTTTAAAGCAGTCAGTACTAAGTTTCTAGGCGAGACAAGTGGATTAAAAACTGGTTGAAGGGAGCACTTTATATCTATAACAAGACAAAAAAACATCAATTATTATTGTAATTGTTGTATACTTTTTTCCTTCAAGAACAAGAGTCTGTCTAATAATATTAGTGTTTCAATGCAAGGAGCTATGACTAATCTTAGCAAAAAATACATGACAATATTTTGCCATTGATCATCAATCAACTGATTTATCATCACCATATCACCTGCATGCACACGGAATGGCAATGTAACGAGTGCATTTTAATGTCTTTACTTTCATTGAGATGGCTCACATTAACTGACTGAAGGACAGCTGCTGCATAGCTAAAAGACAATTAGAATTATCCTTACTCTCACTTCTTTGTCTTACTTGTTGAAAGGTAGTTTTGATACTCTCTTAGGGATCTTAAGCTGTGGTCTCCTCAGTCCATTCTGTATGCAGCAGCATAATGCATTACTGCAAAATTATCATGTACTCTTTCACTCACTTTTTTGAAAATAATTTCTAAAGCTGCTCTCCAGGAGTGTATTTTCAAATGATCTGATCCTTCTGCATTGTCATGAAGTTCATCATTCAAGCAATCATCAGTTACATTACTGACCTTGTAATCTCTTCATGTAAACTTCTTTAGAGTGACATGCAAGCTCTCTGGCCTCATAACTGAGTCTATGGTTTGCTAAAGAGGAGCTCATAGGGTACCCCGAGGGAAGATGAGGCTCTTCTGTTTTAAATAGTTTCATATAACAGCAGCCTACTGACACCAACCCTGTAATACTCTCACTCTCACTAAAGAGTCTCAGCATTGTAGTGGATAGATTGCCACAAGTGTGTAGACCAACTAGTACATACTCTTCTCTTTTTTTGCTTTCACTTGACAAGAACAGTGACATTACTTCTTCAGGTCCTGCTTCAGGATCTATCTGTAGTAAAAAAGATTTTTAAAGTTTAAAAGTACAAAAAGAGCTAGACATACCATTTGCTCAATGTATGAAATATTTCCTTTCTTTGTCTCGTCATTTTTGAATGTTTTTTCAATATCTGCAGTAATTTGTCTACAAATGCAATTGTGTAGTTCATTATTATTGTTCATTATTATTATTATTATTATTATTATTATTATTAACATCATACTTGTCATATAGGAGTGCTGTTTTCAAATGGCAGCTAACAGCTTCTACTGCAATAACATTAAGCTGATAATGGTACGCCAGGTAACGAGATAAGTGACCCTGCATTGATAAATGATATTTTTTTCACATTGTATATAACCCATCTAACCTGGCCACACCCTAGATCCTGTACAAATATGAGTTAATTATTAATAATAAATAATTATTTAACTCACAATTACATTGCAGCACTTTGTATTTTCGCATACTTCATTTATAATCTGAACAATAAAAAAATTATTTTTAAAAAATCCTCCCACAAACTTTGGCTAGTTCCTTTATTTCGTGTTGTTTCTTTGGCTTCACGTGACGACGAAATAAGTGGCTCAATCCTGACACCTGAGACCCATATTCACACGCTCTTCCTCCTCCTCCTAGAGGCTCAATGGTATCCTTATCATCTATTGGAGTGTATGGATACGAGAGGGAAGCTGCTGTAGCTGAGAATGCTAATAAACTAAGAGGTAGGATGACTGCTGTACATTTTGAGTGAGATTGATCAACTGCAAATCATGAATTGAGGAAGTTATTATTATTATTTATTATTATTATTATTACTATTATTATTATTATTATTCATTATTATTATAACTGATATGCAATCTCACTATTTAGAGAAGGAGAGTCTATTTTAAGCATTTGGTGACAGAATCCCTGGAGGCTTATCTTGCTAAGTGAGACCTGCCATGAATTGGGCAGTTTATTCCAATGAGATTCTGTGAAATATTCCTAGAAGTATAATACAGATGAGTCCCAGTAAAAGGACTGGGATTTACAATAATGTAACTGTCCATCAGCGGCTGATGCATGTCCAGAAATTGGCATAATAACTTGCTCCACTGCAAATAAAATGCAAAATCAGAAGTGCTCATTTTGATTTGAAGCCACACCCCTAAAAATTATGAAAGGCGTGGTTGCTTTATTTTTAACCTAAAACATGGCCGCACCTGAAGATGTCCTTTATCTTGAAGCAAGGTAAATGCCTCTTTTAGAAATTGCTAGTTTTCTCTTGTCTCCTTAGAGCTGTATACGGTAGAGAGTTTGATACGTGGGTTGCTAGTCTCATACAGATTCTACAGTCCAAGGATCGCGGAATCAACTGCCTCTCGTTCTTAAGGCAACTTCTTGTACTTGCTTCAGTCACCAAATACAACAGAAAGTCTGTTTTATGTTTTATTAATTTTTTATAATATTTCTTTTAGCTTGTCGTCACATGTTTATCGTAGCCTGAAGGCGATATCGTTAGAGCCTGACCAAGGACAGGCTAAGATACGAATTCTAGCGGCCGCAATCTTGAGGGAACTCTCGCCCCTCCAAAAGACGCTATTACGGGATTTTGTTGCACCAACTGATCCACAGAACATACCGTACATAATACCAGTACTCCTGGCTCAGGTTAGCTTAGCACTGGAACAGGTGGAATATTTTTTAAAATGTTCTCTCTTTTCTTATAGTCTAATGTAAGGGAGCAGTCTACATTCCTCATTCTTCACATTTGCAGGTATCCTTATCTTCTTGCAGCATGCTTTTCCCAAAAATTGACTCCGAAATTACTTCCAATTTTCATTACATTTTTTGATACACATCGATGTCCTTATGCTATGTAGCAAGTTTGAGCTGATTCCGACAAATATTTTTCGAGTTATGGCCATTTAAAAAAATCGGCCAATTTTCAAAAAATACCCAAGGCTATAGCCCATGGTTTTTTCCAAAAAATGGCTCAAAAATCACCCCCAATTTTTATTACATTTTCTGATACATATTGATGTACTTATGCTATGTAGAAAGTTTGAGTTGATTCTGACTTCAATTTTTTGAGTTATGGCCATTCTGATTTCTGAAAAAGCCCTGTACTATAGTCCATGCTTTTGTCCAAAAAGCTTTCCTTATTATATATTATATTTTCTTATGCATCTTGATTCATACTAATTATTACTAATGCTCATTGTTTGATATTGAAGATGGCTGTCTTTACCTGGTATTGAAGAGGACTTGTGTCTCTCTGCTCTCTCTGCCCTTCACACTATCATCTCTCACTCAACAGTCTTTGATAAATTTAGTGAAGGTAATGATTCACAGTGTAGCAATTATACTTCAAAAAACTTGCTGAACATTATTGCATTCCAATCCATCTTATTTTTTAGATCAAGTCGAATTGGTTCACTCTAAACTGTGCCAGTGGTTGAAACAAGCTAGCAGGAACTCTCTCTCCCTTACCTCCTCTTTATTTAGCAGTGGAGGGAAGAAACAAGTACATTTAAAAAAACTGATTGTCAACAAATTGTTTATTTTTGTACGCACACCCAAATTCCTCCCTCTCTCCTTCTCTTCTATAGGTCGTTCCAGTGAAGGAAATTGATGGATCTACTGCTCAAGATATATTCACAATCCTCAGCATTGGTAAGTATACATGAAATGCATGTTCACTTACATTTATACATGTATCTGCATGTATTCTGATTTTGTAGGTGATTTTTATTCATGCGATCAGTTGCTAAACATCAAAGCATTCTCGATGCTTCGTCGTTGGATACTCGTCTCTCGTAAGTCAACACTAGCTGGACACTCTCCTTCTCCTGGGGCCACACCTACTCCTGAAAGCTTCTATCAAGTCAGTAATAGTAACAATAAGATATTATTATTATACCATTAATAATAATATTATGGCCTTGATTAGTAATATTATTATGCTGTGTTATTTATTAATAATACCATACGCTATTAATTAATTGTGTTATCGTTCTATTACTCAATATGTTTTATCTTGATTCTTTTCTTCCTTTGCTTTATTTAGGATCGTGATCGTAGTTCTCCTCCCTTTAGTAGTCTAACAGTTTCGATGGTTGGAAGAACTGCTACTCCTCCATCTCACACCTCCACGCCCTCTCTCACCCAGTCCCTCTCCTTACGTACAGCGACTGATGCTCCTGATATCACTAGTGTAGCACTCCAGTACTGCATGAGAGTGATCAACCAGTGCGAGAGGAGTAAGTGGGACTTACTCTGTGTTTTATATTAATATATTACATGAGCTGTAATTTTTATAATAATAATAATAATAATAATAATAATAATAATAATAATAATAATAGTATTTATTTTTTTATTTTTTTAGAGCCACTGAAGAATACTGATGACGAACTGATAAAAGCAGTAAGAAATATTGATATTATTGCACACTTAAAGGATTCTAAAATTCTTTCTTTCTTTACTTAGTGTTTATACGAGTCGGTTGAATTGTTGGATTTATTGTGTTCCTTAAAAAGGCGAGTAATCCACGAGGTACTGGCAACAGTTAAAACCTTATTTACTCGTATATCACAAGATGAGACCTACACTAGAGTACTGCTGGCTCTCGTCAAATTCTTTATTAATCATGGTGAGTGGGTGTGATCTATTATTATTGATATTATTATTCAATTACATGCACTTACTGTAGGTGAATCTGAATATAGCTACGAACCATCAGTTCAGACATTTTTTGGTGACGTACTTAGCAATAAATTCAATGAGTGAGTGATGAAAATTTACTATAAGTACATGTACTACTTGTACATCTTAAAAATGGCTCCATACCTAAAAATACCCTGTACAGGGCATTTTGTCAAAAATGGCAAGGAGAGAATTCTCCATTTTTATAATTTTTTCTGATACATATACATGTTTTTATGCTGTGTTTCAAGTTTGAGCTGATTCCGATTATATTTGGATTTTTTATGAATTTTTAAAGTTGCTCCAAAATCGGACCAAAGTCCCTGTACTATAGTACAGTGTCTCAAGCCAAATTTTGCCAAAAATGCCTAGATGAGAATTTTCCCTTTTTATAAATTTTTCTGATGCATATACATGTTCTTATGCTGTGTTTTAAGTTTGAACTGATTCTGATCGTATTTGGATTTTTTATGAATTTTTTAAGTTGATCCAAAATTTGGTCAAATTTTGTCAAAAATGGTTCCAAGACTGATTTCTCATTTAATACATGTCTGCATACATGTACATATTAATAAGTGTGTTTCTCACTTGTAGTCCTGGGATAGCCTATGATACTGTTGATTTCTGTATTTCTAATTTGGAGAAGCTGTGCAGCTCTACATCAATCCTTACCAAATATTTCCCCAATCTACTTAAGGTAAATCATCTGTGATCAATCATCAGAAATCAGTGATTAGATCAATCAGTGATCAGAAATCAGATCAATCAATCAATGATGTCAATGTGTTGTTTTTTCACTTTTTCAGATTCTTGCCTGGTCACCGTCAACATACATTTCAGAGTTTGTTGAGCTCTTGCCAGCTTTTATCAGTGAGACAACTGCATCTGAGGTTAGAGAGAGAGTATAATCCAGACCTTCACTTCTATTTTTCATATTTTTAGGTTCTACACAGTTTGTTGGATCTACCTTGCCTCTCTGCTGTCTTAACTGCCAATTACCTTCTAACTAATGGTACATACATTGCATGCTGCTGTACATCATGAATAGTGTCTATTGTTGCTAGTTCCATTGGCTGTTGAGCAAGGTCTGCTCCCTCAATACACAAAGTGTTTGCTAGCATTGCAGGATCAGACTCATAAGCTAATGTTTGGACATTTTCTAAGAGTTGAGAGTGGCAGAGGAGACACCATTGACAGGTATTGAGGATGCACAGCACAAAAAAACACGCAATCTTACTTTTTCTCTTCTCTTGTCAAGGTTGAGTTATATGCATGAGATATTGGAAGATTTCAATGGTCACTTGAGAGTAGTCAGTGCTGGTGATGTAGTCCCTTTATTGCTAAAGTGAGAAGAGTGCAACTCTACAAATGTTGGAGCTATTAATCTTTTTTGCTACAATTTTTTCACCTCCAGGATGTTCTTTAAAGTGGTAATACATTTTGGTTCAAAGACTCTTCTCTCTGAACTATTCAATGTTCTACTTGAGAGAAGTCTCTGCCTTTTCGACATTCCTTCGTACAATGATGAAGTCAGAAAGTAAATATTTTTTTTATTTTGAAATAAAGCTCCCAACTTTCACTTCTCTCTCTCTTTCTCAGAGTTGTTGCCGAGAAAATGGTCGACATATTCAAAACCCATCCTTCATTGTTGGTAGAGAAGTCTCACGACATTAATGAAGTCCTAATGAACCTCAGGACACTAAAGGCAGGCGGAGGAGAAGTCTATCTTCACTTGGTAAGAGATCAATGGATTCCAATTAATGTCTGTCACCTGATACTCATGTGGTGTTTCCAGGTATGGATAGTGGGAGAGTTTGCACACACTGGGTATGACTCAAGATGTTCAGCAGCTCTTCTCTCTAAATTCTTTGAAGTAAGACATCAATTAATTTACAATAAATACATCTTACATGTACATATGCACTGCACTACAACATCTTTTTTTAAATTTTTTAAATGCATGCATAAAAGTACAATTAAAATATCTTTCTCTCCCTCCCAGACGTTAGAGATGGTTGGTTATGAGATATCGCAGCACATTGGTCAGTTCAGTGGTTACACTGTCCGTTTGATGATGGTACTAATGAGCACGTTAGCTAAGCTAGCCTCACGTTGTCAGGATCTAATACCACGCGCTCTGCTATCACTCAACAAGATTGTTAATCAGAGCATAGTAAGTCAATCGCCTCCTCCTCCTCCTCATTCTCTCTCTCTCTTATTTATTTTAGCAAAATATTTCAGCTGTTTCTCATCGAAAGCTCATATTCACGAGAATGAGTGAGCTCAGTAATATATTAAAAATGCCGAGTGTTGCATCAGCTGTTCTTACTCCTCCCCCCAACTGTTGCAACCCTGAGGAGGTCCTACGTCAGATGAACATTGCTACCATAATGCAGTCCACTACTTCATTAATATCTGGAAACAATCTGCCAGCCACTGTCACGCTTTCACCTACAGCTGCTACTTGATCACTTTTGGACAGGGTACACGTACATGTACATTGCTATCATTGAAAATAATAATAATAATGGTTATAAAAATAAGTGCTCTCTAACAGGTAAAAATTATTATTATTATTATTAAAGACTGACTATAGTTTAAAATTTTTATATATTATTATTATACTGTAATGTTATCTTTTGTGTGGTTTTGTGTTTAAAATTTTGCTGTCTGCTAACAAATAGATATTTTCATTCTGTTGTCTACCATACAAGTGCAGGCTCATCTCCCCCTTTTTCCTTGTCATCTTCTCCTCCTTTTGATTTCTTCTTTTTGATTGATCTCTGCTGCTTCTCTTTCTTCTTCTTTTCCTTTAGCTCCTTCTTCTTCGCCTTCTCTCTCTCTTTCTCCTCCTTCTTGCTTGCTTTTGTCTTTTTTCCTGTGCTCTTCTCTTCAGATTGCACCGGTACATTTATGTCATCTGAGTCTTCCTCAGCTCCTCTGCCTCCTCCAGTCTCTGTCATTGGTGTATTGATTTCATCAGAGTCATCAAACCCTCTACTGTCAACTCTAGCAAACCTGTCCAGTTTTACTGGCTCTATTGGCTGTAGGCTTTCTTCATCTGTACCTGCAGTGTACATGAAATAATGAATAAATGCAAGTAAAAATGTGCCAATCTTTTGAAAATGTACATAGCCCATGCTTTTTCTAAGAGACTTTCCCCGATACATATTGATGCTCTAACACTGCCTGTTTCTTGATATTACCAAGAGTACATATATACCTATGTCATCTTCTTCAGCTGGTAGAGGAGGTGGTAGGGAAACTTCCTCTTCATCTTGCAGTTCGGTAGCGTACGGGTTGGTTCTGTTGATAACCTCATCAGTTGGATATACTCCAGGTGGGGTTGCAACTGGCTCAGACTCTTCCCAATCAACTATAAAAGGAAATAAAAATGATGAAAGCAGTGTAGTATTAGATCATTATTTTAATGTTAACTTTGTTCATTTGGCGTGAGGTCTGGAGGTAAGTCCTGAGGTGGTAATGGTGGCTCTTCTTCTTCTTCTTCTTCTTCTTGAGAGAACTGAGTTGGTGGTAATGGAGCAGATCTAACTCCATCAGTCTGCTCATCTTCATCATAATCATCATCAAATGAATCCCAACTCTATGGAATAAAGGGCATATTGTGTGTACATGTATATGAAATGCATGTATGATATATATGCTATACCTCTCTGCTGTATCTATAAGACTCTCTCTGTGATTGAGGCTGGGATGGCAGTTGTGATGGAGGATGAGGAGGTGGTATAACTCTTTCATCCCAGGACTCCTCATCATCTGAAGGAGGTGAAGCATGAGCTGCTGCAGGTGCTGGAGGAGGACCTGATGGATAGAATATGTCATCCATGTCACTAATGTCACTGTGTTCATCTTTATGGGGTACTACTGGGACTGATGTTGGTACAGGGTCTCCTGTCACCTTCTTTTTGCTCTCTGTTTCTTTCTTCTTGCTACCTTTTTTGCTTTTTTCTTTCCCTCCTTTACTGTCTCTTTTTCCTGACTTTTTGCTCTTCTCTTCTGCCTGGACCACTTCTTCTCTTACTTCTGCTTCTACTGTTATCTTTGTCTCTTTCAATTTTCTGTTTTCTTCACCTCTCCTCTCATCTCGTTTCTCTTCCTTTCCTTTCTTTTCCTCCCTTGCTGATTTTCTGCTTCTTCCTTCTTCGCTCTCTCCTCCATCACTCTCCATTGTCAAACTTGTTGCCAGCAATGGCTCTTGACTTGATTCACGTTGGGGTCTGCCTGACTTTCTCTTAGTCTTGGCAGCTGCTTTAAGTCGTATTGATTCCTTGGCCTCCATACCTCTTGTATTGAGTGTGACATTCTTCAGAAGAGTCAACACACTTGCCATATTTGGTCTCTCTCTTTCACGTTTCCAGCACTTCATCATTATAGCAAACCTATAAAATAGAGTGTATATGTATAGGTATATTAACAATAACTTACAGTGCACACAATGGATCAAATGTTGGGACTGGATTCCTCAAGTTGCAGTATTCTCTTCTAGCCACTTGCTCTATGACCTCTTCATCTGTCATGTCTGGGTATGGCTGCTCAGCAAATGTACTCACTTCCCATAGTGTAATGCCAAATGACCTATAAACACAGATTAGAATCAGCTCAAAATTTCCATAAAGCACAAAGGCGTTGATATGTATAAAAAATGTAACATAAATTGAGAGTTTTATAGAGTGCAAAAAGCTTATAGCTCATGAAAATGATCATAGTTCAACCATTATATGCATAGTATATTAATTTATACCATATGTTGCTGGCTGTGGTTTCTTTGGTTGATTTTATCATTCCCTTTACTTCAATAAAGACCTCTGGAGCCATCCATCTTATTGGCCATGCTGTTTGACCTGGTGTTCTTGAATAATAGTCTCCCTATAGAAATTAAATTTTATAAAGCATTAAGGAATGGGGCCAAGGGATTAACCCTAAAGAGCTGTCTTGATAGTCCATAGTCTCCAACTTTAATTCTGTTATTAGCACACACAAGACAGTTCCGTGCAGCAAAATCACTGAAAAACACCAATGATAAAGTTATTTATAAGTATAGTATATATACTTACCTGTGTGTGATGGAGTTTTCATGGAGATAGTTCAGTCCTTCTGCCATCTCAATTATCATTTGTAATAGGCTGCCGTCTTTTTTCATCATTTCCATGTGTGACCTTTTATTGATAAGGAATGTTTTAAAGTTTCCATTGGCACAGTCTTCTAGGACAATCAGCATATTGTCACTGTCCACACACACTCCAAGCAAATGAAGAACATTGTCGTGTTTCAGATTCCTACATAATAGTAATAATAGTAATAATAGTAATAATAGTAATAATAGTAATAGGATTATTATGCATACATGAAAGAGTAATAGAATATATACTTCTTACCTCATCTTTTCTGCTGGTTCTAAGAAATCTTCAAGTTCATCCTCAGTTGCATTTCTGTGGCTTTGCTATTGGAGGAGAGCAATAATAATGCAGTGTTAAAATATTGTTTTCGCATATATATATACCTTTACTATAACATCAGTGACTCTCTCATTTGGTAGTACATCACTTGCTAAGCCTTTAAAAACCTACAATAAGTTTTAATGAGTGTGTATGCATATAGGCCTATACTTTTCCAAAGCTCCCTTCTCCTATCTCTTTCATAAGCTGGATCTTTCTAGATGGCATTTCATACTCTTCCATAAAATTGTCTCTGGGCTCTTCCTCACTCTCCTCCTCCTCCTCCTCTTCCTCCTCACTCTCTTCCTTCTCCTTTTGTCTCTCCTCATAGGTAGGCTTGTGTACAATAGGTTCCTCTTGTTTCCTAGTTTCTTGTGCAGTAGGAGTCTTTTTAACAACTTGTGAGTAAGTGTAATCATCATCTGCTGGATTGTATGATGAAACTTGTGGGCTGGTTTCTCTCATTTCCATTTCATTGTTGCTATGGTGTAGTTTGGAACGACTCCCAGATGAGTAAGTATTCCTACTAGGTTGATAGGAACTGCCTGACTCAAGATTTCTCTAAAAATATCAAGATATCAATACACAATGCATTACAATTATTCTATGCATACTTCATTAACATTATAGTTTCCTTTGCTTTCTTCATCTCCATTGCATTTCTTACGTATTTTATACACAACGATGCACAAGGCTATCAGTACTATTATGATCAAAGTCCCACCACATGCAACCAGTAATCCAAATATTGCTGAGAATGGAAGCTCTGTTGGTGGCCAGAGCGTGACACAGTTTTGTGTCACTGTCTCTGGGGCAGAGACCTCATCACAGGAATTGATGGTACTAGTTTGATAGCAGGAGCCACACAAGCCTGGATTGGAAGGGCCAAGGCATCCAACACCACTCTGACAGGAACTGTGACAAGTTGTAGAAGCTGTGAACAATACAAAAAGAGTTGTGGTTTAGTCATGAATGTCATTAGTATTATTTAGAGCAACCCACGATAGCCTTGTGTAGTTTCATGCATTTATAAATAGCTTTACAATTTCCATTATGTAACCAACACTAACTGTGTGGCTTTATTCAATAAACAATAAAAATTTTTGTAAGGGCAAGAGCCCTGCTATTATTTATTATATTTATGAACTACTGAATATAACTGACATAAATCTTACCACAAGTTGAATAATTCCCATTGCCCTGTATATTGAGTGTTGGGACTCCATTTCCACCCCAAGTGAACTGCCAACTGTATTGAGTGTTTAACTTGCTTCTCCAGTCAATCCCCTTGTCTCCTGTAGAGTAGCGTGACTCATACGACCCATAGCTCCATCTTGGATAGCCACTATAGCACAACTGTGTGTTTCCTTCAATGTGAACCGTCCCATAATTTATTGTGTCTAGCGATTGAAATCCACTGATATCGGTTAGTATTGGATTATACAATATCCTCAATGCATGACCATTGACTAATTGGTTCCCTTCTATTGATATGAGGTTTGTGAGTCCCCTTATACTTCCCAGTGAAGGATTGTAACTGATTGATACATAGTTGCTAATCCTGTTGATCTGTAGAACGTCGATCGAATGCAGGAGCTGGTTTTGTGCTATTTCCAAGCTACCAACAGTTCCCAGTATGAGTCCAGCAATGCTTCGCAAGCCTGTGTTGTAGTATATTCGCAGTGCTCCCTGTATTTGTGTAAGCCTTGGTATGTTAGGAAAGACAGAGAGAGTGTGACAGCATTGGACTATAAAGGATCCTGTGATTGCCTGTAGATTGCTCAGTGCTGAGAAGTCAGTTATTGTGCAGGACCGGGTACAGAACTGGTCTCCCATCACTAGACTCCCGTTTATTTGCTGGCAGTTTGAGAATACGTTGAGGTCCGTGTTGCTGTAAAGTGTATTCTGAGGTGCCTGACATACTGTGGAAGTTAAAGAAGTAGATATGATGCACTATGCAATTGATCTAATTGTTAATGACTTACTTGGTTGTCCAAGGCTAAGACATGCTATGGACAAAATAAGGAGACCAATAGAAACGTTTGTATTCATTTTGTTCCCCTGCTTCATTCAAAACACTGAGCCCCGCCCTATTTTTTTTGCTGCAAAAAAATTTTGGGCGTGGCACGCGAGAATACGCCCTTCTCTTTTCGCTGAGAAGACGCGCGCTCTTTCTTTTTTCTAGTTTAGGAGTAAACTGAAGGGCCTTTTGGCTTGCTAAAAGTTTTTTTAAAGTGAGGCAAATGCCAATACTTATAAATTAATTGCAGGAATAGCTGCAGCTCTTGTAGGCCCGGAGGAGGATGGCGGACGATGAACAAGATGGAGGAGCTGGTGATCCTAGAGTCGAAGCTCTGCAGCAGTACACGCTGAAAACTATGAAACTCAAAAATGACAAATGGGCTAAGGTATAATAGCTGGCATTTGCATGCATCTGTAACTCAATCTCTTTTCTTTTCAGATGATGAGTCAAGAAGATAATCTGGTCATAATCAATGAGTTCCTTGAACGCAATGATAGAAGGATGCTTGTCATTTATGTCAGTCAAAATGGCCAGCTTGCACCAATGACAACATTCCCCACTGCTGCTAAAGCAAAAGCTGTCTATTTCATCAAACGTCAGCCTGAGGCTATCAAAAAGGAAAACGTCAAATCTCTGCTCATGGTTGGAGACCTGTCCCACGTCCCATTGGATCAGCTCTCCTACTTAGTTGAATCTGTAAGACTTCATAATTTATAATTATCATTATAATGTGTATGTTCTCTCATTCTCAGATTCTTATTCCACTTATTGCAAACTCTACTAATAATTCCTCTTGGCCTGAAGTGGTGACTGAAGATGTTGCAAGGCACATGGGACACTTTAAAGGAGACGTCTTCGTTCTCTCAGGTCAAGTGAAAGGAAGGACACTGCTTCCTTTACCTGCCCAAGCTGAGCTGTTCATTGAAGCTGCTCAATGCTATGAAGAGTAAGATCAGAGCATTAATAATCTTATGAATTGCTTTTATTGATGCACATGCAACTAAGTAGTATATAGTGCATGAATTGTAATCTTTCAGCAATGTTTACCCACAGAGCAGACACCATAAATCATAATCTTTTTATTTTTCCAGTGGTCGTCCATACGACAAGTCACTAATCCATTCAATGGAGACAGTGGTGATCGAATGGTCTCATCAGATACAGGCAGTCCTCAAGAAGAACTCTGCACAGCTGCTGTTGGATGGTAAGAACCCAGGACCGCTGGTAGAGATAGACTTCTGGAAGGCACGAATGTCAGACCTCGAGTCAGTCATGGACCAACTAATAACTGATAAAGCACAAAAGATGTCTTTTATATTGGAAAAGACACAGTCTGCCTATTATCCTGCACTCCAAAGCATGGTATGACATTTATTCAGTTTGGATATATTCTAAATTGTGTATGCATGTTATGCATAATAGATGAGGGATACTCGTAAAGCATTAGATGAAGCTATTGATGTGTATATATACCTGAAGCCAATGCGTAGGCACTTTGAAGAGTTGGAGGAGTCAGATTTTCCTGAAATTACTGAGCGCTTGCCTCCAATGTTCCACTGCTTATGTCTTGTATGGTCACACTGTAAGAGCTACCAGCAACCATTAAGGATTGTCGTACTACTGCAAGAGATTACTAACCTAATGTTGGAATTGGTAAGCAGTGTATTTTTTATTGATTGTATACAGACGATTTTAAAAACTTTTTGCTACTGGACATGTACATGTAGTTTCTCTTATTCTTATTGCTCTTGCCTTTAATCATCACAATTTTTTATATCTCTAGTTTCGCAACTACATGACAGAAGAGATACTGAGAATGGAGCCAGAGGAGGGTATAGAGAAAGTAAAGGAGACCCTAGAGGTGTGTCAGTGCTATATATCAATGTACCACGAGCACAGAAACTCACTTGATAAATATTTTAAAGATGAGCCAGTGGTACCTTGGGGCTTTGAGACAAGCCTTGTCTTTGGAAGACTTGATAAATTTATTCACCAGCTTCATGTCATTGAGGTATGCTAGGATTGAGACTAAGAAAGATGAAATTGTTATTTCCAATACCTTAAATTTCCTTTTTATAGGAGTACTTCAAAACCGTCATCATGTTCCTTAAACTTGAGAAGATTGAGTTCTGTGGCCTTCGTGGCAAAGAACTCGGAGATTTTGTACTTGAGATGTACAACGACTTTCAAGACCTTATGACTGCCTTCTCTGGCAAGAACCACGACCCACTAGACCCTAACAACAAGGTAGCTATAGAGAACTTCTTGGGTACTGTAATCAAATGTATTGTAGGATTTTGCTAAAGAGTATAGTGCCTTTAAAGCAAAGATATGTGACATGGACAGGAGACTTGGGCTCATTGTTTATCAGGCATTTGATGAGTGTAGCAACTGTGAGGCTGCCTATAGGGTAAGACCCTTTCATTAAGCATGAATTAAGCACCCATTCTTACAATTATAATTTGTTTTATAACTCATCAATCAACCTTTTTAAATGTATTATCTCTTTACACACAGTTGATTGATATGATGGGCCCACTTTTAAAGAGACCAATAATACACAATAACTTCAAAGGCAAGTACCCTTTACTCGTTAAAATGGTCAATGAAGAATTGGACTCCATCAAAAGCATTTATGATCAACAGCTCTCACTGGCCCAGTCTCCCAGTGGAGCACATGTACACAAAAACATGCCAAAAGTTGCTGGAGTCCTTCGCTGGAGTCAAGAGCTAAGAGAGCGGACTAACCTTGCGGTAGAAAGACTTAGAGACATAGATCACGAGTATGTGCATATATGATTGTTTTGTGAATACTTGCAATGAATGAATGAATGTGTGTGTCTGTAGGATGGAGGGTACTCCTGATTTGGAAATGGTCTTTAGCAAGTTTGATGAAATGATGAATCTCATTGGAAGGTATTTTATTACTACTACTATTATTATTATCATTATTATTATTATTATTTATTTTCATGCAGTTTTGAAGGTGAAGTGTTCCAGGAGTGGTCCGAAGGTGTTGATGCTATTGCTCAGACTAATCTTGACAAGCCATTACTAGTGAGGGAGGTGTCTGACGAAGGATTGGATCTAATTCAAGTTAACTTTGATCCAGAGGTATGCTCAATAATGAATGAACGTCACTCTTCATCTTCACTTCTGAGTTAAATTGTACTCTTTAGAATCCTCAAAATCAGCTTCATATGATTATGTATCATGTATTATTAATCTCTCTCTCTCTTTCTCTCTCTCTAGTTGGTTGCATTATTGCGTGAAGTAAAGTATCTCAATCTACGTGATGAGAGGAGTGATCAGCCTATTCCAGAATCAGCTGTGGCTCTCTTCACTAAAGACAACACTTACCGAAAGTTTCTTCAAAACCTTGATGTCACAGTGGCACTCTATAACAAAGTAAGATATTATGATTGATCATTGATGCATATACTTGTAATAACAAAATATCTATTATCATTATTATTCTTTTATTAAAAGGTTAAAATGACTATAATGGATGTTGAAGTACCTCTGATTGAAGATCAGCTTAAAGAGATTGATAGTCAGCTTCAGAGAGCTATCTCAGAACTGAACTGGACCAGGGATGGTAATATACTATTATTATTATTATTATTTATATTATTTTTTTTTGATTTTTAAAGGTGTTTGGGAGTACATTGAATCAACACGCGACTCTGTAAGAGACCTAGAGAAGAGGGTCCAGCAAGCCAAGAACAACGTCGAGTCAATGATTCAGATAATGACAAAATGGAGTGAACGGCCTCTCTACCAGCGCAAAGAAGACAAGAAGGACTGTCTACTGAACCTTGATGACAAAGAGACCACAAAAGAGTCGAGATACTCCCTGATTCGTTCGGGAGCTGAGAAGATACACCAACTAGTGAAGGAGAATATGGAGTGCTTTAAAGCTGAGGAGGACACTGAGAGCTGGAGGAATTACATTAATTATATTGATGACATCATATTGGACGGGCTCTTTAACTGCATCAATTGCTCATTGAAATATCTCTCTGAGAATACTTCAAAAGACAAAGAAGGTCAGACTTATTATTAATATTGCATAATTGCCTTGTTTAAATCATAATCTATGCCTACAATTGTTGCTGTTGTTGTTGTTATTTTCATTGTATCTAGGTATGCCACAGTTGATGGAAGCTAAGCTTGAGCTTCAAGTCCCAGACACCATATTCAATCCTTCGCTTGACCCAGACTCTACCGATGGGTTCTTGTTTATATTTGAAGGTCTCATTGATGATATCTTTAGAGTTGCATCTCTAGTCCCTCGTGTTGCTACTCATAAAGGGTCAGACGATTATCTCTCTGATGTAGAAGAACTGGCTGACCTGCTGGACCTAAAGGAAGAACTAATGTCTAGGTAATGGTGTTAAAATGTGATTATTAGTGCATCAGTATTGTGTGTAAATTTAGTTATAATCTGGTGTTAATATCATGTTAAGAAAGTGTTAATATTTAGGGTTAACGTTGTGATGGATAAAGCTATTGAGTTCAGGAACTCGTTTGATTCTTATGCTTATCTGTGGGTGGACGACAGGACAGAGTTCATGAATCAGTTCCTCAAATACGGACATGTCCTGACATCAGAAGAGTTAGAGGCAGCTGGAGATGAGCCCATACCAGAGTCACCACCGACACTAGACATGTTCAAGGAACAAGTCGACTCTTATGAAAAAATTCACAAAGAAGTTGAGAAATTTCAAGTAAGTCAAAATAGAATGTGATGATTGCAATAGCATCAAGAGCATTATCTATATCATCCCTGTATGCCTACTTTATAATTTTTAATATTGTTTTATTTTTTGTTAGAATACCGTTATATTTGAGGTCTGGTTCAGAGTAGACAGCAGGCCCTTCAAGAATGCACTCCGTAACATTGTCAAGAGATGGAGCTTGATGTTTAAGCAGCATCTCATTGATCATGTCACTAACAGTCTCTATGACCTTAATGACTTTATCAAGGTTTGTTAAATGGGAATGGTAGTGTTGTCAAAAATGGCAAGAAGAGAATTATCCATTTTTATAATTTTTTTCTGATGCATATACATGTTCTTATGCTGTGTTTTAAGTTTAAGCTGGTTCTATCTCTCTCTCTCTCTTCTCTCTCTTGTCTCTCATTAACAGAAAACAAAGGCTGGCCTATCCACAACAGTTACCGAAGGAGACTATGACTCACTGGTCGGTGTCATGATGCATCTACTGGCAGTGAAGGACCGCCAGCCGAACACTGACAACATGTTTGAGCCACTCAAGCAAACCATTGAACTCCTCAAGACTTATGATCAAGAAATGTCAGACGAGATCCACTCGCTACTTGAGGCAAGCCTGCATGCATCTTCTTCATACAATTATACCTTTAAAAACTTATTTACAATGTATATAATTATGATATATAAATGTAGATTTATGCGTGTATTTTCAATTTTTTAAAGTTTTCAGTTTTGCCTTTTTAATTTTATTTTTTTTCCTCTAGGAGTTGCCAGAGCAATGGAACACAGTCAAGAAGATGTCTGTTGGGATGAAGCAAGAGGTTGCTCCACTCCAAGCTAACGAGGTCAACCTCTTGAGGAGGAAGTTGGCATCATTTGACGTCCAGCAACACGAGTTCAGAGAAAAATTCAGAAAGACTGCTCCTTTTGCTTATGAAGCAGATTACGTTTATGCAAGAATTGATAGAGTGAGTATGAAAAAAAATACAAATTTCTTAAACATAATACATGTGCCTAGCACATTGTATTTGTATAAAGAAGTATTCTTAAATGCTAGCCTGCATCATTAATGCCCTGGAGCCAGTGTTTCCCCAAAAGCATGCTGAGCGAGCTAAACAGTATGCTCCATGAACTAACAAGCACTTAGTCCAAAAGCGAAGGGGCGGGGCACGAGACTAACAAGCACTAGCTATGATGCATGACATTTGGAGGAACTTAAAAAATTTGTAAAAAATCTAAACTTGATCAGAATAAGCTCAAACTTTCTACGCAACATAAGTACATGTATATGTATCAGAAAACATTATAAAAATGGAGAATTCTCTGCTTTTCATTTTTGACAAAATTTGACTAAAATCCCTGTACTATAGTACAGGGACTTTGACCCAATTTCGGAGCAACTTAAAAAATTCGTTAAAAAATCCAATTTTGATCAAAATTAGTTCAAACTTAAAATGCAACATAAGAACATGTATATGCATAAAAAAAAATTATAAAAATAGAGATTTCTCTTTCTGCATTTTTTTGTTAAAATTCCCTGTACTCACCAATTTTTGAGCAATTTGACAAAGAGGTTGCATGAGTACTAACTATGCTAAAAACCATGCTATATCCCTTATATAGGCCAACGAACAGATACTGGAGAAAGAGGCTGAGATGAACTCACTCAGGGAAGCAGCTGGTCTCTTTGAAGTTAGTGTGCCAGACTTTAAACAGCTGAAAGCTTGTCGCAGAGAGACGGCACTCTTGAAGTCACTATGGGATATGATAATGCTAGTTAAGAGTAGCTTTGGGGACTGGAACACTACCTTATGGAGGGACATTAATGTGGAGCAGCTGGACATTGAGTGCAAAAAATTTGTTAAAGACATTAGGACACTAGATAAAGAAATGAGGGCATGGAATGCTTTTACTGGTTAGAGAGAGAGAAGAAAGAGAGGGAGAGAGAAAAAGAGCTTATATTACTAATAATTATTGTCATTATACTTTCTCTTCAGGTATGGACTCTACTGTGAAAAATATGGTCACCTCACTGCGTTCCGTTGGTGAGTTGCAGAATCAAGCAATAAGAGATCGTCACTGGGAGCAGCTCATGCAAGCAACAAAAGTTACATTTGTAATGTCAGAGGAGACCAACTTAGCTGATCTTTTGGCTCTGAATCTACACAACTTTGAAGATGAGGCATGTGCATTTAAAAGACTGAAAATCATTAAATTAATTCTAAAACAGATTTAATGATAATCTTTACCATTATTAAGTTATTATTTTATTTTATTTTTGTTTGCAGGTTAGGAACATAGTTGATAAAGCTACTAAAGAGTTGAGTATGGAGAAGACGCTTAAAGAATTGGACAAGACTTGGAGTGAGATGGAATTTGAATACGACATTCACACAAGAACCAAACTAAAACTACGAAAGACAACAGAAGAACTAGTAGAAACTCTTGAAGAGAACCAAGTAATGTATACATGTATATATGCATGTTATAGATAAATATGAGAGAAAAGAATTAATGACATATAAAGAGGAAGGGATCAGTAGATAGAAGAGATAGAATATAAAGTGTATGTGAGAGAAATCTTTCTCTTTCTCTCTCTCTTTCAGGTTCAATTGCAGAATATGATGACTTCAAAATTTGTTGGTTACTTCCTTGAGCAAGTCTCCTCATGGCAGAAGAAGCTCTCCAATGCTGACTCAGTCATTACTATATGGATGGAAGTACAGAGGACCTGGTCTCATCTGGAGAGTATATTCATTGGGTCTGAAGATATTAGAGCACAGTTACCAGAACACTCAAAACAATTTGATACCATTGACAGAGACTTTAAGGTGAGTCTGACCTCCTCAATAGTACACTATATAAGGGAATGTTATTATTCAGTATTAGTGTATAGTCCGGTAATGTCATAACTTGTTTTCATAATTAGAAACTTATTTCTGAAGCTGAGAAGACGCCTAATGTAGTTGAGTCCACTAATAGGAATGGTCTTTATGAAGAATTGGAAGACATACAGAATAGGTTAGAACTGTACTGCTTGCACTATGTTTCACATGTGCCTGTTATAGGCTTTCAGTCTGTGAGAAAGCACTGGCTGAATATCTGGAGACCAAGCGTCTCGCTTTTCCAAGATTTTATTTCATATCATCTGCTGATCTACTTGACATTTTGTCTAAAGGGAACCAGCCAACTTTGGTAAGCTACAAGATTTTGATGTGATTACATCCTTTCCTCTCTCTTTTTCTCTCTAGGTTGCTCGTCATTTAGCCAAGTTATTTGATAGTATGGCTAAGCTAAAGTTTGAGGATGATTCCGGTCGCATTGCCCTTGGCATGTACAGTAAAGATGGAGAATACGTTGACTTTGATTCTCCTTGCAAGCTTGAGGGACAAGTTGAAGACTGGCTCAATAAACTCCTTGAAAAGATGCAGGCAACTGTTCGCTACCAATTCACTGAAGCCATTGTTGGCTACGAAGAGAAAGCTCGTGAGCAGTGGCTGTTTGACTACCCAGCTCAAGTTGCTCTAGCTACAACCCAGATATGGTGGAGCACAGAGGTTGGGATTGCTTTTGCTCGTTTAGAGGAAGGATATGAGAATGCACTCAAGGAATACTTTAAGAAACAAGTGACACAACTGAACACACTCATCAACCTCTTGTTGGGTGACCTTAGCAAAGGGGACAGGCAAAAGATCATGACCATTTGTACCATTGATGTGCACGCTCGTGACGTCGTCGCTAAACTTATAGCGCAAAAAGTTGAGAACTCTCAAGCTTTTACTTGGCTCTGCCAGTTGAGGCACAGGTGGGACGAAGACAAGAAGCACTGCTTTGCTAATATCTGTGATGCACAGTTCAAGTATTCTTACGAGTATCTTGGCAATACTGCCCGACTGGTTATTACTCCTTTAACTGATAGGTGAACACATTAAATAGCTGTAGAGTGTATCATGCTAGAATAGATATATTACAATAGTGTCAGTGATGTTTATAGTTCTTAATTTTAATTCTTACCCCTCCAACAGGTGTTACATTACCCTCACTCAGTCCCTCCATTTAACAATGAGTGGTGCTCCTGCTGGTCCTGCTGGTACTGGTAAGACTGAGACTACCAAAGACTTGGGAAGAGCACTGGGTATGATGGTATATGTATTCAACTGCTCTGAACAAATGGACTATAAGGTACTGTATATTATTAAAAGTAATCTCTTAATTTAAGTCTGATATCACCCTCTCCATTAGTCTATTGGTAACATATACAAGGGTCTATCACAGACTGGTGCCTGGGGCTGTTTTGATGAGTTCAATCGTATCTCAGTTGAAGTCCTCTCAGTGGTGGCTGTGCAAGTGAAGTCCATACAAGATGCCATTCGAATGAAGAAACAACGATTTATATTTGAGGGTACAGAAATAAGACTCACTCCAACGGTTGGTCTCTTTATTACTATGAACCCTGGCTATGCTGGAAGGACCGAACTACCAGAGAACCTCAAGGCTTTGTTTAGGTGAGCCATTTACATGTACCGGTAGATTGTGGTTGGATATACAACATGTACTGTACTTTATTGTAATATGCTTTATTTATTGTTCCACCCTCTCTCTCTCTCTCTCTCTCCCTTTCCTCCAACAGACCATGTGCTATGGTTGTTCCTGATTTTGAGTTAATTGCTGAGATCATGTTGGTAGCTGAAGGTTTCCTAAACGGTCGTATTCTTGCACGAAAGTTCTTGACACTTTACACACTTTGCAAGGAGCTCCTCTCCAAACAGGATCATTATGACTGGGGGCTAAGGGCCATTAAATCAGTACTGGTGGTAGCTGGATCTCTTAAGAGAGGAGACAGAGGAAGGCCTGAAGATCAAGTAATATTAATAATAATAATAATAATAATAATAATAATAATAATAAATAATAATAATAATGCATGTAAATGTGTCTATCAAACTTTGTGGATACGTACAAGTACATGTAAACTATTATTGCAGTTTTGTTGACCTATTTTTTAAACTTTTATTATTTTTTAATTTTGGTTTTTGTAGGTGCTAATGAGAGCATTGCGTGATTTCAATACCCCAAAGATAGTGACTGATGATGTCCAGATATTCATGGGTCTAATTGGTGACCTCTTCCCTGCACTCAACGTACCAAGGAAGAGAGACCTCGACTTTGAACAGACAGTCAAACAATCTGTATTGGTAAGAACTTACAAACCTACTTGTACTTCAAATGATTTTTATGTTGTTTTTTGTGCAGGATCTTGGCCTTCAGCCGGAGGATGGTTTCATATTAAAGATTGTGCAGCTGGAAGAGTTACGTCACGTGAGACACTCTATATTCGTGATTGGTAATGCAGGAACAGGGAAAAGCAAGGTACATATCTATTATTACATGTACCTACATTGCAACACCTCATGCTGTGTAGAAAGTTTAAACTGAGAATATGTAACATGCATTTTGTTGCAGATTTTCATAGATAGTTCAGGGTTTTAGCCAAATTAGTTTTATTACATATTCTAGTTGGTACATATTCTCCAGGCCATTGATTCTTCTATTTCTTTTCCTCAGATCCTTCGTTGTTTAAACAGGACTTACTACAACCTGAAACAGAAACCAGTCTGGCAGGACATCAACCCAAAGGCCGTCACAACAGATGAACTCTACGGATTCATCAATCCAGCAACAAGAGAATGGAAGGACGGGCTGTTCTCCATCATCATGAGAGACTTATCCAACCTCAGCAATGAGAGCCCTAAGTGGATTGTACTGGATGGAGACATTGATCCTATGTGGATTGAATCACTCAACACAGTCATGGATGATAATAAGGTCAGCCTTCCTATAGATTATGAATGATCATGATAATGTAATGTGTACATGTATATGTATGTTAATTTTAAATTTTTTTCCAAAGGTGTTGACTCTGGCTAGTAATGAGCGTGTACCATTAACTCCCTCGATGAGATTAATGTTTGAGATTGGACACTTGAAAGCAGCCACTCCAGCAACTGTCTCTCGTGCCGGTATCCTCTTTGTGAACCCCTCAGATTTAGGATGGAACCCGTAAGAAAATAGAGAAAGAAAAGATTATAATATTTATAAAATATAAATATTAGATATGTTCAAAGTTGGATTGACAAGAGAGAGGTCCAATCTGAGAAAGCAAACCTGACGATCCTGTTTGACAAGTACATCCCTACATTGCTGGACACCCTTCGCCACAGGTTCAAGAAGATCACTCCAATATCGGACAACAGCATGATACAGACCCTCTGCTACCTCCTTGAGGCTCTACTGACACCAGAGAACACACCACCCGACTGCTCCAAGGAGTTGTATGAACTGTACTTTGTCTTTGCTGCTGTTTGGTCTTTTGGTGGGTCAATGTTTCAGGATCAGGTAACTTGAGGATTATACGTAATAGTGGTTGATGCATAGTTAATGAATAGTTGACACATATTTGATGTATACTTGATGCTGAGTTCATCTATAGTTAATGCATAGTTGACAATCAATTGATATAAAGTTAACACACAAAGTTAATCATAATATTCTTGTGTAGTTGGTGGATTATCGTGTTGAGTTCTCAAAGTGGTGGGTCACTGAGTTTAAAGTTGTCAAGTTCCCAAGTCAGGGCACTATCTTTGACTATTATTTGGACAACGAGACAAAGAAATGGCTACCATGGTCAGATAAAGTACCAAAGTTTGAGCATGATCCTGAAATGCCTTTGCAAGTAAGTACATGTACATATACATGCATAGATACATGTACATTGTACATGTTACTGTCATTATATGCATTTATTATTGTCTTTTAGGCTGTTCTGGTGCATACTTCTGAAACAATACGTTGTCGCTATTTTGTTGATCTACTAATGTCAAACAAGCGTCCAGTAATGCTTGTTGGCAATGCTGGTTGTGGCAAGACTGTACTGGTCAATGATAAACTCAATGGTCTGGATGAGGACACACTGGTCACCATGATACCATTCAATTACTACACAACATCGCTCATGCTTCAGCAGGTCATGGAGAAACCACTTGAGAAGAAAGCTGGCAGGAATTACGGTCCACCTGGAACAAAGAGACTTATATACTTCATTGATGACATGAATATGCCTGTGGTTGATACATACGGTACAGTACAGCCGCACACATTGATACGACAGCACTTGGATTATAACCATTGGTACGATAGGACCAAGTTGATGCTTAAGGAAGTGCATAACGTCCAGTATGTAGCATGCATGAACCCAACTGCCGGTAGTTTCACGATTAATCCTCGTCTTCAGCGACACTTTAGTGTTTTTGCTGTTAGTTTTCCGGGTAACGATGCACTCAATACCATATATCAGAGTATACTAACTGGACATGTCAGCTCTGGTGGGTTTAATAATCAGATACAAAAGAATATGGAGAAGATTGTGGCAGCTGCTCTTACTCTTCATAATAAAGTCTCAACTTCTTTTCTACCGACTGCTATAAAGTTTCATTATATTTTTAATTTGCGAGATCTCTCAAATATATTCCAGGTAATAATAATAATAATAATAATAATAATAATAATAATAATAATAATAATAGGAATAATAATAATATACATGTACAATATTTTGAAATTTCTCTGTCTCTTTTAGGGTATATTATTTTCTGGTTCAGATTGTCTCAAAACTCCAATGGATTTTGTGAGGTTATGGCTCCATGAAGCCTCACGTGTCTATGGTGACAAACTGATAGAGATCAAGGACATGGAGAACTTTACTAAAATGAAATTTGAAATAGCCAAGCAGTCCTTTGAGGTAAGACAACATCATGTTCATTATATACTTATTTCTTTGTTTCTTTACCTCTTTCTCCTCCCTATTACTGTAGGATCTTGATGATACAGCATTGAAAGCAGAGCCTCACATCTATTGTCACTTTGCTTCAGGCATAGGAGAACCAAAGTACCTCTCTGTGGCATCCTGGGAGTCACTGAGCAAGATACTAGAGGAGGCCCTCGATTCTTACAATGAGATTAATGCTGCTATGAATCTTGTACTCTTTGAAGATGCCATGTACCATGTGTGAGTTATACTTCATGACTGTTTATTATAGATTTTGTACTGTGTCCATATGCAACTGAATTCATCTCTCCTCTCTCTCTCTCTCTCTTCCCATTGCAGTTGTCGTATTAATCGTATTCTAGAGGCTCCACGTGGTAATGCTCTACTGGTTGGTGTAGGAGGCAGTGGCAAGCAGAGTCTGACAAGACTTGCTGCTTCTGTCTCTGGACTGGAAGTGTTTCAGATACAGCTAAGGAAAGGATACGGAGTCGGTGACTTGAGAGCTGAGCTGGCTCAGCTATACATCAAAGCTGGTCTTAAAAATATTGGTACAGTCTTCCTACTCACTGATGCTCAGGTAGTAGAATAGACTATGCACACAACAAAATATAGATTAAATTTGTGAGGCTTTTGGTAAAAAAGTGAATGAGAGAGAATAAGTCCTATAGTACTCCTGTAAAGTAAAAAGTAATGAATGATGATTTTTATGGTTAGGTGCCAGATGAAAAATTCCTTGTCCTCATTAATGATTTATTAGCTTCTGGAGAAGTCCCTGGAATATTTGCCGATGATGAATTGGAGAATGTAATCAACGGATTGAGGAATGAAGTGAAGGGAGCCGGGATCCAAGACACTAAAGAAAATATATGGAAATTCTTTATTGACCGTGTTAGAAGACAACTTAAGGTAGAGAGAGAAGAAAAGAGAGGCAGGGAAGTACAATTTTAAAAAATCTTTGTTAATCTTTATGTAGGTTGTGTTGTGTTTTTCTCCTGTTGGTTCTACCCTGAGGGTACGCAGTAGGAAGTTTCCAGCTATTGTTAACTGCACATCCATTGATTGGTTTCATGAATGGCCAGAAGAAGCTTTAGTGTCTGTCAGCTCACGTTTCTTATCAGACATTGAACTTATTACTGTAAGAATAAATGTTCCTATTACTAAAATCAATCTCTTTTTCTCTCTCTCTCTCTCTTCTCTATAGCCTGAAGTAAGGGGTTCTGTCAGTAAGTTCATGGCTTTTGTTCATGGTAGTGTGAACGAGATGAGTAAACTTTACCTTGCAAATGAGAAGAGATACAATTATACCACACCTAAGAGCTTCCTTGAACTGGTTAGTACTATTAATAATGTGAAACATAGACTCTATGCATGTATAGTAAAAGTACTCTATCATTCATTTTGCCTCTTAAATTTTTTTACCAAAATGGCTATGAAAGATACAAGTTTTGTAAGCTGCAGTTTTGTGAAGAAAACTTGCATTTAGCACAAGGAGCTTCAATGTGTCAAAATAGAACAACATCCTCTTTTAAAAAATGTACATAAAAGCTACTAAAAACACTGTTGTCCGAATAGACTACTAGATAGTGCTATATCTTGCTGTAATGGATTACAATTTCACTGCTACTGGTAGTATCAATGGTCCTGTACTAGCTGCAGTATTTGCTGTTGAAGCAGTGGTGGGTTTCATTGCTAATATCATTGTCCTCTCCATCACATTATATCAAAGAAAGTCCTTCAAGCAACCATCAGCGATATTCTTCACTTCTCTCATTTTATCAGATCTCTTGGCTGTATTGATATACCTTCCCATGACCACAGTTTCCACAGGAGCTGAAGAATGGATATTTGGAAGCACCTTTGAACAGAGAAGAGCAACTTGTGTGTTCTCTGGAATTATTTTTTGGTTCATTCTTTATGTCACTACAGGAGTACTAGCTGCTATATCATTTGATAAGTGCCTCTTCATCGTTAAACCATATTTCTACAAGGGGTTCATTAAGCCATGGGTAGCACTGGCAATCACAGTTGCTCTATGGATAATCATTGGCCTCATGTTCACGCTGCCATTAATTAACTTTGAAAATTATTATTATTATGGAATTTATTTCGGGCCTTGTTATGTTGGGTTTCTCAGAAAAATCATCTATTCAATAATATTTGGCCTATGGCTTATCTTCATCATTACGATTATAGTCACATCAGTTTGGACATTTTGTTTCACTCGCCGGTTTATAAACAATCAGTCAGCAATAGGAGGAGAAAATGCCTATAACTCACGAAAGATGAAGCTGTTTGGAATATTTGGATCGATGCTTCTTGCCTATACATTGTGTTATGCCCCAGCTGTTATCATTGGCTTTATTAGCTTTGGATTTGCTTTACCTTATGAGGTTTTTGCCACTACTACAGTTGCACTTCACTTTGCTCCAATAGTATCTCCAATGATTCAAGCATATTTCAGACCAGAAATAACAAAATCTCTTGTATCATTCAAAAATGCTCTCTGTGAAAAATTAAGATGCTCACATTCAAATTAACTTCAGGACTTTCCACTGACTGTCCTATTTTCTTCTTAGTATTATAGTTAGCACTTAGCAGTATCATTTTTGTAGTGTTGATTTCCTTGTTATTAATTTCAATAAATTTGATAAATAAAACAATAAGTTAAGCTTCCTTGAACTGGTCGTTACTAAATTAATAATGAAACATAATGCATGTATAGTTGAAAGTACTCTATCATTTGTTTTACCTATTAAATATTTTACCAAAATGGCTATAAAAGATAGGTTTGTAAGCTGCAATTTTGTGAAGAAAACTTGCATTTAGCACACAAGGAGCTTCAATGTGTCAAAATAGAACAACATCCTCTTTTTAAAAAACATATATAAAAGCTACTAAAACACTTTTGTCCAGATAGACTACTTACTAGAGAACACTGCATCTTGCTGTAATGGATTACAATTTCACTGCTACTGGTAATATCAATGGTCCTGTACTAGCTGCAGTATTTGCTGTTGAAGCAGTGGTGGGTTTCATTGCTAATATCATTGTACTCTCCATCACTCTACATCAAAGAAAGTCCTTCAAGCAACCGTCAACAATATTCTTCACTTCTCTCATTTTATCAGATCTCTTGGATGTGCTGGTATACCTTCCAATGATAGCAGTAGCCACAGCAGCTGAAGAATGGATACTGGGAAGCACCTTTGAGCAGAAAAGAGCAACTTGTGTGTTCTCAGGACTAATTTCCTGGTTTATTCTTCATGTCTCTGCAGCAGTACTAGCTGCCATATCATTTGATAAGTGTCTCTTCATCACTAAGCCGTATTTCTACAAGAGGTTCATGAAACCATGGGTAGCACTGGCAATCACAGTTGCTGTATGGATAATCAATGGTCTCATGTTTACGCTACCATTAATTGGCTATGAAGATTATTATTATTATAGAATTTATTTCGGGCCTTGTTATGTTGGGTTTGTCGGAAACATTATTTATGCACTTATCTTTGGCCTATTGCTCATCTTCATCATTACGATTATAGTCACATCAGTTTGGACATTCTGTTTCACTCGTCGGTTTATAAACAATCAGTCGGCAATAGCAGGAGAAAATGCCTATAATTCACGAAGGATGAAGCTGTTTGGAATATTTGGATCGATGCTCCTTGCCTATACATTGTGTTATGCCCCATCTATTCTCATTGGCTTTATTAGCTTTGGATTTACTTTACCTGAGGAGGTTTTTGCCACTACTATAGTTACACTTCACTTTGTTCCAATAGTATCTCCAATGATTCAAGCATATTTCAGACCAGAAATAACAAAATCTTTTGTATCATTCAAAAATGCTCTCTGTGAGAAATTAAGATGCTCACATTCAAATTAACTTTAGGACTTTCCACACATGACTGTCTTATTTTCTCTTTAGTATTATAGTTAGCACTTAGCAGTATAATTTTTGTAGTGTTGATCTCCTTATTATTAATTGCAATAAATTTGATAAATGAAACAATAAAATAAAACAATAAGTTAAGCTTCCTTGAACTGGTCATTACTAAATTAATAATAAAACATAATGCATGTATAGTTAAAAGTATTCTTGTCATTTGTTTTGTCTATTAATTTTTTTTACCAAAATGGCTATAAAAGATACAGGTTTTGTAAGCTGCAATTTTGTGAAGAAAACTTGCATTTAGCTCAAGGAGCTTCAAAGTGTCAAAATAGAACAACATCCTCTTTTTTTAAAAACATATAAAAGCTGCTAAAAACACTGTTGTCCAGATAGACTACTAAAGAGCACTATATCTTGCTGTAATGGAGTACAATTTCACTGCTACTGGTAGTATCAATGGTCCTGTACTAGCTGCAGTATTTGCTGTTGAAGCAGTGGTGGGTTTCATTGCTAATATCATTGTACTCTCCATCACTCTACATCAAAGAAAGTCCTTCAAGCAACCGTCAACAATATTCTTCACTTCTCTCATTTTATCAGATCTCTTGGATGTGCTGGTATACCTTCCAATGACCACAGTTTCTACAGGAGCTGAAGAATGGATATTTGGAAGCACCTTTGAGCAGAGAAGAGGCACTTGTGTGTTCTCAGGACTAATTTCCTGGTTTATTCTTCATGTCACTACAGCAGTACTAGCTGCCATATCATTTGATAAATATCTCTTCATCACTAAGCCATATTTCTACAAGAGGTTCATGAAACCATGGGTAGCACTGGCAATCACAGCTGCTTTATGGTCAATCATTGCTTTCTTATTTATATTGCCATTAGTTGGCTTTGGAGACTATAATTATGGAATTTATTTTGGGCCTTGTTTTGTTGGGTTTCTTGGAAACATTATCTATGCAATTATTATCTTTGGCCTATTACTCATCTTCATCATTACAATTATAGTCACATCAGTTTGGACATTCTGTTTCACTCGCCGGTTTATAAACAATCAGTCAGCAATAGCAGGAGAAAATGCCTATAATTCACGAAAGATGAAGTTGTTTGGAATATTTGGATTGATGCTCCTTGCCTATACATTGTGTTATGCCCCAACTATTATTTTTGGATTTATAAGCTTTGGATTTGCTTTACCTAATGAGGTTTATGCCACTGTTACAGTTACACTTCACTTTGTTCCAATAGTATCTCCAATGATTCAAGCATATTTCAGACCAGAAGTAACAAAATCTCTTGTATCATTCATAAATGCTCTCTGTGAAAAATTAAGATGCTCACATTCAAATTAACTTTATGGCTTTCCACTGACTGTCCTATTTTCTTTTTTTAGTATTATAGTTAGCACTTAGCAGTATCATTTTTGTAGTGTTTATTTCCTTATTATTAATTTTAATAAATTTGATAAATGAAACAATGGGCAGAAAGTTGAAAATGAGACACTATCAGACAGAAATATTGATTATAATCAAAATTTATTAAAAATTCCATTTTATAAAAATGGCTTAATCTTAGTCAAGGACTGGTAACATTCAGCCATTCATACCTCTCCCACACTATATAACCAATGCTAATAACTCTTATTTTTTTCTTTCATTACAGATTGCACTATACCAGAATCTTTTAACTAGTAAACACAGTGAGCTTATTGCTAACATGGAACGTCTTGAAGGAGGTCTTGAGAAACTAAAGAGCACTGCAGCTCAAGTTGACGATCTCAAAGAGAAACTAGCTGCTCAGGAGGTAGAGCTCAAGCAGAAGAATGAAGATGCTGACAAGCTTATTGAGATTGTTGGAGTGGAGCAAGAGAAAGTTAGCAAAGAGAAAGCAATTGCAGATGGCGAAGAAAAGAAAGTGGCCAAGATAAACGAGGAGGTGACAAAGAAGCAGAAGGACTGCGAAAGAGACTTGGCTCGTGCTGAACCAGCTTTGAAAGCTGCAGCTGCTGCACTGGACACACTCAATAAAGCAAACCTTACCGAGCTTAAATCTTTTGGAAAGCCTCCGCCAATTGTTGTGCAAGTTGTTGCATCTGTGATGATGCTCTTGAGTCCTTCAAATAAAATACCCAAAGACACCTCTTGGAACTCCGGAAAGAACTTTATGGGGAAAGTGGATCAGTTTCTGGACTCATTAATTCATTTTGACAAGGAGAACATACAGGAAGCTAACCGTAAAGCTGTAGAGCCATATCTCCAAATGAAAGAGTTTGACCCTGATTTTGTAAAGGGCAAATCATTTGCTGCAGCAGGTGAGGGAGAGAGAGGGAGGAGGGTGGGAGATTGTATCGCTTTACATTATTCAATGCTTTTTTAGGTTTATGTGCATGGACTGTCAACATTGTCAAGTTCTATGAAGTTTTTTGTGACGTTGAGCCAAAAAGGAAAGCTCTGGCTGCAGCTAATGCTGAATTAGCAGCAGCACAGGATAAGCTATCAAAAATCAAAGCAAAGATAAAAGAGCTTGATGATAATCTTGCGGAACTGACCAGACAGTTTGAGGAAGCTACCTCAGCTAAACTGAAGTGTCAGCAAGAGGCAGAGTCAACTGCTACTACAATATCCCTTGCAAACAGGTATCATTATGATTATAATTAAAGTTGCTCAAAACTCAGGCCGAAAAAAATTCATAAAAAATCCAAATTTAATCGGAATCAACTCAAACTTTCTACACAACATAAAAACATGTATATGCATCAGAAAAAATTATAAAAATAAAGAATTTTTTCCTTGCCATTTTTGGTGAAATCGGGCCAAAGTCCCTGTACTATAGTACAGGGTGTCGAGCAAAATTTTGCCAAAAATGGCAAGGAAAGAATTTTCCATTTTTATAATTTTTTCTGATGTATATACATGTTTTTATGTTGTGTAGAAAGTTTGAGCTGATTCCAATCAAATTTGGATTTTTTATGAATTTTTAAAGTTGCTCAATTTCGTCAAGAATGGCTATGTGATTATGTGTTTTATCATTAGACTAGTAAATGGTTTATCAGCTGAGAAGGTCCGTTGGGGTGAGTCTGTGGAGAGGATGAAGAAAGAAGAGATACTCTTACCTGGCGATGTCCTCCTAACTGCTGCCTATCTCTCGTACGTCGGGTGCTTTGGAAGAAACTACAGACTGAGCCTGATGGACGATAAATGGTTGCCTTTCCTACAGAAATTAGATGTAAGCTAGCATCAAATTATTACACATTTATAATTCTATATTGTACATGTACCTTTTGCTGATTCTTTTGTAGCCTCCTATACCAAAGACAGAAGATCTTGATGTACTATCGCTATTGACTGACCCTGCTACCATAGCTCACTGGAATAATGAGAATCTACCCAGTGATCGTATGTCCATAGAGAATGCTACCATATTGACCAGTGCTGAGAGGTGGCCACTAATGATTGACCCACAGCTCCAGGGGATCAAATGGATCAAGACAAGAGAGGGAGATGAATTGAAAGTCGTTAGGCTTGGAAGCAAAGGGTATAAGAGGAAGAGACGATAAAATAATTTTCTTATATTTTATTATTATTTTAAAAATAGATATCTTGATGCTATTGAGAGAGCTGTCTCTAATGGTGACTGCTTACTCCTCGAGAATATAATGGAGTCCGTAGATCCTGTACTAGACCCTCTACTGGGACGACTAACTATTAAGAAAGGACGTTATATTAAGATTGGAGACAGAGAAGTTGAATATCATCCCAAGTACGAACACCCTGACCTCCTCTCTCTCCATTTCTTTCATCTCTTTTGCTCTCTGTTTTCATGATTATATTATGCTATGCTCATTAGGTTTAGAATGATACTACAGACAAAACTAGCAAATCCTCACTACAAACCTGAGATGCAGGCACAAGCTACACTCATTAACTTCACTGTTACAAGAGATGGACTGGAGGACCAGCTCCTAGCTGAGGTGGTATCAACTGAAAGACCTGACCTAGAGAAAACAAAAGTAAGATGGGACATTTTAAAAATAATATTAAATATTCTTTTTTTGATGTTAATTTTGTTGTGCATAAATCATTGTGTTTATTCTTTTCATGACAGACTGAGCTAACGACACAGCAGAATGAGTTTAAGATCAGACTGAAAGAGTTAGAGGATAATCTACTCTCACGTCTCTCGTCTGCTGGAGGAAACTTCCTCGGCGACACAGCCCTGGTTGAGAACCTTGAGATTACTAAGAGCACAGCACAAGACATTGAGATGAAAGTAAAGTGACAGAATAAGAGAGAGGGAGAAAGAGAAAAATGAATCTGTTTTATTATCTTTGCTCATTGTGTAGGTACAAGAAGCTATAGTTACTGAGAAGAAGATAAACGAAGCAAGAGAGAACTACAGGCCAGTTGCTGCACGAGCTTCACTTCTTTACTTTATATTAAACGATTTGAACAAGATCAATCCTCTGTATCAATTCTCATTGAAAGTAAGAAATAGTTCTTCTTTTCTCTTGTCATTTGTTTTATACTATAAAAAATTTAAAATAAATCTCTTTGCCTTCAATCTCTTGTCTTTTTTGCTCCATAGGCCTTCAGTGTAGTGTTCCACAATGCTATAGACAGAGCTGAAGAGAATGAAGACATTAAGGCTCGTGTGTCCAATCTCATTGACAGCATCACTTATATGGTCTACATGTACACATCCCGTGGTCTTTTTGAGAGAGACAAACTAACTTTCACCTCTCAAGTCACCTTCCAAGTAATAGAGAGAGAGAGAGAGAGAGAGAGAGAGAGAGAGAGAGAGAGAGAGAGAGAGAGAGAGAGAGAGAGAGAGAGAGAAGGATAGGGTCCATTACTGGGAAATTTTTATGATTGCTGTTACATTTAACAATAGTGTTATTAATCTTTGCAAAAATTTTGTAATATACTTTTCATTGGAATCAACTCACATTTCCTCCATAACACAAAACATGGCTTATCCCAGTTATTTCTCTTTAGATATTGCTGATGGATAAGGCCATTGATCCAACTGAGCTGGATTTCCTGCTACGTTTCCCTACAGTCCCAAATGTTAACAGTCCAGTCGACTTCCTCTCACACAACAGCTGGGGTGGCATCAAGGCACTAGCTAACATGGACCAGTTCAGAAATATTGACAAAGATATTGAAGGTAATTATGCCTATTTAGACCTGTGTTTACATGATTCGGAATTTATTTTTTACTTAAAGAAGATTACAAACGTTATTGTATTGCAGTTTGAATAGAGATTAAAGTCTTTGTCTGACACTCTCTCTCTCTCTCTCTCTTTCTTTAGGTTCTGCTAAAAGGTGGAAGAAGTTTGTAGACAGTGAGACACCAGAGCAAGAGAAGTTCCCTGGAGAATGGAAGAACAAGAGCTCCCTACAGAAGCTCTGCATGATGAGGGCACTCAGACCAGACAGGATGACATATGCTATGCTGTAAGCAGAACACAATGTCTTAATTCCTTCCCTTCTTTGCTCAGTTCATTCCTTTGTCTTGAAAAGAAAATGCTAAATCTAGAATGTATGTTGTGTTTCAAAGTTTGAGATGATTCCAATTGACATTAGATTTTTTTAATGAATTTTTAAAGTTACTCCAAAATCGGGCCAAAGTCCCTGTACTAAAGTACAGCCAAATTTCACTAAAAATGACAAGGAGAGAATTCTCCATTTTTATAAGTTTTTCTGATGCATATACTTGTACTTAGGTTGTGTTTCAAGTTTGAGATGATTGTGGTCAAAGTTAGATTTTTTATGAATTTTTAAAGTTACTCCGAAATCGGGCCAAAGTCCCTGTACTATAGTACAGGGTCTTGAGTTAAATTTTGCCAAAAATTACAAGGAGAGGATTCTTTATTTTAATAATATTTTCTGATGCATATACATGTACTTAGGTTGTGTTTCAAGTTTGAGATGATTCCGATCAAAATTGGATTTTTTACGAATTTTTAAAGTTGCTCCAAATGCCATGTACTACTAGTGTAGCATGCTTTGTGAGACATACCTCATTCCATTATTATTATTATTATTATTATTATTATTATTATTATTATTATTATTATTATTATTATTATTATTATTATTATTATTATTATTGCTGTGTTTGTATAGGTTGTATGTTGAGGAGAAACTCGGTACAAAATATGTAGAGAAGAGGACGATTCCGTTTGAAGTGTCTTACAAAGAGAGTGGCCCAGCTACTCCTGTCTTCTTTGTCCTCAGTCCTGGAGTTGATCCTCTTAAAGACGTTGAGGCACTCGGAAATAAAATGAACTTTACCGTCGACAATAAGAACTTTCATAATGTCTCGCTAGGACAAGTAAGAGGATAAAAGAAAAGGATTATATAATCATATTAAAAACTATAGGGTCAAGAGATTGTTGCTGAGAGAGCTCTTGAGCTAGCAGCTACAGAAGGACACTGGGTCATATTACAAGTAATAATAATGATGAATGAAAAATAAAACTATTTCCCTCTTTTTATCTTTTTCTACAGAACATTCATCTTGTCGCCAGGTGGCTGGCAACACTAGAGAAGCAGTTGGAGAAGAACAGTGAGGGGAGTCATGAAGCATATCGTGTGTATATATCAGCCGAGCCAGCTCCTGATCCAGCAGGGCACATTATACCACAGGGGATCCTTGAAGCTAGTATTAAGATTACTAATGAGCCTCCTACTGGTATGCTGGCCAACCTTCATAAGGCACTGGATAACTTTAATCAGGTAAAATAAACTTGTAAAATATATAAGCTTTGAAGTTATTGTCTCACTCCTCCTTTCTATTGATTTGCAATGATTCACATACCCTCTTACTTTAGGATACTTTGGAGAGATGCTCACGTGAGAACGAGTTCAAGAGTATCCTCTTTTCTCTAATATACTTCCATGCTTGTGTCGTCGAGAGACGTAAATTCGGGCCACAAGGATGGAACAGGTCGTACCCGTACAACACTGGCGACCTCACAATTAGCGTTGATGTACTCTACAACTATCTTGAAGCCAACGCAAAGGTATGTCACTCCGTCTGTCTATTGTATTGGGTCACATGAACGTCATGTGGTTTGTTTAGGTCCCTTGGACTGATCTACGTTACTTGTTTGGTGAGATTATGTACGGTGGGCATATTACTGATGACTGGGATAGGAGACTCTGTCGGACATACCTTGAGGAGTTTATGAAACCTGAACAAGTGAGGGATAGAGAGAGAGGGAGAGAGATAATGTTTGATTAATTTTAATTATCCACTAGCTTGATGGTGAGTTGCTCTTTGCTCCTGGTTTCCCCATCCCGCCCAACTCTGACTACAAAGGCTACCATAGTTACATTGATGAGAACCTCCCACCCGAGAGTCCCACCCTGTACGGTCTCCATCCCAATGCTGAGATTGGGTTCCTCACTACTACCAGTGAGTCTCTATTCCGTACTGTACTTGAAATGCAGCCGAGAGACTCCACCAGTGGAGCAGGGGCAGGGGCCAGTCGAGAAGAGAAGATCAAAGCACTACTTGATGAGATTCTAGAGAAGCTCCCTGAGGAATTCAATATGGTGGAGCTGTTTGCACGTGCTGAAGAGAAGACCCCATATGTACTGGTGGCACTGCAGGAGTGTGAGAGGATGAATGGACTCACTCGCGAGATAAGACGGTCATTAAAGGAAGTTGATCTTGGACTGAAGGTAAAGAAAATAATTTGTAAAAATTTGTAACTTGTTTTTACTTTAAAGTGTTTAACAACCTTGTTCTCACCTTGAAGTGTTAACAAGGTGTAAAAATTTGTCTGCTTTCATTAAAAAAAATTTTTTCCCTCTTCTTTCTTCCATAGGGTGAGCTAACAATCACTACAGACATGGAGAACTTACAGAATGCTTTATTCTTTGACAACATACCAGAAGGCTGGAACAAGAGAGCCTATCCTTCAATGAACGGCCTCACTGTCTGGTACGCTGACCTCCTCCAGCGAATAAAAGAACTTGAGAGCTGGGTCTCCGACTTTAACATGCCCGTCTGCATATGGCTAGCCGGTTTCTTTAACCCTCAGTCCTTCCTAACGGCCATCATGCAGTCTATGGCCCGTAAGAATGAGTGGCCATTGGATAAGATGTGTCTTCAATGCGACGTGAGTAAGAAGAACAGGGAGGACTTTTCCAGTGCTCCACGTGAAGGTGCGTATGTTCACGGTTTCTTTATGGAAGGAGCTCGTTGGGATACACAGACTGGACTGATACAAGAGGCACATCTTAAGGATCTCAATCCTTCCATGCCAGTTATATTCATCAGAGCTATACCTGTTGATAAACAAGAGACCAAGAATATCTACGAGTGCCCTGTGTACAAGACAAGGACGCGCGGGCCTACTTATGTGTGGACCTTTAATTTGAAGACAAAGGAAAAGGCAGCAAAATGGATCATTGCTGGAGTAGCACTACTACTTAGTGTATGAACATACAAAGGCCTCATTGAGTATTGTAATGACTTTTTAATATTTTTTTACTTATTAGTTGGCTGGCCAAACTTTTTTTAGTATTTTTAAGAGCTATATATTTTTTATGCTATTGCTTTTATATTTAATTATTGCTGTTTCCTTAATTTTTTATTGCAGTAAGCTCTACCACAGATAGTACACGTATCTACTAAGATACCAAGCAGGAACTGTTTGTGTAGTTTCAATTACTAAATCTATCACCAACTGCCAGATTATCATTAAAATAACAGGACATTGATATGCCATTGTGAGCCATTTATAGCAAAAAATAGCAGGACATAGATAGATTGAATTTGATAGTACCTACAGTTAGTATAAAAATCAGCTAGTCAGACCAGATGTTAGTTGCTTATGATTGAATCAGTCAAAATGTCAGTTGAAGAATATGAACACATCCAACCAGCTTACATGATGAACCAAGAGAATATGTATGAAGTGTTGGACAATAAAACAAGGGACCTTTCTACTCAAGCTCAGCCAAAAGAAGCATCTAAGAAATGGGACAAGCACTTGAACAAACAATCGGACAAACACTTTATTGTTCTTGCAGTATTATTGTGTTTGAATTTTATACTGCTTGTGGCTATTCTTCTACTGATATTGAGTACTATGCTTACAAAAGAAGATGCTTGTATGGTAAGTCAAGAAGCTACTCCTAACATCAATGGTTGCTCTAATCTCACCGAATGGGCCATTGGTGTTCTTTCTAAAGTTAACAGCAATGTAACAGGGAACCTTCCTGACTTTAATGAATGGGCTAACGGTGTTGCCTCTAAAGTTAACCAGAGCCTTCCTGACTTAAATGAATGGGCTAATGGTGTTGTCACTAAAATTAACAGCAATGTAACACAGAGCCTTCCTGACTTTAATGAATGGGCTAATGGTGTTGTCTCTAAAGTTAACCAGAGCCTTCCTGACTTCAATGAATGGGCTAATGGTGTTGCTTCTAAAGTTAACAGCAATGTAACAGGGAGCCTTCCTGACTTCAATGAATGGGCTAATGGTGTTGCTTCTAAAGTTAACAGCAATGTAACAGGGAGCCTTCCTGACTTCAATGAATGGGCTAATGGTGTTGCTTCTAAAGTTAACAGCAATGTAACAGGGAGCTTTCCTGACTTCAATGAATGGGCTAATGGTGTATCACAAAATACCCTTCAACTATTTCAGAGCTATCCCAACTTTACTGGACTTGATGAACAAATCTTACAAAATACAAGAGATTCTGCACAAAAGCTCATTAACATTGCCAATACTCTCTCTAATCTACAAGACACCAGTGCCTCTACTGGTGGAGTAGCTGTAAATACATTATTATTCATTAATCAAATGTATCCCCAACTCATCCCACCATTGTCTTGCAAGCAAATCCTCAGGAAAACACCCAACAGTCCATCAGGCCATTACATACTAACATCAAATAATGGAGCTACTAACTACAGCACTTACTGCAATATGGGGACATTGTGTGGTTCAGGAGGAGGATGGACAAGACTAGCATATCTGGATATGTCCGACCCCACACAAAACTGTCCTTCTGCTTTGGAACTCTATCAGTCAGGAAGTGTTAGAGCTTGTGGCAGGTCATTGTTAAATATACCAGTAGGCTGTGTATCAGTTAAGTTCCCATCTAATGGTATCAGTTATTTTCAGATATGTGGTAGAGTAACAGGATATCAACATCGTTCTACAGATGGTCCTAACACACACATAGATGATCTCAATTCTCATTATGTTGATGGTGTTAGTATCACTCATGGGTCTCCTCGTCAACATGTCTGGACACTAATGGCTGGTAACAGTGAAACAAGCTTATCTTCATCAAATTCGTGTCCATGTAATAATGGTAGTACAGTTAATGTACAATCTTTTGTTGGTGATCACTACTTCTGTGAATCAGGTAATAAAGTTAGCACTGCTTCAAATACTCTCTATACATCTGATCCACTCTGGGATGGTCAAGGTTGTGGTTCTCTTGAATCACCTTGTTGTAATGTTACTGGTATCCCATGGTTTCACAGAGACTATGGTAGCAATACCACTACTGACTATATTGAGTTGAGGATGTGCTCTGATTTTGATGATGAAGACACTCCTGTTGGTTACTATGAGATTTATGTTAAGTAAAGTACATAGTAACAAATTATAGTAAAAGTAGTTAAGTGCATAGATTTAGAATTTTAGGGCAAAAAATGACTTTGTTATAGTTCTAAATGTTTATTGTTGATTTTGTGATAATATTTGCTTAATAACTTTTGTTCAATTTTTAGAAGTTAAAACTGTGTTATTACTAAAATTAATTTTATTTATTATTAAGAAAAACACAAAAAAAGATTTTTCGCATTGCATAGCCTTACTTTCAGTATGAGTACGGTACATAATTATGGCCTATATCGTACATAGATACCTGTAAACTGAATTTTGGGGTAAAACACCACAAACTGCTGGTGAGTGTTGCTGTCAATCCACTGTAATTAATATAATAGCATTGACTGGTTAAAAATGTAACTCTCATATTTTCAAAAACTAAATCAATCAATAAACACACAATCAAAAAAGCAGCAATAAAGTAATAACTAAGAAACAAATCAAAAGTATTATTATTGTTATTAATTATTAGTAGGTTTATTGATGCTGCCATAAGTAGCAGCTGTAGCAATAGTAATGGGTTGATGATCCACTGAATGTAGCGAGTCAGCCAGTTTACCAGGAACATGCTGTTCATCATATTCTTGTGGATTCTCCATGCGATCAGCAATCCAATCATCATCAGCACCAACCAATGGCTGATAGTCTTCTTCTTGATCTCTGATAACCACTGGATTATTTCTCTTATGATAGAGTAGGCATGCTTTTATCATTTTGTGTACTTGGTAGATTAGATATACTGGTATTATGATGCCAAATATTAGAACATTGATAAACAGAGTTGTTGGAAAAATCACAGCACTACCTACACCTCCAAGTGTTAAAGCAATTAAAAAAAATTCAGTGAAATTGTGAACATTTCTTTTAAAGGGGCGAAAAATGAAAACTATTACTGCTAGTAAGAGGAAACAGCAACCTAAAGAAATTAGTATTGAAATTATGAAATAGAATCCGTGAATAAATTGACCAAAAATAATTATTCTTGCCAGTAGGTATAGTCCAGCCATGAAACGATAATCATAAGTATTCTCAGTTCCATTTTTATAAGGACCAGTAAACACATCACCCAGTGATATCAGTAGCTGTTTTCTTAAATTTAAACAGTCCAATAGCTTATGAAACCATTTGAATGGATAAAGGAGTATATAAAGTGTAGGCAGGAGTATCAGAAACAATAACACTAAGATTGCAAAGAAACCAGCAGCACCATGAACCCCCTTGAAGTAATCCTGCTTCATATCATAATAAAATTTGATATCACTAGAGTTTGATGTAGCTGTTTGATTAAAACTCAAAATTTTAAAGGAAGTGGTAGTCAATTGGGTGAAGCAGAGTATATATATTGATGCTATAGAGTGAGTAAAAGATGGTTCAATGCCAGTCATACTCCAGAAACGAGCCATGCAACGATGAAATGGTCTAGTAATAAATACTACACACTTGTAACCTTTATCATACAATGTTATCCAAACATAGAGTAAGAGGAGGAGGAGCAATGGATAGAATCCTATCACATACCAAAAGGAAATTACTCCTAATGGTGGTGTATTAGGTGATATACACATAGCATAATTATAAATAAATGGAGTGAAATCTAAAATAAATATACTGCATGGTATTTGTAATATACTGCATGGTATTTGTAAATATGGGCCATAGTAAAAATAAACAAAGTAATAAACTATAGGCGCTAGCACTCCCGTTATTTGTGAATATAATACCACTCCATTAATAGATCCGTTGGTCAGTTGTATATTAAATATTATTATTAGTAATACCATAATTGTAATTGGTAATAGTTCAATTAAAATAAATACTAGTAAACCATTTTCATCACATTCAACACAGGTGTAGGTATTGTTAAATGGTACTCCTTTTGATGTACAATTAAGAATATACTCTTGTGTAATATTTTTGTCATAGCAATAGATATGCTGATCACAATTATAGCCAACATCACAATAGTTGCAATCACTGCCAAGAACATTTAAATTGCAAGGAATATCATATATATTATCACATGACTTAACCCGTGGTACATCAGTACAGTTTACATTATCAAAGTTAGAGTCCATGCATTGAAATGACACAGATATAGTTCTACTAGCATTCATTTTTACATAAAAAAAAGTTTGAGCATAAATTGTCACTTCGAAAGTACGAGTGCCAGCATGAATATAATCATACAAACATTTTTTCACTTGATAGCATTCAAAATCACCATTGTACGAAATTCTAGGACATTTTTGAATTGTAGAATTAGATCCAATACTAATACAAACTTCAAGGTCATAAGTCCAAGCAAATGTCTTATCAGTACAAGTATCATTGATAATAGCACCAAATGAAAAAAAATCACATGGACAGCTGTCATAATTATCAGAGCAATATACAAGTAACTCATCATAATAGTTGTCCAAAACTAAGTGTAATTCAAAATTTGGACAAGCCTCATTCCCCAGTACTGGTTCATTGTGTGTAGTAATATCAAAGGATGGTTCAGTACATGTAACAGGAACATTGTTACAATTATAAAGACTAACACATTCAAATACAATATACTTCGACCAGTTATATGAAGAAGACGAAACATGTAGACACGTGATACTAACCTCTTCATATCTACTACCATCCCTCATACCAATAATGCTCACATTATTCCTCAGTTGCTGTTGATCTAGTAGACTAGTAGTGTCTAGTGTATATGTACCAGGAGACAGGTTGATAAGGATACCTGATGAACAGTTGTATTGTAGAGTAGCAGTTCCTTGTATAGCTAGATCAATAGTAGCACAAGGTGTTTGAACTCCTCCAGTCCAACAAGAGGTATTGTTAATACCATGAGATAAACTGACATAGATCCTACACTCCAAACCAGCAGCAGAATAAACTAGAACAAGAGAAAGGAGAGAGACAAGAACCACTCTAGGAGGCATTATTGTTATGGATGAATGGCTCAAAAATGAAATACACTCAAAATACTTATTAATTTTGACAGTTTAGACAAGTACTCTTATCATCAGACTAATGATAATACTACAGTAAAGTTTCTTTTTTTCTGTATTATCTCATCAATTTTCAGTAGTAAGTTTAATGATAAGAATACATGTGATGATGTGACAAGCACTCCAATACTGACTCTGCATACTCTAAATATAACATATTTTTTACTTTTCCATAATAGCCAATAGGATTAGTGAGCTAAAAAGTATGCTTCATGAGCTGACAAGCTGGAACAACTTTAAAAAATCATTAAAAATATAAATTTGATCAAAATCATCTCAAACTTGAAACACAACATAAATATGTATACGCATCAGAAAAAGTTATAAAAATGAAAAATTCTTTCTTTACCATTTTTGGTAAAATTTGGCCCAACACACATTATTTAAAAAGTAATAATTATTTTAATGACTTTTTATATTTAAAATAATTGGGGCAATCCTGAGCAAGTTCTACTACCATAATGTCACTATCTAACTAGATCTATTACTAAACAAATTTACATTTAATTTTGATTTTCTTCACACAATGTTGATTGCATTCTTCATTTCCAGCAAATGAAAGTTATGGGCTCAGTTTACACCATGTTTACACAGTGCACACTTTCCCTGGCACTGGATATCTCAGGATATCCAGAATCTAGAGCTGCTAAAACTGTGTGATTTCTTGTGTTGGGATCTTTGTTTAGTCATGAGGTTTAAGATTTCAAGGAAGAAATTATGCCAACTTCTTGTCATTGCATCTTATCCTGCTATTTTGGTCTTGGTCTGGGATTACATGATGACTTTAGAATTCAGTTTGAATCAGCTTTTCTTTGAAGCTGTTGAGGAAGGTAGAAGTAAACTATACATTCATTACAGCAGCTATGCTAGTACTGTTTTGGCATGTTTCCTGTATCCTACTTTTGGTTTGTTAGCTGATGTGTGGATTGGGAGATACAAAGCTATACTCATTGGTATGGTATTCTGTTTCTTGTCATGGATTATAGGAGGGATTGGATTTATTATTGATAACTACTATCACAGTGATGGTGTACTTTTGGGTTTTTATGGGATTGCATATTTCTTTCAATACTGTGGTTACACGTGCTTCACTGCTAACATTATTCAGTTTAATATTGATCAACTTATTGGAGCTTCATCTGATGAATTAAGCACTCTCATATATTGGCATACTGCTGTTACACCAGTTATATATATATTTATATACACAATACTTAATCTGCTAGGTCACAGCTTTTATGTTAATATGGCTATTTTTATTATATCGGGATCAGCTGTATCTTTTGTACTTGTGTCTCACTCTTTGTTTAAACACACGCTGGAGAAGGTATCTCTAATCAAGAATCCCATCAAATTGATAATTAATGTGTTGTTTTATGCCAAAAAACACAAGTATCCAGAAAATCGTAGTGCTCTGACATACTGGGAACAAGAGGCTCCTTCAAGGATAGACTTGGGTAAAAGGAAATACGGTGGACCTTTTACTGAAGAAGAAGTAGAAAATGTTAAAACCTTCTTTGGTATTCTACCATTTTTCATAGCCATTTTAGGTTTTGTTCTTAGTGACTCTTGGTTCACTCTTAACATAGACGCTAATAATTTAGTCCTGCTGTCTGGGATTCAATATAGCATATGCAGCCTTATCATACTGTTTCTTTATCTATTCTTCATTCGTATTTTCTTCTACAAGTTCATTGCCTCTATGCTGTCTAGAATGAGTCTTGGACTTTTTCTCGCTTTGATTGTTGGAATTTCAGAAATGATTGCAGCAAAGTTAATACAGTTAGATGTGACGTTTTTCAATACCAACAAGACTACATACATATATTTGTTATTCTTAGGAATATCAAAGCTATTAGTCACTCAAACTTCATTGGAATTTATCGTGGCACAGACTCCAGTTCAGATGAGAGGAATGATGGTTGGATTTTGGTTAGCATCATGGGACATTGGATTTCTTATTGATAGTCTCATAGAGCTTTCATTTAGCTGTGAGTCAAAAATGATCTGTACCAGTTTTTTCTATTATCTAACAAAGAATGTAATAGTTTTTGTCATTTTGATTTTATTTGTGATCCTGGCAAAACGCTATAAATATCGTGTGAGGGAGAATGAAGTTAATATTGCTCAGATAGTTGAGGATCATTATCAGAGATACATGGTTCAAGAAGAGCAGTTCAAAAGGAAGGACAATGATCATTTTCTTATTACTTCTACTTCTAGTTATTATTAATTAATTTTATGTAAAAACGTGTTTGATTCTTTGGTGCTAACAGTAAAATAACATACAGACAAATCCATGTACATGTAATAGCAGATATGTCCGACCCTACACAAAACTGTCCTTCTGCTTTGGAACTCTATCAGTCAGGAAGTGTTAGAGCTTGTGGCAGGTCACTGTTAAATATACCAGTAGGCTGTATCAGTTATTCTCAGATATGTGGTAGAGTAATAGGATATCAGCATCGTTCTACGGATGGTCCTAACATACACATAGATGATCTCAATTCTCATTATGTTGACGGTGTTAGTATCACTCGTGGGTCTCCTCGTCAACATGTCTGGACACTAATGGCTGGTAACAGTGAAACAAGCTTATCTTCATCAAATTCGTGTCCATGCAATAATGGTAGTACAGTTACTGTACAACCTTTTGTTGGTGATCACTACTTCTGTGAATCAGGTAATAAAGCTAGCAGTGCTTCAAATACTCTCTACACATCTGATCCACTCTGGGATGGTCAAGGTTGGGGTTCCCTTGAATCACCTTGTTGTAATGTTACTGGTATCCCATGGTTTCACAGAGACTATGGTAGCAATACCACTAGTGACTATATTGAGTTGAGGATGTGCTCTGATTTTGATGATGAAGACACTCCTGTTGGTTACTATGAGATTTATGTTAAGTAAAGTACATAGCAACAAAGTATAGTAAAAGTAGTTAACTTTGTTTTATTTCTAAATGTTTATATATTTTATGATAATATTTGCTTAATTTTTTGTCCAATTTTTTAGAAGTTGAAACTTTTATTAATAAAATTAATTTTACTTCATGTCTCATGATTCAAAGGCACACATAAGCAAAATAATTATCAGCTAGTCAGAAAAAATAATTTTGTCTTACTTTAGAATTAAAATTAATATCAAGGGTACATAATTATGGCCTATACTATACATGCCTGTAAACCGAGTTCTGGGGTAAGACACCATATTTAACTACATGCTAATTGCTGGTGAGGCCAACTAGCTCTGCCTTGCTTGATTAGAGCATAGTCCATATCAGTTATAAACAAGTAATTGTGATACTGCAATACCACAGTTTATTTTGTATGCCTATATGAACGTTATTCATTGTTACTCCACTATGAGTTGCTTGTTCAGCAATACATTATAGCATTGAGCAAAACAGGCACACTGTAAAACTCGAATATTTTCAAAAACTAAATTAATCAAAAGACACACAAAAAGCAGCAATAATATGTAATAACTAAGAAACAAATCAAATGTATCATTATTATTATTATTAATTATTAATTATAAGATGCTGCCATAAGTAGTAGCTGTATCAATAGTAATGGGTTGATGGTCCTCTGAATATAACTCGTTAATCAGACCAGGAACATAATGTTCATCAGATTCTTGTGGATTCTCCATGCGATTGGCAACCCAATCATCATTGTTACGAGCTAATGGCTGACGAGGTGCTTCTTGATACCTGGCAACCTCAGAAGTATAATTACAACAACAATCACAACAACAATCACAACATGCACCTATCACTTTGCATACTATATAGCAAGGTATTATGATGCCAAATATTAGAAAATTGAAAACAAATAATGCAAGGATTGAGAGGGGAAAAACACTGGTCGCACCTTCAATTGCTGGAAATGCAATTATCAATAAAACTTCAGTAAAATTATGAATATTTCTTTGAAAGGGTCGAAGGATGATAACTAATACTGCTAGTAAGAAGGAACAGCAAGCCTGAGAAATTAGTATTGAAATTGTTGAATAGTATCCATAAATGAATTGACTGGAAATAATTATTCTTGCCAGTAGGTATAGTCCAGCCATGAAACGATAATCATAAGTATCCTCAGTTCCATCCTTATAAGGACCAGTAAACACATCACCCAGCGATATCAGTAGCTGTTTCCTCAAATGTAAACAATCCAATAACTTATGAAACCATTCAAATGGATAAAGAAGTATATAAAGTGTTGGTAAGAGTATCAGAAACAATAAGACTAAAATTGCAAAGAAACCAGCAGCACCATGAACCCCCTTGAAGTAATCCTGCTTCATATCATAATAAAACTTGATATCACTAGAGTTTGATGTAGCTGTTTGACTAAAACTCAATATTTTAAAGGAAATGATAGTCAATTGAGTGAAGCAGAGTATATATATTGATGCTATAGAGTGAGTAAAAGATGGTTCAATGTCAGTGATTCTCCAGAAACAAGCCATGCAACAATAAAATGGTCTAGTAATAAATACTACACACTTGTAACCTTTATCATACAATGTTATCCAAACATAGAGTAAGAGGAGGAGGAGCAATGGATAAAATCCTATCACATACCAAAAGGAGAGTACTCCCAATGGTGTTGTGTCAGTTGAAATACATAATGGATAATTAATGACAAATGGAGTGAAATCTAAAATAAATATATTGCATGGCATTTGTAGATCTACCAATACAATATCATCATAAAAATAAAAGGAATAAAATATTCCTACCATTTGTGAATAGAATACTACTCCATTAATAGATCCATCAGTTAGCTGTATATTAAATATTATTATTAATAATACCATAATTGTGATTGGTAATAGTTCAATTACAATAAATACTAGTAAACTGTAACTATCACATTCAACACACGTGTAGGGATTGTTTAAAGGTACTCCCTTTGATGTACAGTTAAGAATTAACTGTTCTGTATTATTTTTGTCATAGCAATACATATATTCATCACAATCAAAGCCATCTTCACAATAAGTGTCACAGTCATTTATATAAGAGTTACAAGGAATATCATATACATTATCACATGGCATGACCAGTGTTGTGTCAGTACATTTTCCATTAGCAAAGTAAGAGTCCATGCAGTTCACGCTCACTGTCCCAGTTGCATTAGCACTCATATTAACATAAAAAAACGTTCGAGCATAAACTGTTATTTCCAATTTACCATCAGCATTAAAGTAATCATCTAAACATTTTTTCACTTCATACACTTCATCATCATAATCATAAAAGCTAAGGTAATATTGACATCCTTGCTGCCCAATACTCATACAAACTTCAAGATCATTATAAGTCCAATCAAATCTCTTATTAGTACTAGTGTCTGTGATAAAAGCAACAAATGAAAAATAATCGCATGAACAGTTGCCATCAACGTTAATGTTATCAATGAAGCAAGGTAAATACTCATACAATTCTAAGTCTAATTTAAAACTTGGACAAGCCTCGTTCCCCAGTACTGGTTGATTGTGTGTAGTAATACCAAAGAATGGTTCAGTACATGTAACAGGAACATTGTTACAATTATAAAGACTAACACAATGAAATACAATATACTGCGACCAGTTATATGAAGAAGACGAAACATGTAGACACGTGATACTAACCTCTTCATATCTACTACCATCCCTCATACCAATAATACTCACATTATTCTTCAGTAGCTGTTGCTCTAGTAGACTAGTAGTGTCTAGTGTATATGTACCAGGAGACAGGTTGATAAGGATACCTGATGAACAGTTGTATTGTAGAGTAGCAGTTCCTTGTATAGCTAGATCAATAGTAGCACAAGGTGTTTGAACTCCTCCAGTCCAACAAGAGGTATTGTTGATACCATTAGATGAACTGACATAGATCCTACACTCCAAACCAGCAGCAGAATATACTAGAACAAGAGAAAGGAGAGAGACAAGAACCACTCCAGGAGACATCATTGTTATGGATAAATGGCTCAAAAATGAAATGCGCTTAATGACAGTTTAGACCAGTAATACTCTTATCATCAGACTAATAATAATATTATAGTACAAAAGAAGCTCATGAATTGTGAGGCTCTTTTGTTCTATATTATCTATATATATATATCATCAGACTGATAATATTATAGTACAAAAGAGGCTCATAAATTGTGAGGCTCTTTTGTTCTATATTATCTATATGAATTTTGAGGCTCTTGTTTCAATAGTAAGATAAGAGTACATGTGACAAGCACTCCTGCATACTCTAAATATATTCTTTTAACTTTTCTCATAATAGCCAATGGGATTAGTGAGCTAAAAAGTATGCTTCATGGGGAGCAACTTTAAAAATTCATAAAAAATTTTCTCTTTGCTATTTTTTGGCAAAATTTGGCCCCACACCCCTGTACAGTACAGGGACTTTGTCCTGATTTTGGAGCAACTTTAAAAAATAGCATCACATAGGAACATACATGTATACACTGAAGTAATAAGAATCCTTTCCTCAAAATCCTGTTGGAAACCCCCCCGAGATCCACAATGACCACTTCTAAAACTATCTCTATTGCTTGCCAAATACAGGTACAATGTTTGCTTGCTTACATTCGCCCAATTAACGTTCTACACTCTTGTAGTTAATATTATAAGCTGGTGAATTAAAAGTGTGTATAATAGTCCAACATACACAATAATAATAATAATAATAATAATAATAATAATAATAATAATAATGATAATAATAATAATGATAATAATAATAAATGATCACAATAATTATAGCAATAGATAAATAGAGAGAAAGAAAGACGTGGCTACATTATTCATTTAAGTTATTTTTCATTACGTTAATTTGTCTCTTATAGTGTTTCTACACACACATACATACATACACAAAGAGAGAGTCTTTTACATGTTAATGTAATGGTGGGCGTGTCAGTGGGCGTGGCTATACTGTTATCTTTGTAAGATGGCTGACAGGAGGTACCTGTCCTCCTGTCACATTGTTACCAGCTGGAGCATCACCATTCAACTTCTGTACGTGTAATCTTTTAGATCTAATAATAAGAAGAGGAGAAATTAAAAATTATAATGATAGGTCAATCACATACATGTACATGTACATGTACATGCAGCCCAATATAAAAACAATTATTTATCAATTATAATTATTATAATCATTATTGTACCTGGGTGAACCACTAGCAGGGCTCAGCGAGCGATTATGTTTGATGGTGTCTTTTGATAAATTAGTACGACAGGATGCCAGCCTTGTCTCTAATGTCTACAATAAAATATAAACACCACAATCACCACATCAATCATTAACAAAGAGACTTTCAACTCTATCAAGTTTCCTTTCATTCTCTCCCAAATATCCTTGTACTCCCCCTCCCTACTCTCTCTCTCCCTCTCAAAAACTTACTCCAACTTTCCTAAGTAGATCCCCCACCATGTTCAAAGCTGATATTCTAGCTGATGGGGTTATCGGCTGAGGCTGTGGTACGTTCCCCCGGGTAGGTGTGGCCATGGGAGTGTTCTTCTTTGTAATTGGTGAGGTTGTCATGCCGACTGACATCGTGGAAGGATGAGAGGCTTTGAGACGAGAGAGAGGAGAGCCTTCACTGTTGTCAGGGGCAACCACTTTAGTTTGAATATCCAGTTCCGAACGTAAATCTAAAAGAAGAAAAAAGAATCATAAATAAAATGTGTCTAATAATTATTATTAAACTGCTGACCTCTGACTTCATCTTTGAGTCTCTGACAGGCAACGGAGAGCTCATCTTTTTCATCCAGTTCATTCTCTAGTATAGCATTCCTTTCTAAAGCCTGAGGGAGGGAGAGAGAGAGGAGGGGGGAATATCAAAGTGAAAGTGTTTTTTAACAAATAAGTAGCTCACCATGTTTAGTTTAGTTTCAAAATCATCTAATGAAGTCATCGTAACTCTGAGAAATAAGAAAAGGGAAAAATAATTAGTCATCACCAGCAAACTTCCTAACCTTTGTACATTGTGCATGTAGCAAAAGGAAATCAATACATGTATATGAACATGCACATTGTACATGTACATATGTATATGTCTTCAAATTTTTAGATGGTATACAATATACATGTACTATAAGTGAATCAATGTGCATAAAACAATAAGTGTGATATAAATTTGTCCGGTAGTGCTTTGCATTGCAATCAATCATTACATCATCCTAATATGTATTATGTCTATGGCTATAACCGCAGAAATGGTAACAGGATTGGCATAGTCAACACTCAAAGGATGTAGTAACATTCTTGAGGAATCATCGCTACCCCACACTGCCAAATCAAACTGTCCTGATATACAAAGTGTCTCATATTTGCATTCCCTTACAAAACAAACTAAGAAAAAACAACTCAACACATCATAAGAGCAACACCTTTCAGTAGAGTAAAGCTGTAATAATTAGTGTCATTATACTAATATCTCACTATGTCAATGAACATTTTCCCTTAAATGTATCACATTAAATTGACTACATTACTGTGGATGCATGATGGAATGAAGCTCTGCTGGTTATAAATGTAACTCAACTTCATTAGGTCAAGTTAGCTATACATACACTTCAAGGAAAAGTTACTTCATTACACATACATAGTTATATCATTTAGCCACTGGAGAGTATCAATGTTTAGCTTTAAAAAAGGAATTTGAGAAAAAAGGAATTTTTAATCCAGATGACATGTACATGCATTTATTTTATAGTACAGATTATACTTGCATAGCTTGATGGATTAATAAAAATAAATTTTAATCTGATGCGTGCACATGGAGAATAATAAACTGATATAGTACCTCTTCCCTCTCTCCAGATCATCGTTAAGCTGCTCCAGTTCTCTTGTGTACTTCATGTAGGATTCCTTGATTTGCATTAGGTCGGCATTCTCTGCCTGTAAGTTACTGATAGTCACATAGTTCTCTGCTGTCTGTGTCTCTAACCTAGACTATAATGAAGAGAGAGAGAGAGAGAGAGGGAGAGAGAGGTTGTAATAATTAAAATGAGCCACAGATATTCACTATGCATACCATGCTTAATAAACCATAATCAACTTAGGACTATCAAGTTCTTGTTATTTCACAATAATAAAACAACGCGAGACAATATTCAATAGATCATTTCACATTCATAACAGTTACAGTTACATGTACTAGTACAAGGATTACACAATGGGCACAAATGGACAGAGACACAAATGACAAACTACAAATGAGTATTTTCATTAAGAACAAGCCATGAAAGCCAATTGCAGCCACAAGTTGCTAAACAAGAGTTGGGGAAACATCAAATAAACATCACAAAGACACACACTGTGTGTGTGTATGTGTGAGTATCAATAGTAGATGAATGTTGATAGAATGTGTGTGACATATCAAGAGGAGTAAGGGAGATAAAGAGAATCGTGAGAGAGAAGGGTAGGAGAGAAGGTAAAGGGAGAAGGAAGGGGGAGCTAGAGTAAAAGAGGTGAGTGAAAGAAGCTTGTATTCAAAACACAGCAAACAATGCCACCTGTAGTACGAATGAGTATACCACCTGGGTCTAGGCACAGGAGGCCAAATCATGATGACATAGGTTACTATTATCAGTGTGAACAAATAGTGTATGACTATGTGTGTGTCTATGCAGCCATTGAATGGGTACAATCAAATAAAAGGTGGTAACAATAACTCATGCCACATTTGGTACTACTAGACATAATAAAAAGTATAATCATTAATTATTATGTCAAAAATTAAACCACTACATATTATAATGGACCATATTTAGTAAAAGGATAATAAGTAACAGGAAATACTAATAAAACACAAATAAAATATGTACTTGTACGATACTGTACATAATAATTGATAGCATCAAATGATCAAAATCACAACAATTGTGCCCTTACTTATTGTCTTAATGCAAACACTTCAAACCCACAGACACACACAGACACACACACTGTAGAGTCACTGAAAGACATAATAAATAGCACACACCTTCTTAATATTAGTACAAACCCTCTTAATATTAGTACAAACACAACCATTACAATTATTGTAACACTCTAGACTCAGTCACATGACATAGAAGACAACGTGACAGTTTAAACCAACAGAATGCAAGTCATTAGCAGCTGCTCTGATGCTAAAATTCAAATTTTTATAAGAAGAGTAATTACTTTCATTTGATCATTCTCGTCTTGGAGTCTTTGGACTTTAGCTAATAGTTCTCTGTTCTTTGCTTCAGTTTGCTCCAGGGATGTCTCCAACTCTGCTTCTAAGTCTCTACTGTTTTCTTGAAAATCATCAAACTCTGCTCTTAAGTCCTCCAAACTAAGGGAAGGGAGAGAGAGAGAGTGAAAACATTCACAGAGAGCAAGACACAACATGATCAAATGAAAGAAAGAGAGCAAGTGACTGAGTAAGTGATAGCAACAAAAAGCCAAAATACATGTACATGCACCAAAGAGTCAGCGAGAAGAAGATTGAAAGCAACTGTCATGATAAAATGTACATTCAATTAAAAATTCAAAAGAGAAACAAATGATGTACATGTACATGTGTAATGAATGGACGCTGTACAATAGAATGCCCTCTAGCATAATTATAATAGATTAATGAATATTGCCTTGACAACCAAATAACAAAAGAAGAACTTGACATGAATACCATTATTATAATCTTTCCCTCTCTCTTAATGAAACAATAAAAATAACAAAGTACCTACAGCCATAACAACTTAAAAGATAACAAATGAACGTCAGAGCCAATAGTTAATTGTAAGGAAAAGGATTGATCTAATACTTATGTAGTTGACACTGATACTACTTATAAAGATATGGGGCAATATTGTTAACCACAACCAACCACAAAACAAATATAAGGTTTGGGTATTGATCCTACTTTAATCAACACTGTACATGTACATTAAGGAATACGTATGTATCAATGAATGTTCCAACAAAGCTCTCTTTTTATGACCTTTTCATAATAATGTCACACGACGAGCTTATTTAATTGATTCGATGAAAATTTAACTATAAAACATATGTCGTGGAATATCTTACTCTTGTCTTAGGTGAGCTGCCTGGTCCTTCCAGTATTGCAGCTCTTCCTCGACACTGCTAAAGCTGGTTCTCTCCCCACCACTCATAATGCGTCAATCTGTTCAGTTTGTCCTATTCAATATTATTTCCAGTTGTCCTGGAAAGGTTTTAGACGGTAAATATCAGCCCAACTATCTCTTAGGCCTCCTGGGCAACAATAAGAGACAGGGAAAGAGAGAAGGAGAGGTAAGAGAAACACGAGAAGAAGGCAAAGACTCGAGATATTGGAAGTGGAAGAAATCGAAATTAAGGTTTCTAATTTAACAGAAAGTAATTTTAAGATTTAATGGGCGGGGCTTCCTATGGGAGGGGCTGGAAATAGGCAGAGGGTTTATGCATAGATGACTTTGTCTTGATTAGAAATTGAGAATAATGTCCAGCAAAGAAGAGAGAGTCCTCCAGTCTGAATATGATGAGTCTCAATATTATCCAAGAGTAGCAGATGAGAGTGAGACGGACTCTGGTGGCACTCTTGAATCTCTTGATGAAGAAACACCAATTCCCATAAATCAAGAAACTCTTTCTTCTCCTCCTCCTCCTCCTCCTCCCTCTAAAGAACTAACAGATAAAGAAGCACCTAGTAAAGAAACTGCAAACGATAAAGAAGACATCAAAGGTATCGTTGCTTCTGATACGCAAACGAAAGATGTTATGAGTTGTGGCGTGTGTTTCCAGTTGCTGCTTGATCCAGTCACTCTTAACTGTGGGCACAGTTTCTGCCTCGTCTGTCTTGCCCAATTATGGAATGTCTCACGTAACTCTTCTCTCCTTTGTCCAATGTGTCGTCAGCCTTGGGCTGAGCCTGGGGGCCGACTACCCTCAGTTAATGTTATGCTTAGGTACGTGAAGAATTTTAAATAATTATTTGAAAATTCTTCAAATAATTTTTATTTTTAAATGTTTTCTAGGGAGGTACTAGAACAGACTTTTCCGGAAAAGATTAAGGAGAGACGTGGGGCCCTCTCTCCAGAAGAGTTTAATCTTATTGTGCAATACAACCAGGGTTCGGCCCAGCGTCCAGGGATGGGATCCGGTAGAGAGAGAAGACAAGTCAATATGCATGCGATTATATGTATCTTCATGACAGTTTTATGCAGCATTTTCCTACTGGTGAGTAGCTGACTGTAGCAGTCATGGTCTTTGGTTGTTTGCCTTACCTTTGGGTTTACTTTACTTCAGCAGATTTCATGGTCACAGTCATTTTCAATGAATGTACCTGACCCTGTACTATAGTATAGGGACTTTGGCCCGATTTTGGAGTAACTTTAAAAATTCATGAAAAATCCAATTTTGATTAGAATCAATCCAAACTTGAAACACAGCATAAAAACATGTATATGTATTAGAAAAAATTATAAAAATTAAGAATTCTCTCCTTGCCATTTTTGGTGAAATTTGGCCCGAGACACTGTACTATAGTACAGGGACTTTGGCCTGATTTTGAAGCAACTTTAAAAATTCATAAAAAATTCAATTTTGATCAGAATCATCTCAAATTTGAAATACAACATAAGAACATGTATATGTATCAGAAAAAATTATAAGAATGAAGAATTCTGTCCTTGCCATTTTTGGTGAAATTTGGCCCAAGACACGATTTGAAGCAACTTTAAAAATTTATAGAAAATCCAATTTTGATCAAAATAAGCTCAAAAGAGAAAAATTAATAAAAATGAAGTATTTTGAAAGCCATTCTCCATGTACATGCCTCTACATGTATCTTAGTATACTAAGCATTATCTTCATTAACCATCAATACTACACTATCTCATTGTGTAGGTGTTTTTTGCTGTTAGTATTAGTCTGTGGCTGGTAGGTGGCGTGGGTGATCATTACATGCGTAAGCCAGTCCTTCACTGGACCAATGATGATGTAATGGAGTGGTTTGAAGGACTAGGTGACACTGTCATAAAAGACTCAAGAGAAATATTTGAAAGCGAAGTAAGAGAGTTGCTTATAACTAGCCTCCAAAATGATCCATTCTCCTAACTTTTACTATGACATTTTTTCATTAACAGAAATTTGATGGTCGTCATTTGCTGAGATTGACAGATAACAGTTTGAAGGAGTACGGATTGTCGAGTGAGACTTCTCGCAACTCTCTTCTCCTCTCGATAGAACAACTAAAAGAGAAACAGAGAGCATTGCCACGCAATTTCCATGAATTCATGGTAAGCAACAACAGAAACATTCGTTACAGTCCCTTACTTGCAGGAGGCCAACAAGGAAGACACTGTTCTTATACTACTAACATACAAAGTATTCCCAAGACTGACTTTTGGCTACTTGTATCTCTTTCGATACTACACCATCTTTCTGCCTGTGGTACAGGTACAGCTCTTGGACAGAGAGAAGGAGGATACTCCTCTCTTGACGAGTGATGAAGAGAATATCAAAGAGATTGAAGATGAGAGCAAAAGACCCGAATTGATACAAATGATGGACCAGAGAAAGACAGAAACAGAGAAGGAGGAGGTTGAGGATGGAAAGTCTTATGATGTATGTGTATTGTCAAAAAATGCTTTAGTAATGATAATTGATGTCCACATTTTTTTCATGATTACAATAATGTTCATGTGTTTTTTGTTCTTACAGGGTGACAGCCGTGATATTTCCAGTACACAACTGATTGCGATATTCCTTGAAATATTGCTAGTACCACATCTAGTGGTTGCCATGTACACATTGACTGGACTCCAGAGTGAACCATTTCTCTCTTTAATCATACTATTTCACTGCATTGTGGCTACTTTGAGAGAAGTTAAGAACTTGAGGAACAAACTAAGGACACGACCAGCTCATGGACAGACATCAATTTGGTATGCAACATTTTGTTATACACCCACACGTACATGTACATATACACTCATGCTCATGCAAATAATTATTGATCCAATTCTGTACTATAATGTACATTAGGACATGTAGATTGCCCTGTTTTTCCTCTCTCTATCTCTCTCATTCTCTTTTTAAAGGTCATGGATCAAGACTGGTCTCTTTAATTGTCTATTCTATATCATACTTCTAATGATTGGTCAAACCATCTGCTTTCTCTTCCCGTACCCTTTGCTGACTTTCACCTTTTATGTTCTAATATTCCAAACGCTCTACAGCTTGCTTCATCGACGTTTCTTTCTACCAATTTTTCAAAGTGTGGGAAGATTTGGCGCCCACGGCTTCGTTCAGTTTCTTAATAACAACAGATGAGAGGGAAAGGAAGTACTGAGAAAGACTAGCTAGTGTAGTTGTGTTAATTTATATAATCCTATAGCTCAATTATTATTGATTTGTGTCATATTATTATCATGAAAAGTACCAATACTTATTTGCCATATTGTGCTCTCTCTTCTACTCTTTTCTTACTCAATTTTCTCTTTTCCACAATTCTTGGCAATAATATAATCAAGAGTATATGATTATTGTCTAGTAGTGTTAAATCATTGACAAGACAAGTGCTATTCACACATGCCAAAGGGCATGGCCCATTTAATAATAGCAACAAAAACATGCATTCAAAACATCACGACCTGATATATTGTTGTACAATAATTTCATCTCTCACTAAATATTCAAAATATTCAATACAAAGTCAATATTAACAACATTAACTTTCTAAAATTCCTTTGAAGTCTGGAGTATGACGTGATCAAGATACTCTTCAAGAGGTCTCATCGATGACTGGTTTGCAATCGGAAAGAAATGAGTGCTCTCACACGAGAGAAGCCGCAGTGCCTGCCAGCGGAAATTAGGATTCGATATCCACCTGTCTTCTTTGGGTATCTCACAGTTAGGCTTCATCTCCTCTAGCGGCTCCTCGAGAAAGATTTCTAAAGGAGGTACAAAGATACGCTCGGGCGACGAACAGGACTCAAGATTATCAGGGCATAGGTTCCATAGTCGTGATAGTTCTTTGCTCCCCATGTCCTTCTCCTCTTTCATTGCAAACAACCTCTCGCCTAATCTCTCCTTAGTATCTCCTCCCCCTCCTCTGTTGGGAGGTTTTGAATTGGTTTTTTCAAACGAGGGACAACCCCCATTCTTCCATGCTATCCAAGTCTCTTCCCTCTGAATGACAAGTTTCACGTATTCGGCAAAAGATTTGCCGTCGGGTGGAGTTTCCTCAAGCAACTGATACACTTTACTTGTGGTTTCGGTGACCCACGAGGAATGAGACTCACTCAAAACCTGAGACGAGTTCTTAAATTTGACGTCCCCAGTCAAGTACTGAAACAAAATGAGGAACTGGATGAGAACGTGGCGACGGAAATGAGAGTCACTGAGTTGCAGGGAGAGCAAATTCTCACTGGTAAGGTATTTAGTGAAATAATGCGAACTGGTGTACGGTGACAAGGTATCCATTCCTTCATCTGAAGACTGTAGCTTCCTTCTCTTGCTCTGAATGTCTTCTAGTTTATAGCTAGAGAATGACTGGAGTACCTCTTGGACTGTTCCAGTAAATTTCTTCCAGCGATCAGAGTGAAAACACTGGACCGGATGTCGGAAGAAATCCTGTAGAGTCCAGAGTTTCTCATACAGGTTATAATCAACTGGAGTCATACCCGTCTCTTGATCCAGGGCATCAATTTCCATATCCTCGCCGTCTTCGTTGGTATTACCCCCGGGAGGTTTCTGGGGTTCACTGGAAGAGGGAGGTGTCTGCAGGGTCTTGAATGACGTGACATTCTCCAAGTTGAAGTGACTCATGAGGTTTAGGGCAGATTTCTCAGAGAGAGGAAAAAGACGAGCAAGGAAGAGCTGAATCCGTCCACAGAAGACGGTGTTGAGGGACGAGGAGAGACGTCGAAGGAGGTCATTACACATTCGTAGGAGAAGAATCCTCCCAGAAGAAAAGAAATCCTGTTTAGTCCACACTGTCACATGAGACTCGACGGTATCAAATAGCTTTTCACAGAAGTCGAGGGTAATGCAATCAAAGGCATCAGAGAGGAGAAGGAAAGGAACAGAATGATAGCATATCTGAGACTCGGCACAAAGGACTGATAGGGAGACGAGAGAGCTAAAAGAGGAGACGAGAGGATCCTTTGCAATGAGATCCCTCAACACGTCACGAAAGGATTGCTCAAATATAGATTTCTTATCATTGTCGTTTCCAGAGGCTTTTCCAAAGGCTTCCTGAAGGAGGGAGGGAGAGCTGGCTCCATTTTTCAATGTCTGGTGGATGGATTGAGCAAAACGAGACCTGGTTTCACTGGAGGCCATGCCGCCATGTGTGAGATAAGGTGGGTGTGGTCACATCCAAAACTACCCGCCCATTAAAAGAATAAAGAGTGCGTGGGTGTAGGATTGTAGGTGGGGCTGAAAAATGATGGAGGAGATGCTTTGGTTTGTTTTTGTGTCAATTGGACTCCATTTCGGCATGGTGTGCCTCTTGTCTGGATTTTATGGATTCATTGATCACTTTTCATTGTTTCAAGACTCAAAATTTCAGAAAAAGTAAATCAACAATAGACTTGGAAGAGTGTGCTCTGCCTAATGTCTGCTGTCTGAACCTTTCTTTATGGCTAGAGATATATACTTAGTTACTTACTCCATGCAATATTGATATTTGTTGTTTTTCATTGATAGGTCCGGCCATTCTAATCCAAATCTAACCGACTGCGTTGTCGTCCTCTTTAAAAACATATTCATATATGATCTCATTGGTTTGCCGATAATTTACTTAGCATTGAAGCAAAGAGTAACATTCACTGGTCCATTCCCTACGTGGTAATCAATTTTAGAAGCAAATTATATTTTTAATTTCAACTTTAATAGGCCAGAAATATTAGTTCACATCCCTCTTTGCGTAATAGTAGAAGATACCTTGTTCTATTGGATTCATAGACTCTTACATACTCCATTCCTTTATAAGCACCTCCACAAGATGCATCATCAGTTTCATCAACCAATAGCTCTTTCATTTCAATACACGCATCCGATTGAAAACTTCATGACAGCTGGGATACCTCTCTTCGCTGGGCCGCTCCTCCTTGGCAGTCATGTCTATACTGTGTGGCTCTGGATGTGTGTTAGGATAACGGAGTCTATGGATGGTCATTCTGGATATGATCTCTGGTTCATGCCGTTTAGGTACTTCCCGTTCCGTCCTGGGGCTCAAGTTCATGATTATCATCATTCTCATAATGTTGGGAATTATGGCTCATTCTTTACACTCTGGGATAAACTTTGTGGCACCGATCACTCCTTCAAAGCATATAAAAAGAATTGATGTTTAAGTTTATTATTATTATTATTATAGTCTATTTTTGTGTTAAAGTAGTTGTGTACAACAGAAGAACATTGTTTTGTGTTATTGTATTGTATTGATGTGTGATAATAATTATAAATATCAGAGAGGGTAGGCGAGAGAGGTGAAAGAGAAAGACAGATGAGGGATAACAGATGAAAAGAAGAAAGAGACAAAGAGGGAAAGAAATTGCAAGAAGTCATATGCCTTTATTGTTAAAATTTAAGCTCCTTCTTCCTAAAAACAGACATAATGAGGCTATATTTGTTGTTACAAATACTTGATCATCTGCAGAAGGTGTTTCTCCAGTTTCTTCAGGTATTGGTGTTGGTTGATGCTTGGGTAAGAAAGCTTCTTGGCGCTTCTTTTCGCGTTTCTCAATATCTTGTTTCTCTTGATTCAGTAAATGCCAGAAATCATCTTCTGCTTTCTGGATAGGATTCTCCTCCTCATCTCCACTGGAAGAAAAGTAAAGATATCTATACATAAGGTGCAACTTGAATTTACCCTCCTCCTTTCTCTTCCCCTCCTCCTCCTCCTCCACCACCACCACCTCCTCCTCCTCCACTTGCTGCCGCTTGTTTTGCTTTTAGCTTCATTTCTCTTCTCCTTCCTTCCAATATCTTTTCCCTCTTTGTCTCACGTTCAAATATCTGAGAAATAAAAGATGTCACGCATACTGCACGCATACTAATGTACATACAGCATTGATATTGTGCTTCTCATTAGGCTGAAGGACAGAGAGGGCCCCAGATAGCTCCAGTAGCGTCACAACACCAGAATGAGACCCACAAGCAACCAGTCTGCCTTGCTCATGGACTCTGATTGAATGCAAGGACTCGTCGCAAACCTGCCAAGCAAACAAGTCATACAAGTCAGTGATAGGAGTCTTACTTGTATAGCTAGACTTGGTGCCGTTTGTCTGAGGCAAAGGTCCCATACGTTGAGAGAACCTGACATTGAAGTTGTGAAAAACACACCAGGCCTTGTTGGACTCCAACAGCCATCAGTCAGTGGAGTAGTATTATATCTAAAGAGAGAGAGAGTTGTGTGTGTGTGTGTGATAATAATGATTATAACTCACTGTGTCCACATTATTGGAGATTCCTTAGCATCTTCTGACCAAATCTACAAAACATGTCATTTTAGCTTAACAAAATCAATACCACAGTATATGTACCTTGGTTGTCCAGTCACCAACAGTGAGGAATTGCTTGGGATAAAATGGATTACGCTGCAAAGAAAGAGTACAATCCAGTATATTGTTATATGGAGTACTTGTAATGAGTAGATTGGTCCCAAGTGTCCCACAAATGCATGAGCTAGTTTATCCTGTGGAGTCTTCCCTTTACGATTGCCAGAGAGAATGACGCCTTGCTCTGTCCCAACCATGAACTTTGTTGGCTATAGAAATCCAAATAATTATACAATTCATCATACATATATATCTCCCATTTCATGCCCTTTCATTCTCGTTTCTCCTAACCATTGTTGATTCATATTCCAGTGTAATTCCTCCTAGAGTGACGTCTGGTTTGTACCCGGGATATTCCAACACTAGCGTCTCAACCGGTTCAACGAGTTTACGTATGTCCCACCACATCACCTGACCATCAGTCGAGGTTGAAAATATATCATTGCCTTAAAATGAAATGGGACTGATCATAACTTTGATATTTATAAGTGAACATGCATGAATATGCATAAAGAGAGTAGAGTGTATCCCTAACCTGTCTTAGATGAGGGGTATATTAGTTTGTGTACAGGGTCTCTATGACTAATCTCCACTGGTGTAGTATCGGTTGGCTGAGAACTCTTACGAGTATCAAATATAGCTATAAGAGAAGCATATCAATATCATACACTCTCACTGCATGTACATGTACCTATTTGACCATTATAGCAGCCTGCAGCCAGTGTGTGGGAATCCTTAGGATTATACTCAAGACATAGCATTGGAGATGCTGGCTTGAGAGTCATCTCTGGCTTATTAGGATTTTCTATAAAAAATAAGAATTAAAATAATAATGAACACCACAGGTCACATACAAAAATCATCATTTACCAATGTCCCATATGTATGAATCAAATGATAACACATCCGAGGTCTTCTGAAACTCAAGTGCCGAGTAAGCAACTGCAATCTTGTTTGCTCCATCAGGATACCATGATATATTAGACACAGTCCTCTTAATGTCACTAGGATCTCTACATGCGTGTATAGTAAGATGGTAAATGCATATTTTGTTGTTATTACCGGAGTATGTTAATGGTTCTTGCATTTGGTGCCTTGTCATTGAGAAGTGGTTCTGTCTTGTCAAAATATTCTTCATATATGTCAACCGAGTTGTTTTGCTTTAGATAGTGTTCCATTTTCTAAGAGGAGAAGTGAAATATGAATATAGGGGGAGGGAATGAGGAGAGTGCTCAGTACTGTATGTACATGTATGTATAATCATACTGTTCCCAGGTCTTGAATGACTTGCATGTAGATCTCATCCTTTTCAACTTTCTTCCTAAACCTAATGGTCTGCTCAACTTCGGCTGGGTTGATGTCTTTGGGCCAGCCACCCTCTGTGTGGTTCACACCTCTGATCTCAGTCTCAAACCTTTCAGTGTTCACCTATAGAGAGGAGGTCATCCTTTTACAGGGATTTAGGCTGCCCTACCTCATGCTCTGACATATCCGAGGTGTACTGTACTGCAATGTCTACAGGGTCTTTGCGAATGTAGTCATTCCTCATGGACGAGTCAGGCCTTATGTCGATACTCAGCTCAGGTGGACGGTCAGAGAAGATTGCCTGCCGTCCAAACTCATTCCTTTTCTTTGTATAGACGTAGACTATCTCCATATTTGAGGCAAATCCTCTGAATCCCTGCTCACTTTGTGGAGGCTTTCTTATTGCAGGTGCCTTAGGTTATTTGGTTGCTATGGGGCGTTCCGTAGCAACCCTTGCGCATGCGCAGTAGGTTTATTGTAGAGACCACGTTGCTTTGAAAGAAGAAGATACTTTAAGATCTCATCACGTAAGACCCTCTTAAAAACTCTCTCTCCTTTATTTTTAATATTAGCATTATTACCTAGCTTGCATTTTAGCTATTGCATGAAAATAAGGAAATTTATGCATTTATGAAGTAAAAAAATTAAGACTAATATAATAATTATGATAATTATTAAGTACTATAATATAATGGCATGGTTATAATTTTTAATATGCAGATTGAACAATTGTAGAAGAAACTGTGCCTGATTATTGTCATTTTTTTTGCTTAATTATGTGTGGGTGTGGCTTGTCATTTGCATGAAAATCTATTACGCTTAATTCCTATTTCAGTAAATGGCGGACAATCCGACCGGTGGTGCACGTGGTGGATTTGGGAGGGGTAGAGGACGCGGGCGTGGCAGGGGAAGGGGACGAGGGCGTGGTCGAGGCCAAAAGGAAGACAAGGAATGGATCCCGGTGACTAAACTTGGTCGTCTTGTAAAGGACGGAAAGATCAAGCGCTTGGAGGACATTTATTTATACTCTCTTCCTATTAAGGTAAGCCGTAGCACCTTTTTAGTCAATTGGTCCTTTTTTATTATTAGGAGGCTGAAATCATTGACCACTTTTTGGGTTCTGCTTTGAAAGACGAAGTACTCAAGATAATGCCCGTTCAGAAACAAACTCGTGCCGGACAAAGAACTCGATTTAAAGTAATTGTTGTGCGGATTAAGAAGATTTAGTATTATTATACTAGGCATTTGTTGCTATGGGAGATTACAATGGACATGTTGGTCTGGGAGTTAAGTGTTCCAAGGAAGTTGCTACTGCCATTAGGGGTGCTATAATCTTAGCTAAACTCTCAATCATTCCAGTCCGTCTTGGATACTGGGGTAACAAGATTGGTATGCCACACACAGTACCTTGTAAAGTAAGTGAGCAACTTTTTTGTACGTGTGTGTGCGTATGTTTATAATATTACTGTGTCTTCTACAGGTCACTGGTAAGTGTGGCTCTGTTCTCATGAGATTGATACCAGCTCCTCGTGGTACCGGGATTGTTAGTGCTCCTGTCCCTAAGAAGCTATTGCAAATGGCTGGAGTTGCTGATTGTTATACTAGTGCCCGTGGAGCTACATCAACTTTGGGCAATTTTGGTAAGTATTGATTATTTTCTAATACCTTTTATTTTTGATTTTTTTAATAGCGAAGGCCACATTTACTGCAATTGCTAATACCTATAGCTACCTTACCCCTGATATGTGGCCTGAGACAAAGTTGAACAAAGGTCCTTATCAAGAGTTCTCTGATTATCTGGCAAAGAACCAGCCTAAGCCACACAATGTTGCAACTGCTGCCGCTGCCGAATGAATTATTGACTTTGATGCTTAATTTAGGAGTCCTTTGAGACTGTTGTATTATTAATGGCAGCATTAATTATTATAATTTTAAAATTATTAATGATTAAAATGTGACCAAGCGTCTACAGTTTTAGTTAATTTTCAGTTTTTTTCGTCCTGGGAAGCTATTGGCGATTTCTCGTCTTTTTGAGGACCATCTTCCTCTATCTTGCCCCTGTAAAATGGAAACTCGCAGCAAAAGAATATTTTGAGCCATTTATTGATCCTCTTATAGATTGCAGGTGGTAGAGGAATCAGGGGACTAGTGGAGTCCTTGTACTCTTGATAAAGTGGATTACTAGAAAAAAGGGAAGATTATGAACATGTAGATCTACATGCACATATTATAAGCCTTTGACATAGTGTCACTATCAATGCCTTCTTTTGCTAATCCCTCTCTGCTTACCTTCCATATCGTTTATCAGAGCTTCTCTCTAATGGTGGTATCCCAGTGCCAAAGACAAGAATAAAGGTAATGAAGAGTGGGCTAATGACAGCTACCCACTTCCACGTCTCAAGAATGGAAGCGCTCATGATGAATGCTCCCCACCACACAGTAATCTCACCGAAATAGTTTGGATGGCGGGAGATCTTCCATGGTCCCACGTTGCACCACTTTCCCTTGTTCTCCGGGTTGCTACGGAAATTGAACTTGACCTGATCGGAGATGGTCTCAAAAATGAGTCCAAATATGAAGATGAGGGCCCCAATGATGACCGTCACGTCTTGTGGCTCTATGTCAGTGAAGCCTGGCCTAGGAGCGGTAGGCGAGTTGATGAAGATGACGGTAAAGCTAACAATGTAGACCCAGACTATTTGAAAGATCCAAAAGACGAGGAACTTGAGCGGATTCCCACGGACATCGTCAAAACGTTTGTCCGTTCCGGTTTTTATGATCCTGTAAAGAAGGTACGCAGCTAGTCTTATGCTCCAGAGAGTGACAAGGACAGTCATTATGATTTGGCGAGTATTGTAAGTCTAGACAAACAGTAATAACGATTTAATTGCTGTGTAGTATAAATAAAGTAAAATTTATTATTATTCAAAATTTATTATTATTCAAAAATTTGATATTTCTTCTCACCCCACTGAGTCCAAAAGTAAGGAGAGCAAGTACAAGGAAGTTGGAACCTCCTGCAAAATCTGTCACCTTGTCAAACTTGCATGTACAGGCAACAAGATAGAACGAGATTTGAATGATGATGGTTAATATGAGGCAGAGGGCAAGGTTATCACAGTCCCTTGGTATAAGAGCATAGCCTTCCAGCCCGTCTGGACAATAAGTAGAGGAATAGTTACCCATTGGGAGAGAAAGAGAGAGAGAGGAAGACGAGAGGTGATAAAGAAGGAATCACTATAAAATTATCACTATTTCATTGACCCTTTAATCGACACACCGCGGGGTCATTCACCTGATTGTTGAATAATCATTTGCAATGGCTCAGAAGCCAAAGCGTGTAGCTGGCTCAGGAAACAAAGAAAGGTCCTCCCCGCCTTCTGTAACCCCCCAAAAGAGCCTGCTAGCATGTATAACAGTGCTAATAGCTGCCATTACAATAGGATGGCTGATCAGAAATGACTCTCTGAGTCTGAGAAGAAGTGAGGACTTCAACATTCCATTTTTATTAGCCACACCCTTGTAAATAGATGGAGGAGGTGGTCCTAGTAGTTATGCTGCTAGTGTTGCTCCTCGTCTTGTATTTCCAAGGGACATGTCTTACAGGTTTACATTAATGGCACTGTTTATAACTTATACACTTAACAGGGCAATAGCTGAGAGTAGACGACCTCTTATTTTGACTAAAACACTCATCGACAAGTATGTTTTCATTTTTATAAAATTTTACGACACATTGTGTATTGAACGTCCAAATGTCAAAAAGGGGAATGGGCTGGCTATGCAAGACTACTAAAAACCTATTTCATCAAAAATTACTAGGAGAGAATTCTTCATTTAAATTTTTTTCTGATACATATATACATGTACTTATGTTGCATAGAAACTTTGAACTCATTCCGATCAAGTTTGGATTTTTATGAATTTTTAAAGTTGCTCCAAAATCAGACCAATAACCATGGACTATATAGTACAGCATGAGTACTGCACCTGCTATATTGGGAATATAATTAATAGCTCCCCCATATTTTTGTTTGTCATTCATTTGTGGGTATATACTTTTCGTACATCTGTCCAGGTGGAAAGCAAGGAGGACCTTCACTACAACATTTCTAGCGAAAAGATTAGAACAAGTGTCAGTTTACCACCAGGTTTGGTTTCATTACACGCAAGAATGCATGACCACACTGAATCATAAGATACTCTTACAGTATATCCCCACACACACACATTCACACAGCCAAAACAAAGACATTTCATCACGTTTCATGACCAGAAACCGCTAGAGCCGCTCCTGCTAGATGAGAGCTGGGATGATTTTAACGTGAAAATCAATATCAGCATCTCACAATTGCTACAATGGGTAATAATAATAGTAATAAATAAATAAATAAATAAATAATGATGGTGATGATGATATTATACACACGCTTTATGCAGCAAAGAATTGATGATATCTTAACATTGTTACTACTACTAGGCTGTACTAGTATTTAAAAAATGTGATGCATTTTTAGAATTTTGGAATTTGATTGTATAATGCATGTCCATCTGTTCTAAGATATGATATTTGATTCTTGGCAGTTAATGGCCAGCTGGAGTGAGTCAAATTCTATTTCCACTTCAGCAACCATAATCAAGTCACATTTTCTTTATAATTCCAGGTGTTCGCAATTAATTTCTTTCTGTATACTTGTACACATGAAATCATTTCCAGTGTATTGTTGACATTTGTTGTTCATTTTAGGATGATACTAATAACAATATTTTGACTACCAAAGAAGGTCCTTGGCATTACTACAGTCAAGATGTCAATCAGATAAGGTTTGAAACAACCCTATACTGATATTCAGTACGTGTATACCACTGTTGTTTTGCCTAGGAGTGTATTCCCTGATATTATCCATTACATGCAACCTATTAATGATTTGATATTAAGTGAAGATAATGTTCAGGTTAGGGTATCCCTCTACACTTTCTATTTACTTTCTCTCCTCCTCCATTTTTCCTCTCTTTCTCTCTCTTCCTTAGGTCAATTTGTGGATTGGTCGTGCTGGCATTATAACTCATACGCATTATGATGCTACTTATAATTTCTTTGTGCAGCTTCAAGGGAGAAAGAGATTCACACTCTTCCCTCCAAACCAGACCCTCTACCTCTATCCTTGCCTTCATCCAGTTAGTAATCTCATGAATGACTAGAAATTTCAATCTCTGTAGCACTATGGACATAGCCAGGTTGACATCCTTGCTCCAAATTTAGACCAATTCCCTTTGTTTGAGGGGTAAGTGTTACTCTTCTCTTTCATTCTCTTCATCTATCAATAGCTCAGAGGCTGTTGTGGCCGAGGTGGGTCCAGGTGACATGCTAGTCGTACCTCCTTACTGGTTTCATCACGTTGAGACTCTTGAGGAAAGCGTATCAATCAATGTGTGGAGTGATGCCCCAGAATACGCACTCATGAACAAGATGTATGTGTATCAGGCATTTCGCATGAAAGCACATACACAGACAATACTCCCACACACCTCCTCCTCCTTTACCGCACCACCCGCCTCTCTCCATAGATATTAGAGTACAAATATCGCCCATAGATATTGTGTACTCCTAATATCTAAGCTCTCTCCCTACACTATACAATGAAAAACAACTTGCAATTTGTAGTACAGTGTTATCCTCACCATCTTTGTTGGTGGTATGTGTATCTCTATTTGTTAGCTGTGGGTGGGTGTTTACACGTGTACACTATTTTGTAACTCGACTAATTGAAAATTGATTGTTTCTTTACTATCTAGTTATGCACAGCCGATTCCATTTGAAGAGGAGTGGAGTTGGTCTGAATTGGTTATTGCAACTAACATATACACAACGATGGTAAGTGTTACTATTCATAAAGAGAGGGTGGATAACATTGGCCAATAAGACCATTAATTTATAACATTCCATGCATCACAGAAAGATGTGATACTATATTTTACTTTATATTTGTACTTCCTATTCATCATTTACTTGATGCAAGGTTGATATAAATATTGTGTGTGAGCTGCTGCACATACAGGAACCAATCATCTCACTAACAGCTAATTATCCTCTCCTGATGTAGTAGCTATCAAAGCCTTTCCTTATACTAATTTGGACCGTTTCCTTCATGCTAGTCGTAGTATGACTAAATATGTTTGTATGTGATTTAATTGTGATGCTATTCTTACAAGCTTCACAGGTTTTGGCTTATTTGAGAGAAATAAAATTTTAATGTGCGCATGTAATGTATTAATATTGAAGATTGTCAAAATAATAATTGTTGCTCTAATTTTTAAAAATTAGATTATCAAATCTGTGGGAATTTCTGATACTAAACAATTTGTTTCCAATCTAGTGAGACAGGTTTGTTATAGATTCTCTCATTTATTGTAATAAGTTTTGCTGTAGCGGTATCTTCCACTAGTGAAGAGGAGTAATATTGCATTTAATACAAATCACTATGAGGAATTAAATGAGATATTTAGGAGGACTGACTGGAGTAGTAAAGTAAAGATGATATCACTTTAATATCTTAAACGACTCCTTTTATTCTATACTATAGGGACAACAATACAAACCTTTATTCCAAAAAGAAAGTCACCGGATATCTTTGCTTCTTGGAGAGCTACCCTCAAAGTGGGTTTGTTATTTTACAGGATTTTTGCAATCATTAGCCAGAAAGACTGTGACATAGCTGCATGTATCTACCATATGCTGTTCTTCATAACAATGATATTAATATACACAAAGACATTGAGGCGTAATGATGAGTAGCATACCAAGCATAACTTTGTATATCTACACTTAGTGCCTCGTGTGACTATTGTTATTGCTATGTTTGTAGGTCGACTATAAAAATATGTGTGGGTAACTACTTGGAACATTTGATTCACAGGACCGTTGGATTGGAGCACGTCTGTCCTTTCCTTGCTGTTGCTTCTGGTTTAAGCCCAAGTGACTTCACTCCTTTGACTCTGGAATTTTAATTCTTAAATATTATTATTATTATTATTATATAAAGACCATCATTTTTACTCCTTGCATTAATTTTACCAAGTGAAGAAAGAGCTTATCTTGTAAGAGCTGTCTTGTCTGCTAGAGAAGGAATTGAGAATGAGCGTTTCAAGTCTACCCAAAATAACTGTAAGTTCAAAAAGGCAGAGAGCTTGCAAGCTATAATTTTGCTGTCTTCTCGCAGGTTACTTCTGGAGGACACTCCAGCATCATGAGAGCCATCGAGGAAGTGAGCGAGTACATTGAAGAGCTCTCAGAAGAAAGCAGCGACCTGTTGGACGAAGATTTCGACCAGACCAGCTACTGGGAAGGTATCAAGAGCCAACTAGTCGACATTGCAAAGCTAGGCTTTGAAACGGATCTATTCAAGTGTGGCTGCGAGTCAGGGACTTCTTGTCCGTTCCACAGAGCTCCTGACAGGTCTCCTAAGTTCAGGCCAGCGGCGCCAGCCTCACCTAATTTTTACAGGCGACTCTCGGCTCCAGTTGGTGATAGAAAGGTGGATGTCAGTTATGGTGGCTTTGAAGAGCATTTCCTCAAAGTTAGCAAAGACATTGACTTTGAGATTGAAGAGGATTCAGATCAGTCTGATGGGTCCCTCAATGGTAGCTCATCCTTCAGCAGAAGGAGAAGTCCTGCACTGAGACGAAAGAAGCCTCCCCAAAGACCTCCAGGAAACCGGATGTCCTTACCTCCTCAATCTCTGTCTTTCAGCTCACTTAACTCAACATTGCCCAAGTGAAACACTCATCTTCCTCCCACTTGTGTTCTATTTTTTGCATTGGTATTCTTTATTGTTTATATATTTTTTTGCTTCAGTTTTATAGTTGCATTTTGTATTGTCACAAGTCGAAAACTTGCACTTAATTTCGCTAATTAAATGTGTTGACTTGCTGCTCCTACTACACATTACATAATAACAAGAGTGGATAATAATGATTGCATTAATCATTAATTTGGGTCGTTTGATTCTCTTTATACATGTACTCACAGACAGGCACATGTTGATGCACACAGTGGAACAGGCATACAAAAAATTTCAGCTCAAACTTTGTACATGGCATAACATCATTCAGAAAATGTAGTAAAAATTCACAGTAATTTTTGAGCCTTTTTTTGGAAAGAATCATGGGCTATAACCTTTGCTTTAAAAAAATATATTGGTTGATTTTCAAAAATTGTGTTAACTTAAGAATTCTTCAGTGGAATCAGCTCAAACTTTTTACACAGTATAAGGACATCAATGTGTATCAGAAATAGTAATAAAAAATTGGGGCCATTTTTTGGACAAAACCATGGGCTATAGCCTTGGGTATTTTTCAGAATTTTGGCGTTTTCTTAAAATGACCGTAACTTGAAAATTTTAATTCGGGATCAGCTCAAACTTTCTACAGAGCATAAGGACATCAATATGTATCAGAAAATGTAATAAAAAATTGAGGTAATTTCGGAGCCATTTTTTTGAAAAAACCATGGGCTATAGCCTTGGGTATTTTTCAGAATTTTGGTGTTTTCTTAAAATGGCCATAACTCAAAAAATTTTTATTGGAATCAGCTCAAACTTGCTACACAGCATAAGGACATCAATATGTATCAGAAAATGTAATAAAAAATTGAAGTGATTTCAGAGCCATTTTTTTGAAAAAACCATGGGCTATTATAGCCTTGGGTATTTTTCAGAATTTTGGAGTTTTCTTAAAATGACCGTAACTTGAAAATTTTAATTCGGGATCAGCTCAAACTTTCTACAGAGCATAAGGACATCAATATGTATCAGAAAATGTAATAAAAAATTCGGGTGATTTTGGAGCCATTTAAAAAAAAACCATGGGCTATAGCCTTGGGTATTTTTCAGAATTTTTGCGCTTTCTTAAAATGACCGTAACTTAAAAATTTTAAGTCGGAATGAGCTCAAACTTTCTACAGAGCATAAGGACATCAATATGTATTAGAAAATGTAATAAAAAATTGAGGTGATTTCGGAGCCATTTTTTTGAAAAAAACCATGCCTTGGGTATTTTTCAGAATTTTGGTGTTTTCTTAAAATGGCCATAACTTGAAAATTTTAAGTCGAAATCAGCTCAAACTTTCTACAGAGCATAAGGACATCAATATGTATCAGAAAATGTAATAAAAATTTAAGTGATTTCAGAGCCTTTTTTTTAACCATGGGCTATAGCCTTGGGTATTTTTCAGAATTTTGGCATTTTCTTAAAATGCCCATAGCTTGAAAATTTTAAGTCGGAATCAGCTCAAACTTTCTACACAGCATAAGGACATCAATATGTATCAGAAAATGTAATAAAAAATTGAAGTGATTTCAGAGCCATTTTTTTGAAAAAACTATGGGCTATAGCCTTGGGTATTTTTCAGAATTTTGGTGTTTTCTTAAAATGGCCATAACTCAAAAATTTTTTATTGAAATCAGCTCAAACTTGCTACACAGCATAAGGACATCAATATGTATCAGAAAATGTAATAAAAAATTGAAGTGATTTCGGAGCCATTTTTTTGAAAAAACCATGGACTATAGCCTTGGGTATTTTTCAGAATTTTGGCATTTTCTTAAAATGGCCATAACTTGAAAATTTAAAATAGGAATCAGCTCAAACTTTCTACACAGCATAAGGACATCAATATGTATCAGAAAATGTAATAAAAAATTCGGGTGAATTCGGAGCCATTTTTTCTAAAACTATAAATTTGCTATTTTTTCTACATAGCATAAAGACATTCCAAAATGTTTTTCTAGAAGCATAAGACTAAAAACTAAACAAACCATACAGTCCACTCATCAATTTCATTAGGTATAAACTATCATTTTCTATTTTACGTTCAACCACTCGCTGTATCCGTGGTACAAGAAAGTCAATATACCAGCCCGATGTTGGTGATGTTGATGTTGCAATATCTGATGGTGACATTCTACTCCATTGATTTCATTTAATTTAATTTTAATTTATCATAACTTGCCTAAATTATTTATCTATTTATTATGTCGTTCATTTGCGTGTCCCTCCTTTCACTTTTATTTCAAAGAGCATCTATTTAAAATAATTAAAATAATGTCACTTTAGTATCTGTTGCAACATAAATAAATCATTACAAAGTAGGCCTAACATAATTTTGATTGCAACAAAGTTATAATAACAGCGTTTCCCTGCCTAGTCTTGCGGAGCTATTCCTTGTCTAGTTTATGGGAAATGCCCTAAAGAAAGAAAAAAAATATCATGTAATGGCAATGTAATCAAAATTAAACTTACAAGGTTGTATCCTATTATTAGAAATAAATGCACTAAATAAAGAAGTATGATTAAGATGCATAATATTTCATTATTATACCTTCTAGCAGATTTAGCTATTTTTTGCTCAAAATGCCGATCCACAAAGTGGATCTTATCTGGCGTCACCAGAACATCAGGTGGAATATAATCTTGCCCAGTCTTAAGTACAAGTTCACCGTCGCCTAAGAATTGGAAAGAAATTAAAACCAAACGTAGGGCAGAGCGGCATTTTCACCACTTTTTTGCAAAGACATAATTTATTTTACACTATATTCAATGAAAAAAAAAACTTAAAATTTAAAGAGTGGGCCTAAACACAAAGTAAACAAAAGCAATTAATTGTACGTAGTACAGTAATTTTTAAGGAAGTAAAATCAAAATAAAACTTACAAACTTGCATCTCTGGATTCCCCTTCTCCTCGGAAATGGATTCAGGGGAGGCAGTACTGTATGTATATGAAATATAGTCCTCTCCAGAAACAGATTCACCATCTAAAACTGAAATTAAGAAAAAACCTAAAAAGGACAGGTAACTTTTTCTTTATTATTCCAATTTTTAACATCGCTTTAATATTAGATTAAGCTTTGAACTTTGTGATTAGCAAGGCTTTTGGAAAAAAAACAAATGAGAAAGCTCTTAGCTTGTTGCTGCACATCAACAGTCACTTGTGTATCAGGAGCCCAGGGTTATATCAAGATGTACTCTTGGTTTTATTAATTAATAATTATCACTTAATTAATATGGAACCCTTTTATACCAATACGTACATATGTCAGCACATACATTCTGGCACATGCATGTATATGGCTTCATTCAAAATACCACATAGCTGGTAATTTTGGAGGCAGAGAGGACAAATTCAGCGTTTTGACAGCTGTTTGCCTAGAACCCACCATTTTGAGCCATTATGTGCATGCTCAGTGGCACATGGCCACCAATTTGCCAAACACACCAATTAGCAGCTTGCTTCCACTTACCAGCTATACAGACAGTACCTTATCTTACTAGATCTATGAACATATGACTAATAATCAGATTACCGTATAGTAGCCCACAACAAAACCAACACATGGGAGGAAAACATTGAGTGGTCTCACTGGTCTGCTTGCGTTAAACTTCTTACCTAGATAGTGTCCAATCCTGTGCTTACTAAGCGTAGGGTCTATGCTAAGATGGGAAGCAAAGTCAGTTTGAAAAGCGGCCATGACTCCTCTGATTCACGAAACTAAACTTTTTGCCCAGAGCCCACGCCTAAGTAAGACACGTGGTTAGATTCCTGTGGGTGCGGTTTTAAGTTAACTGGCCGGTGGTCACTCCCACAAAATTTTAAGATAAAAATGGAGAGAAAATTAACCTTGAGCAACAACTACGTTACGATGATGATGGAAGAACTCGCTTTGCCCCATTCCAGCTATCAGTGAGCTGGCTTCAGACGATACCTGCTCCCTCCAGGTACATAATACTGCAAGAAGAAACAGCGTCTCCTCAATCTTCGGCCTTGCACTGAACCACGGAAGATCAGCAGGGAGAGCCAGCGTACCCACCATCAGTGCAGCTGATAGAGAGAGGCTCAGGCAAGGGAGCAACGCTTACAAAGCTGCCAGTAACCTACAAACCAGCCAGAGCCTCAAATCCCGTTTCAAGAAATACCAGTACATCAGATCATCCTCCAATAATTCAACGGAGAGCATAGAGCAAAGCGGGATACTGAGCAAACTGGACGAGACCTTTGCACAGATCAAGTCCCAACTGGTAAACAAACTACACCTGCAGACATAACAATAATTTCAATTTTAAAAACCACATCCCTTTTAAAATCCTCTTTTCTTTGCAGAATAACTTATCAGAGGAGAACAGAACAGTGAGGACTAGAGTCCACTCTCTTACAGAAGCAGTCAGTGAGCTATGCTCTCATTTCAGCACAAGAAACAGCGAAGACGAAGATGATGAAGAAATTGACGGAGAGGACAACCTGTCCCTCTCTCTCCCATCCAATGGCATACAGCGAATGCACAGCGTTCCCCCTTTCTCAACAGGCTGGAGAGATCTTGAGGTATTTGATGAAGACCTAATGGACACTAACACATTAAGCAATGACTGGGAAAGGATAAGCTGGGTAAAGAGCCTCGAAAGAAGTGGAGAAACAAATCTGATAGGATTACACAATGCCAGAGTCCCTTGCATCATAATGGTAGATGATTGCAATGACAGCACTAGTGAGGAAGAAAATGGAGAGCAAGAAATAAATGGAGGAAATGACAGACATGAAGACACAGGAGCCACTGAGAACGAATGTGATAGAACAAACGAAGAGGATTATAAATATGGAGGATTTGACATTGATACATGATTTAATGCAGACATGATGCACATTAAATAATTATATTAATTATCATTATAGTCATATTTGCTTTAATGCAATTGTGAATATTTTCAACAAACAAAATAGTGTCATTCAATACTTGAGCAGGTGCTACCTTGCATACGCTATCAATACAGTGGAAAAGCATTTGGATTCAAATGCTTTGGCAATTGGATTTAATCCTTGTGTGGCCTAGCTGTGCCTTTGTAAACTACATGTATATTAATCTCTTTTCTCTATCTCTCTATCAAACAATACACTCGTTAACTGATTTGTAGTAATTAAGTGGTTTTATTGATTGAGAAGAGAATGCAAAATATTCTAGTGATGCTCTTAAAGCATCAACGATGAAGAAAAGTGTTTGTGTGTGCATTTATAAAGGAGAAAAAGAAAGAGAATGAAGTGTTGCAGGATCAAAATAAAGAGTGAATGAATAAGTGTGTGAAAGTTAGAGCGAGAGAGAGAGAAAATAGAAACAAAAGTGCTTACAAAAAGAGGGTGGACTAACAGAAACACGAAATTAATATCTGATACTAAAAACAGTCAAACAATAACAACAACAATAATAATAATAATAATAATAATAATAAATTATAACTGAGCGTTATGACTCTTTATTATAGCTTCGATCTTAGGCACATAGACATTAAGACCCACTTTCTGATTCTGGAGTCCATTTATAAGATCCTGATAAGTGAGGTGACTATCTGTCCACAGGGAAAGGACATGGCCTCCTTTATCGACTTGAGCTTTGAGCTTTAGTGCTTCAATCTCGGACGTCTTGAGTAGGTTCAGATAAGAACCAAGTAATGCCCACTTCTCATTAAAATTGAGAGCAGTTGACAGCTCCATAAACAGCTCTGTAGGAAGCTAAGGAGTGAATGGAGAACAAAAGCATTAATTATAATAAGAACATATTAGTCATGTACCTTCTTTTCTCTTATTTTTGAGGGATAAGGTGAAGGATCGGCTATGTCATCTCCGCCAATAAAAGTATCAACTTTATCAGCAATATTGTCAAGATGGAGAATCCGAAGACCTAAGAGAGAATTAAAATTACATAATAATAAACCATTCCCACCCTCCCCTCTCTCAGTTCTCACATTCAGAAAGGTCAACAAGTGTTTTTGAGCTATCTTTCCATTTTTGCAACGCTTCAGCTCCTGGGTCACCAAACGGCTTCTGCTTCCTGAGTAATATCTCATCATTTTGCATAAGATGGAGCTTAACGACAAACGTGACCCATTGCTCCGACAATGAGAGTCTCTGACTTATCTCGTGTGCCAACTCAATTGGAAGCTGGAGGGGAGAGAGAGGGGAGAGAGAGGGGAGAGAGAGCGAGAGAGAGAGAACAAGTAACAAACATGCTTTAATGATTAGTCAAGCACATAACTAGACTAACAGACACAAAGCTATCCTGCCACACACACATACTAATAATAACCACCCAGACTAGAGTAGAACAGTGATAAGTGTGTGCGTGTGAGAGGAAGAAGATCTTGCTTGACAAGTTTTGGCATAGCTAACACGATTACAAGGAAATTATATAATAATTACAACCTCACACACACGTACACCTATAGTCACCTACTAGCTGTGCATGCATTAGTGTAGTGGTAACTAGATTAGGCACAATTCTTCAATCAGTCTTGAGGGCATTATTACAAGTGGCAGGTGTAATGAGTTTTAGTTACAGCAATACAGCTAGCTACCTGTGTATATGTACATGTAATTCAACTCCCTCTCTCTCTTTCTTTGTTAGCTGGTGTACTGGAATTCGACTACTAAATAAACTCATTATACTTCTCTGATTCTCTCTAGAAGCATGTTATAATATCATGCCAAATATTCATAAAATTTAATAACAAACAACAGACAAACACTATAACAATAAACACCTTTATAATCCCTTTAGAACATACTCTAAAGACGAGGTCCTAATAGCCAGTATAAAGGAGAGAAGATTTCATGGAAATAGACTAGCCATAATGTCTCATTTACTCCTCTTATTACCATTAACATACATGTACATGCATCAATGAATAAACACACACATACATGTATTGCTAATTATAAATGCATAGTATATGAGTAAAACATACAGTAAGTTTATACAGCATGTACATTTAGTCACACTACGCTACCATATAGAGAAAGAGAAAGCAAGCTAGGGCAAGGAAATAAGCTCCGTAATGTGCTGACCATCGATTGCTAACAATATCAATGAGGCATCAAGGAAATATCTAGACATAAACACATATTAGTTATAATTGAGGCAAAGGTTCAATGGACAACATACCAAGCCCTTCCCTGCCCTCACTGGAATGTAAATGTGCATATTAACACAGAGCCAGACAGAGAGGAATATTGTTACTTATAATAAAAAAGAAATCACCCATTGCATATTATTGTTACATGGAAGTTATAGTAATTCCAAATTAGATTCAATAGAATATTTTACTGACACACCCAAGGCTCCATACATTATTGATCATTATTTAATGACAAATTCTTGTCAAATTGATGATAATGATTTATTTATTGCTAGAAAGCAGTTACAAGTACACCATAATCACGGGTCAGTGTGCATAAGCCTTTGTGACGTCCAGCCCCGATGACAAGTGTAAAGTTTAGTTGACAATTTGACGCTAGCAATGATACAGACTTTGACTCTACTTGACTACTCTGTTATCAAACATAACAAACAAACGCAACAGAACTTATTGGACAGCTGGCTATTAAATGAGAGGATTTGAGACTAAACTATGAGAAGAAATGATGTAACGTAATGTATGGACAGTACAAGTGGCATAGGAAATGATGCAAATTGATGAGTGTGGTCCAATTGAAAATACATGTACATGTATGCCCCATGGTTATTAGAATGACATCTTTGATGATTTTAACTATTCCATACACATATAATCAAAATGACGGAAATCTATACACAAGAACATACATATCCTTATTACAAGGAATCCTACTGATCTATACGTCTAGTGTCCATTGTTGCATGCATGTCTCCACAACCCCCTAACTCTCTTTATCAACGTCGCTGTCTCTCTTAAAACGACCGTATAATTGTACATGTACCTCTTTCATTTCAGGGTCTTGATCTGCCCATCTCCTCAGGGCAGGTGTCTTTTTCCTGTTCCCAGGCTCCGTGAGGTGGCTGGTTGCCACAAGGTGTTCCTCTTTCTCGTCCATTGAGCTCTCTAGCTCTGCCAGGTCCCAAACGTGAGGGTGTGTTGTTTCGCGAGTGAAAGAGTCTGCAGGCACACGAAAACTGACAACCCTATTCACATCAATCGTCTTGTTGTAATACTTTGAGCCGAGGAAAGCTTTTGAGAGCTTGTTCTCAACAACATGAAGGAATCTCATTCGATTGGAAACACTAGAAAAAGAGAGAGGGAGAGAGAGAGAGGGAGAGAGAGAGGGAGAGAGAGAGAGAGAGGGAGAGAGAGAGAGAGAGAAGATGAGTAAACCAATGAAGAGTATAATGAGATTCAAGTGAAAACAATTACACTATAGTAATAAAGAGGTCTAGTAACCAAGTGAAAGTTAAAATATGCTATCGTCTTACTACAGAATATCAAACTACATTGTACATGAACATTTGTATCATAAATGTAGTTTAATACAAAGTGCAAGTCAAATCATACCCCACTCATGTAAGATCCTACACCAGTGATATTAGATTTACGACGACAAGGACAGTAATTAAATGTACAGGTACATGTTTGACTCTGTTTTGGTTCATAGGAACTGAATAAGTTCATGTGAACCAAAACAAATAAACTCATGCAGTGACACGCAACATAATCAGCCAAAGCATGCAATCACTAAGGAACCAAGGAGAGAGGACAGCGACCATTTGTAATGCCTTATACAGTAGTGTCTAGTACTTCCTTCATTTTATTTTATTATTCAATAACGTTAGGTGCATAACTCGCTACACATTGAGTTGTATATACAGTTCCCATTACATTGTTGAAATGGTATAGGATCATACTTGATTGTAAATTGTAAAGCCATTTAATGTAAAAGCATGTAAACACACACAGAGACGGAATGATCCACTATCACTTTGAATTGCAAGTACATATACTATACTACTATACAAATCTCTCCCACCTTATGGCCTATAGATTACTTAGCTACAGGATCACTACACAATGATATGCAGCCTAATCTCATGAGAGAGAGAGAGGGGGACTAATCAACATACCGACACCATGAGAAGAGCAGACATGGTGAAGTGTCTTATACTCAGGAATTCATTATTTATACATGATTCAGGTATAGCAGGACGTCTGTTTACAATTATTTATATTTTTGACAATAGAGAGAATGAGTTCGTCAATACTTTGGAATGAATGATACTCTAAATAATTAACAGGTGGATAGATCATTGACTAACTATAATAGAATAAAAAGGTAAATTTGTATACACAAGCGTACAATATCACAGACACAGTGACAGCTGCTTTTAGAAAGGAGAGACGTCAATGGATGGAGGAAGCTTAATGTGTAACTGTGTGTGACTGCTTAGTAAATACTCGATGCAATTAAGCGTACATGCCACATGTATGGTAGTGAATAATCTTATTTAATGGACCAATGGGTTAAGGAATAACTTGTGTGGCTGATTAGTTGTACAGTACTATAACCACGGGCAATAGATTGATCGTGTAGACATGACAAAATAAACTACATGTACTTGTAAGTAACAGTGTTATGCATCAGAAAATTAAAAATTTCTCCTATCCATTTTTATAATTGCACAAGTTGATTTTGGAGTAACTTCAAAAATTCATAAAAAATCCAATTTTGATCGTAATCAACTAAAACTTGAAACGCAACATAAGAACATGTATATGCATCAGAAAAAATTATAAAAATGAAGAGTTTTTTCCTTGACGTTTTTGGCGAAATTTGACCCGAGACCCTGTACTATAGTACAGGGACTTTGATCAGATTTTGCAAAAACTTAAAAAATCCAGAAAAAATCCAAATATGATCGGAATCAGCTCAAACTTGAAACACAACATAAGAACATGCATATGTACCAGAAAAAATTATAAAAATGGAGAATTCTCTCCTTGCCATTTTTGGCAAAATCCAGCCAAAATCCCTGGACTCTGACCCAATTTTGGGTAACTTTTAAAAATACATAAACAATCCAATTTTTATTACTAAGACAAGCAAATCATGAAAAGAAATAGGAATGGCACATGCATGTAAATTGGAAGAAAATGGGAAAGAAACAAGAAAAAAGAAGAGAAGGCTCACTCACTTTGACTTGAATTCGATAATATTCTGGACAGCTAGAAACCTGACCAGAACCGGCCCCAAATCATCATTAGAATTATCGTCATGAAGCGGGAGAACGACCTCTGGAGAATCCGGATTGATAAAGCAATCGGCCTGAGCCCCAATCTTAAGGACACTCTGCAATATGTAAGCCAGTATCTTATGAAAGAGGTGAATGGTCATCGGTACATTGGACGAGAACTGGGCATAGAGAGTAATGGCGTCAACAAACATACCCTCGACTTTCTCTTCGTCCCACTCGTACATCGGTCGATCGGAGAGGTGATAGTGGAGGAGAAAAGGGACAAAGAATCGCTCGTCCCCCTGGACCCTTTTCTTACCGACGGAGTATATGATACTCAAATGCTCCATCCACCATATGACCATCTCAAAGTCCTTGCTATTGTTAGGGTAGAGGATCTTGAAGCCGTGACGCAGCATATGGATACTAAAGAGAGGTAGGCCTCGGAGGTCAGGATCATCAAATATCTGAGTATCATATTCGCTGAGACGGGCACAAAGATTAAGCAACTCTGGAATGACTGACGGAATGAGGAGACAACCTGTGGAGAAAGAGAGATAGAGCATATAAATGTACAAAAATCAGCTCAATTATTTATAAAGCACAATGGCAGCAATTAATATGGTGCATCAGAATATGCAATAAAAGTTTTTTTGGTGAAACTGCATGGGAACAATTAATTTGCTCAAGACCTTTAGCCATGCAGAATTACTTAAAATGGTCACAAGACAAATGTAGCAAGAGTGAAGTAATGGGGACTCAAGATATCTCATGTACACACGTCATCTTGTGTGGATTAAATTACATACACATAATATCACATTAACTATTGTAAATGTATTACGACATGTAACAAGAAATGATGTAACAAGAGTTGAAATACAATGTAGTTGATCCAACTGCACATGTAGGTCAAGAGCACAGTACGTGTACATGTACATGGTAAGTGACAGTCAACTTATTAGCAACCACAAAAATATCATGTTGTATACTTGTACATACATGTACAAGTACATGCAAATATGAAAGTTTAGATTAATTTAGGAAGACATCAAAATGAAGGCTGAATAAGCATAACCAATTTAACATAACTTTCAAAGTACATGTAACGTATCTTGCATTCTCTGAAGTTAACACACGTACATGTACATTGTATGAAGTATGATTCCACTGGCTCCAGAAACAAACAATTAATGCATTTTAGTAAATTTTTAGTCACACATTACTACACAGAATGCAATTCATTGCTTATTTAAGCATGTTTTTGTATTAATTCTTTTGCTAAGCACAAAAATTTACCCATCCACAAAAATTTTACCGCCCACACAATGATGATGCATAAATGTTACTGATGAACTTACCATCACAGTGTCTTGATATGCAGGCAGTAGAGTAATTTGCGAGAGTCTCATAGTACCCCATTGGTAAGTGTATGGGATGCTGCTGCTGGTCAAACAACATGCAGAACCTCTGACCCATCACGTATTTTGATTCCAATAAAGCACGATCGTGATTGAGGCCAATATCGGACGCTATTTTTTGAAACTCGCGAAAAGGCGAGAAAACATGATCGTGAAACTCCCGAGTGAAATAGTATGAGGACTTGGCAAAGAGACGAGTGCAATTGAGTATACAAGAGCAAAGGTACTGGCACTCAGCCTCTTGGTTCTCTAGGTCAAACAAATAAACGTAGCCTTGTTCTTCGAGAGGGATCTTCACCATCTGACGGTAATTAGCAAGTACCCTGTTTAGCACCTTTAGGCTCTCGATCACGTGCTTCTGCTCTATCATAGAACGCTTGTAAAGACCAACGACAAACATACGTTTAGCGTCTGGGGATACGTACGTGTGAATGAGGTTTATCCAGTAGAAGAGGTTCTCGTACTGACAGACTGGGTTAGCGATGAGGTCCTCTAGCCCAATGACGACCAAATAAATCCCACTGGCTTTAAAATAAAGATGACTCATGAATCTATCAAGCTCAGGGAGGGGAAGGTGAAGGATGAACTGATGCTGTGGTAACATTTCAGTGGATACCGGTTTAGGAGTATTGCCTGGACTCAGGGGTGAGTTTATCGTCATGTCAGTCTCCGGATTATCCTGGAGGCTAGGGAGCTTCTCAAATTTGTTCATCGGCATTTCGCATCTTTGAATGAACTTATCGCTCGAGCTTATGCCTCTGAAGGAGCTGGTCCGTCTTCGCACGTGACGATTATCAGACTCCATGTTTAAAGTGATTGGACGCTGAATGAGAGGAGTAAGGACATCAGCACTTTCATCGTTAGTAGTGATACCGCTACCTTGAGACCCTCTGTGCTCTAACCTATTATATGAAGAAGAGTTGCTTCCTTGTGGCATCGACGTTGATCTTTTTGGTGGCAAATGACTCCCTCCATTCCCAACCCTCCCTCCTCCTCCTCTCACTCCGGAGGAAAAGTCCGCTCCTCCATTATCAGTGGGCGTGGTGGACCCCCTCGAGGCTAGCTCAGAGTAAGGAGGAGGGGGCTCAGCCTTCAAGGCAGTATACAGCTGCTTGCAAAGGCTGTAGTTATCGCCGAGGATAAAGAGAGGGAGAGGGAGAATGAGAGACTTCTCAGCAGGCGTAGAAGGCTTGAGTTGAGTCTCATTTCTAGAGGACGGTATAGTTGATGGAGGTATGTCAGAGGAGGCTACAGACTGACGGTTAGGGAGCTCACGTAAGGGAGAAGTACCGGAGGGATGACCCACCTCATTGGACGCACCACTGTTCTTCCGTCCATCCCTCTCCCCCATGTGTATGTATCTGATCAACATTTGAACATGGTGATCTGGAAGCTTCTTAAAGACATCAGTGACCTTCTCAACGCTCAGCCCATCCAGGAGTATCCCATTGATTGATTGTATGTGAGTATAGCGGCCAACCCTGGCGTAGAATTCATAGCGATAGTTAGAACTAATACTATTGATTAGTACTATGCGTTCAAATGGGGCACCTTCAGCCATCTGAAATGGAGGAGAGAGAGAGAGAGAGAGAGAGAGAGAGAGAGAGAGAGAGAGAGAGAGGGAGAGAATGAAATTAATCAATAATGTAGTTTGTGGATGCTTCACAATCGACTGCACAATGTATGAGTTGGATCTAATAATAATCATTAATTATACAGTGATTTCAATTTTAAAATTACACGCAGACGATGTAACGCTTAAATGTTGTGTAAATACAAAATGTAAATAGTGAAATTACTTCACATAATCTATAGTAACTGATAATGTATCAACAATATAACGTCATGCATATGTGAACTTAACTCTCTCTCTCTCTCTCCATACCTCACGAGTCATTATAGTCAGTCCCAGGGGAACCTCAGAAGAGACTCTAAAGTCTTCAACAAGTTTTGGATTAGCACTCCAGTAGGCTTTATCAGACTCCATTGGCTTTGGTTGAGGTGCTGGTTGTATAAAAAGACATAAAATAAACAAATGACAAAGAGAGTAAACCAAAACACACGCATACACAAATACACACACATTATACTATTATACACATAAACACAGATGTGTTGGTATGGATCTAACAATTCATTAAATACACACTCACCCAATTATGTTAATAATTCCTCCCCTACTCACTCCCTTTCTACTTTTCACTCTTCTCTCTCCCTCTCTCTCTCTCTCTCTGATTCTCTTCCTCTCTCTCTCTCTCTCATTACATAATTCCTATCATAATATCCTTAAACTTTCACAGTAAACAAATACAATACATTAAAAGGTGATTACCCTAAAACTGAATATTTCCCACCCACGCCCCCCTCACCCCTCCTCCCCCTCAACATTCACATATTAAAACTTTTCCCTATACACATGCTCTCATGCACAATTAATCCTTTCCCCATTCTTTCCCTACCCTACACCGTGTCACACATGTAAAATTGTAAATGGATGATAATCGTGTCAATAAGAAGGTACTATACCTTCAATGTCATTAATAATAATTAATATAATAATAATAATAATTACATGTATTATTATTATTATTATTATTATCCTCACCAATAAATATCCCCAGGGCAGATGCTGCTAGCACTGATGGCGTCTTTTGCCCGTCGAGTTTCACGTAGTGTTCCAAATAATGCCCGGATATTTTCTGTCGATATTCTTTTTTAGTTGAGATTTTCTCGGGGAGAACAACGACGACGTTATTCAGCTTAAGGTTCGTCGGTCCGCCTCCTCCTAGAGTAAAGAAATCAATCTCTTGCTGGGACTCAACCGGAGAGCGTGGCGTTCGCTTTAAAAACCCTTTCTTTCCTTTCTCAAAAGGAGGTAAGCCAAAGAAGAGATAATGAGAGGCCTTGAGTCTCTGTACCTCATCAAACCAGCCGTCATCACAATAGCTGCGTATGTGGCAAGGGAGATTCTTTGAGGTGTACCACTGGTTCACGTCGTGGGCTGCGTGATGCCATTTTCTGTCATCGTGAAGAAGGCATATCTTGTAGCTGTTCTGGTCAGGGATTCCTCCTTGGGACTTCTCCCGGTACAGCCTTATGAGCCTCTCTGTTTGTCTCTCGGCATCCTCGTTTGAAATGACGCCCTGAAAGGCCGAGAGAGTGTCTATATCTCCTCTCTGTCTAGGAGAGACAGAGGTAGAGACAGTATCCACCGAAGGAGATGCCGTCCTATTCGTCGCCATTGAAAATTTGTACCGTATATAGAAACTGCTTCTAATTCAACGATTCAAGATGGCGGCTAAAAGGAAGAGTAAAATAGAGGAAAGGTTGAAAGCATCCCTGGATGGAGGAGACTATTACAATGCTTTGCAGACTATAAAGGTCTTGTACAGTAGATACAATTCGCAAGGAAAAAGTGACGAGTGCATTTCACTGCTTTACAATGGAGCAAGTGAGCTTTTAAAGAAAGACAAGGTTAATCAGTTCAGAAACAGATAAAATTAATAAAAATAGTTATATTCATTATGCTATAGAATTACATTTTATTGGGCACAAAATAGTGTATTATTACTGGGCTTTTGTTTTAAGTAAGTATTGGTTGAAACTTCTTATTTTTGAAATGTTTAGTGGGAAAGCGGAACTGAAATCTCATTGATATTAGTCAATCATTTGAAAGACAAGAAATTACCAATCACTACGGATTTAATAAGTATGTGATACTGAATCCTTTTCCTTAATATAGCTCCTCTCTCTTCTCTTAAACAGACAAGCTGGAGTCTTTATTTCACTGCTATAAGTTCTTAAAAGATGAAGATTGTATTCAGCATCCAAAGCTACCTCTCCTTCGATTGTATCCATCCATTGCTAGTCTGGACAAAGAAGGAGCAGCCCGTCTTCATGCTATGCAGATCAACAGGGACTTGTTCATGAAGGCTGTTTTAAAGTGGGTGGTAGGAGGAAAGGAAGAGATGAAATAGAAATGGGATCGAAGAGATGAGTGATGCGAAGTATTTTTTTTAAACATTAAAGCAGCTGCTATCTTTTTTCTCTCCGCTTCAGGTGGACAAGTTTAGTAGATGAGAGTTTAAAATATGGTCACACCAAGCTACACAAGCTATTAGCTCTTAGCTATTTTCAAGGTAAGGTTTTCGTTAGTTTTGACATTGTTATAATAAATACATTATCTTAAGAGGGAGAGTTGGAAAAAGCAAGGAAGCATTTCCTGTATTGCGATTTACCGGACGAGTTTGGTCAGCTACTGGTAGACCTATCATACAAAGAAGCAAAGCCTCACGAAATTGAGATGTTCATCACACAGGCAGTCCTTCAGTAAGTTATATTACCTCTCTTATTTGTATGAGGTAATTCTTATCCTCTCTCTCCTCCCTCTTTTAGATTGCTGGTTTTAGAGAAGAAAGATGTAGCACTGAAAACATACAAGACATATTGTAGGAACCACTCGCTTGTCGGCTCATTCATGCCACCTCCTTTCCCTCACTATCCTCTACTCAACTTCACCTGGTTCTTATTGCATTCACTCGACATGTGAGTCAGTTAATGCAACCACTGATAATCCATTATTGTACTGCTTGTATATAGTGGAAGCACTGATGTCTTTCACTGTCTTTGTCATTGTTATATTCAAGCTATCAGTTGGGACCCACTTTATCACAATGTTAGTAAATACAATGTATTAATTTTCTTCATTTTGTCATCATTACCTTTCTCTCTTAGTATTTGAGTAAAATTGGCGATATATACTTTGGGATTAAAACAACTAAGGACAACTCTTCAGGAGGAGGTTTGATGGATTTGCTCAGTGGACAAAACATCTCAAGCTTAATGTCGTCTCTTGGAGGACTGCCTGATGAGTTGCCGTGGCAACAACAAGCACCAGCTCCAGTGCAGCAACTGCAAGAAAGCGATTTACTGGAAACTGTTGAAGGACTCGATTAGAATCAATAAATTATTTAATAACAATAATTTTGTACAAAGTAATAATAATTTAGATGCATTTGGTCATAATAAATCCAATGATAATAATAATAATAATAATGAATAATAAATAAAGTACATCAATGTGATGATTTCTTCAATTTCTTCCTATGCGAGCTGCTGCTACCAGTTGTAGTGCTAGTAGTGACATGATGCTTGCTGCTGGTACTGACTAGTTCTCCTGAATGATGCTTGTGCCTCTTGTGGTGATGGCGATGAGTCTTAGCTGAAGAAGATGTACTAAGCGTTGATCGAAGATCATCGACATCTCCTCTCTTCTCTTTGTGTCTCTTTTTCTTCTTTAACTTAATGACGGGGTCCTCCGTTCCTTCTACCCCTCCTGATACAGACGGAGAGGAGGCATGGTCTGTTTCCTTGGAAACCAGTAGACCGGCAGTCTTCATATCTGATCCATCAGTAGGCACAGCTTGAGGACTCTTAGAGCTTTTAATACTTTCCTGTGACTCTAGTACTTCACTACCATCACCATTGACTACTATTGATGGAACTGGAGTATCTAATATCCCATCTTTGGCCACTCCCTCAGCCACACCTACATTCTCCTTAGGTGGAGGCAGGGGAGATGAATGACTGTGCTTTCTTTTCTTCTTCTTATGATGGTGTTTGTGCTTGTGGGTTTTTGAAGGTTTCTCGAGGAGTCCCTCGTCTTCCTCTTTCCTTTTCCTTTTTCCCTTTCCCTCGGACGACCTGTGTCTGTGATGGTGTCTCTTGTGGCTCTTACTGCCACTCCCACTCGTTCGAGAGTAAGGGGAGCGGCTACGACCATATACGGGAGAAGGGGAACGAGACGAGTAAGAGTGAGAACTGTAAGGTGTTTGAGATCTTGAAGAATAAGACGGAGTTCTTGATCTGTTGCCACCAGCACTAAAAAAGTATTTTAAAATATTTAAATTTTCAGATACATGTACATGTACTTACATGTTCTGAAACATTTTCTGCTGCAGGTAGAACTCTTCCGCTGAAAGAGGAGGAGGAGAAGCATTCCTTTTATCAGCAGCTGCTAATAATTCGGTGAGTCTCATCATTGATGAAGGATCAGTACTAATGGGGAGACAAAAACAACACAGTACATGCGTCTCTAATAATAATTTTATTAATAATAAAAAATAATTATTATTATCCATTTCCTTAGTTAAGTTCCAAAAACAACAGTGTTTCTTTAATTCAACAACCATCACATTTAAAACATGTCACACAATATGTACATGTACATTAGATGAACATAAGCTTTTGTCTCACTTTGGTCTTGATGCAGCCAGAAATGGGTTGACTGCTACTACAGGAGGTAGTACAGGACCAGCTGCTGGAACAACTGAAAAGGTTGGTATAAGGACTGGTGGCTGGGTATGGGCAGGAGGGAATCTGTGAAGAGCTGGTGGGGGTAATACTATAGGAGCTGTGATGAGTGGCTTAGGAGGAGAAACTACTGGAGAGAGAGAAAGAGAGAAAGAGAGAGAGAGAGAGAGAGAGAGAGAGAGAGAGAGAAAGAGAGAGAGAGAGAAGATAAAGGAGTGTATTATTATTGTTATTATTACTTAGTGAGTCTGCTGTTGTTAGCAAAGGTTGTGATGATAATGTTGAAGGTGCAGAGCCAAGCAGACCCTAAATATACATACAAAAAAGAGATCAAAAGAGATCCAAAGATCTTGAACTTACAGCAGAAGGTGATGGTGTTCTGTCCCTTGAGGTACTAACAGCTGGTGGGGTCCTGTCCTCTTCATCTCTCCCTCCACCAGTAGCAGTAGCAGCAGCTGCTTCACCTCCATTAGTAGCAGCAGAGACTGTCTTAGGATTATTATCCTGCTCAACCTATCATAATGAAGTTAAGCAGTATGTATAATGCATAATTGCTTATTATTGCACTTACTGTAGAAGAATTTGAAGACTGAGAAAGGGACAATTTTTGAGACGAGTCAATGTTACTGCCATTGCTAGACTCCTCCTGAGACGAAGAGGATACAGTAGTAGACTGTGAAGCAGTTGAGGTTTGTACAGTAGAGACTGAAGTAGAGTCGTCCGATGATAAAGGAAGATTAATGGTAAGACCAGTAGACGTGACAAGAGCAGAGTCATCAGACAAGATGGCAGAGAGAGGGAGAGAGGGTGCAAGGGGTAAAGCTGACGAGGGAACTACAAGAGGAGCAGAATCATTGCTTGATATGACAACAGAAGTAGGAGCTGGAGCAGAAGAGACTGAAGTGGTCGTCACAGAAGAGGATGGGAGACCACGTGCCAATGCAATCCCTTTCTTTGCTGCCTGGCGACTCTGAAACTTTTTAGCAGCCTAGAGGTAAGGTGAAATACAGGTAAGGTGGAATAGGAACTAATAAGTGAGTGTAGGAGGAGCTTACAGCTCTCAATGATTTATTAGGCAGTAATGTCTCTGGTGACACGTCTGACTCCTTACAAGCAAAACAAGTGAAATCATTTTCCAACAGATAATTCCTAATACCTACATATTTTTATACAACAACAAAAAATGTAAAATAACAACAACAACAATTACAACTTACAGGGATCGCAGAAACTTTCAAAGCAGCAGTTAATAATTACTGCATCTTGTACAAGCTCCTTACAAATGGAGCAGGTCAGCTCAGGAGGTACTGCCTCCTCTTTAATCTCAGGAACAGGTGCTGGAGCCTTACGCTCTGAAGCAGCGGCTGCCCTGAATAATAATAAAAACAACAATAACAACAATAACAACAACAACAACAATAATAATGATGACGATGATAAAAATAACAATAATGATAAATGTAGATGTAATAGTTTATAACCATTAATGACTTACAGGTCAATTTTACGTACGACCACGTTACCAAAGCGGTCAAGCATTGCCCCAGGGACATCGGACGACGAGACTATGGACACGTGAGAGTTTGGTATGCCAGACGAACGCTTTAGTCTTGGATTATCATAATTTGGATCCTAGAGTAATAAATATAATATGAATGGTTTAGTTGAGTGTGACGTACTCCATTTGTGGGACAATATTTTATCAAATGCCCTTTCTGATTACACCTGTGACAAACATAATTAGGAGGCGGGGCCTTCATATTAGCAGCTGCTGGCCTAGACTTGAACTTAGCATAGCTAGGAAGGAAGAGAAACATGTACATGTAGAGCATGTTTAAAAAAACATTTAACTAACGTCGTTGGATTATAGTCTTCTCCTGCTTGACTCATCATCGCTCTAACCTTATCTTCTTCGGAAGCATTAGCTCCAGCAAGATCAGGTGTCTAAGACACAAAAATGAAAGACATGCTCTTTATAATGATTCTTCTACTATTATTATTATTACTTGTTTCAACTCATCAGCGGAAAGAAGAGACTTGTCCTACAAATTAATTGTAAAATTCACAATACATACTAATACACGTGTCACTAAAACCAGGGATATAATATACTAACGTTAGTATAATAAATCCCTGCTAAAACGCAGAGCAAAAAATATACACTTACAAACAAAATTATTTTAATTCATAACTATAATCAACTATAGGTATGACAACATAATTATTACATTATAAAAATAAACAAAAAACTTCTGGTTATTCTGTAACAGGCAATACCTGAGGGAAACTGTGATTCTTCATTCTGAAAGAGAAAGATGGTACTTGGTAAGTTGGTATAACCTTTTTTACTTACTGTGATGATGTTGGCTTTGTTTGTTTCTGAGGTTTGGGCACTCTCATGACAACAATGGTTGAGTTCCTAGGTATCATTGCATTGTCATCAGAATAAACTGGAAGAGAGACAAACCACAAAAAGGAAATTAGTAGACACTAGAAAGTATAATGACATAAAAACCAAGAGGGAAGCAAATGACATTATCAACCAAAGGAAGTGGTCTAAACATAATTTACTGGGAACTGTCATTACAGCCTCCACTCAAAAAAACCCAATTATGAAACAATGATAAAGTACTAACCAAAAGAAGTACATGTACAGGTACAAATGAATACAGTTTGCTTATTCCTCTCTCTTCCTCCCTTTGTGAAGTGGTGTACATGTAGTACATGTATCAACTATTAATGATTGTCTTACTTTTCTTTGTCTGGGCATCCATGATGTCCAGGGTGAGGTTATCGCTCAGGTTCATCTTTTTCAATGACATTATCTTCTCGCGGAGATCAGAGACAGATATCTGAAGGCCGTCGAATGTGACCTTGTCATATTCCAGTGCCGTTTTGAACTTGTAGCGAATACAAGACATGACAGTTGTACAACACACACACACACACACACAGGGAGGGCAAAAAAGGAAGAGTTTAGAGGGGGAAAGAGAAAAGGGATATTTACAGTTAGGATCTAAATGAAGAGGCTTTGTTTGATTTTTTAATTACAAACACTTTGTGACTCAGCGCAGTTTTTAAAATGGCTGCACAACCAAAAAGACACACAATTGACAAGATCCAACAAAGAATTCAGCCAAAATTGTTTTTGATATTTTAAGAGTTTCAAGTTCTTTAAATTGACAGAGTTTATGATTATCTGTAGTGAAGTATAGAGTACTTTCCTTCCAGCGAGTCTGAGCAGTAGTAATAACAAAACCAAAAGGGGTGGGCGATTATGAAAAGTTAATCAATCAAAATTCTGCCAAACTTTAAAGTCCAAAAAAGAGTCCTAAAAGAAGAAACATATAATGGGTTCCATTTTAAAGACTCACTTACTGTTATTTATAGGGTAAAGGGAGCAAAACTTCTGTTCTTCTTCTCACAAAATGGCGTCGTCTTTATTGTCATGTGTGTAAAAATCACGTGACCACTTGAGTAGGTGTGGTTTAGATCTAATAAAGGGTTAAAAATTAATTGGGCAGGGCCAGAAAAACATGGGGATACTGGAAAAGATTCAAGAAATTGAGAGGGAAATTGCAAGGACTCAGAAGAATAAAGGTAACTTCAGAGATATAGTAGCTTTAAAATGTTATTGAGTGAAGAATATTTGGCTTAATTAACTTTAAAATGGCTATAATTAATTATTTAGTAATTTTTTTTCTGTATTAAATATAAAATTACAAAAAAATTGTGATCAGAATTATCTAAATGGCATAAGGGCATAGTTATAGAGTAATAGAAAATATTGGTGGAGAACTGGATTTTATACAAAGTATGCTTCATGAGCTGACCAGCCAGAGCGTCTTTAAAATTCATAAAAAATCCAATTTTGATCGAAATCAGCTCAAACTTTCTACGCAACATAAGAACATGTATATGCATCAGAAAAAATCATAAAAATTTTAAAATCTCTCCTTGCCATTTTTGGCGAAATTTGGCTTGAGACACTGTACTATAGTACAGGGACTTTGGTCTGATTTTGGAGCAACTTTAAAAATTTATGAAAAATCTCATTTTGATAGGAAGTATCTTAAATTTGAAGCACAGTATTCAAACATGTATATGTATCAGAAAAAAATTATAAAAATGGAAAATTCTCTCGGAACCATTTCAACGAAATTTGGAGCAACTTTAAAGATTTATAAAAAATTCAATAATACAACATAGGAGCACATGCATGTATCAAGAAACCTAAAAAGCTGTCCTAGCCATGTTTGTGATAAAAATAGCCAAAATAAAGTGAATAATAATATATTTCTGAGCATGCCACCAATGCATTGCAATTGTAGAATTGTAAATATTAGGTCCCGCCATATTTTCCTGCTCTGTCATAAATGTTTCTATTATACTTTTGCAGCAACTGAGTATCATTTGGGTCTATTAAAAGCAAAATTAGCTAAATATCGTTCACAATTAATACAAGATCAAGGTAGCAAAACTTCTGGCAAGGTAAGGCCACATTTTGTTTAGTCAAGGCCGCGTGGCCTAACGGATAAGGCGTCTGACTTCGGATCAGAAGATTGCGGGTTCGAATCCCGTCGTGGTCGTCCTTGGCGATGTTTTTTTTGCTTCTTTTTTTTTTCATTCATTTTTATCCACAGGGTGAAGGCTTTGATGTCATGAAATCTGGTGATGCTAGAGTCGTTCTGATTGGCTTCCCATCAGTCGGAAAAGTAAAATTACATCTTTTTAAAAAGATTATTATTATTAATTATTAGTCTACACTTTTGAATTTACTCACTTCGACACACAGCGAAAGTGCATCATACGAGTTCACAACCCTCACATGCATTCCAGGAGTGATTGAGGTTTGTACAAATTACATTAATCAACAAGTGAATCAGATTTTGCAATTGAAGAGGGACAATTAGCAACTTGCCTTCGTTGTCCTTTTTTGGTTAAAATACCTCTTGCCCGTTTGAGGTCATGTTGGCATTTGTATTATCAATTAATTATCTCCTCCTCTCTCTTTTTTCCTTTTTCGCCTTTTTATTTTGGCTATCATTTCCCTCTCTTTTCCTTGTCTGTATGTATGTCCTTTCTTCTCCATTAGTATAATGGCGCTAATATTCAGTTACTTGATCTTCCTGGCATCATCGAAGGAGCCTCACAAGGTAAAGGGAGGGGGCGGCAGGTGATATCGGTAGCGCGTACAGCTGATGTTATTCTAATGATGTTGGATGCCAGCAAAGGAGAAATTCAAAAGTAAACAAACGCTCTTGTGAATTATTTCATTTATGATGTGTCCTCTAATAAACTTTCAATAATAATAATATTAGCGTGATGTGTGTGTGTACATGTATATATGTTTTAATACAGGGCACTGTTGGAGAAGGAATTGGAGAGTGTTGCTATCAGACTTAATAAAAGACCACCTGATATTTACTTTAAGGTAGATATACACATATAGCTTATCCAAGTGCATACTATAGTAACTTGTATTATTATTATTATGGCCAAGCTTTTGGTCCATAGCTTTGCTTTTATTTTTTTCCCAAATGGTCTTACATTGCTGGCAGAATATGCATCAGAATATATTTTATTGTGGTAGACAGTTTATAGAAGGAAAGGAAGGAAGTGTGTTGATTGTAGTAGTAGTGGGATTTTACTGGTTTCATTTCCTTTAGTACATGTACCTGGTACATCTATTCAGAGCCCACTGTGAATGCATGTACAATTGTACATGTACTGTATATAGTGCTGTAATTGTCATGGACTTGTCTGAAGAATTTCTGCCTTTTCTATTTTTTCATTTTAATTCTTAATGTGTACTTGCCTGAAGTGACACTGTGTGTGTTATGATACAGTATATGCTTTCAATACACGTTTGAATGAGCATTTACACACACACACATTACATACTATTTTCAATACGCTCAGTATCCAACATGTACATGTACATTATACATGTACATGTACATGCTTGGATGTAGATGTACATATCACTACTGTTTCTGTATAGCTATGATCTTTATATAGAGTGAATGAGTGTGGTTGAAATGCTATTTGCTTTTGGTGTCTGTAATCTGATATTCTTGTACCGAAACTTCTGGGACTACATGCCATGCATTTCTAATTATTGTTTATCTTCCTTCTCGCACCAGATTAAGAAAGGTGGGGGACTCTCTATAAATTCTATGCTGACTCTCACAAAAATAAGCGAGAAGATGGTCCAGATGATTCTTCATGAATATAGTATCCACTTTACACTTGGTATTATTATTATTATATGGGATATTGTTGTTGTTGTTCTTTTGCCTCTCTCTCTCCATGAGGCTCTCTGATTGACCATGCATATGATTATGATGAGTATTCATAGACTTCTTGTAAAGTCATTGTCATGAATACTCTATCTATTAATAGTAACTTGATACCAGTTCTATTTTTATCCTGCATCTTTTGAAGGATCAATTGTTGCCCATGTTAACAGTCAAGATGTTAATTAGTGGGTTTCTAAAAATTAGTCTTGGTCCATTATTATTTTTCTTGTTCTTAATACTAGGGGTGGTAGGGAAGAGTAGAGAGATGGGAAGCTAGCCATATAACATATGATAGCCCAGCTGGGCTGTGTTTTTGAATGTTGATTGATGTTATCTTTATCAGTGTGTGTGTGTCTGTGTGTATGTGTGTGTGCAATTCTTGTAAACTAGCTGGACCATATCAAAATGATCACTAGAAATTCCCTTAAAAGGAAGTAATGAACACTGTCACTGGCTTGCTTGTGATTACAAAGGGTGGCATCTAACAAATATTGTTGTACTCTGTCATTTCTGTTCATTGTTCCTTGACTTGTACATTTTAGAGATTTTTAATGCAGAAGTCGTCTTTAGAGAGGATTGCACTACAGGTCAGTTATGTGGCGTATGTATTTACAGTCTAAACATGCTGTCTACAGCCTCATTTATTATTCATAATCATAAGCTTCCATAATGGTTCAAGGAATGTTTTAAGTGACTGTTTCTATCATTTTGTGTGTTACAATTTGCACAGCACATCCAGTTAATGTGTGGCCACTCGCAGTCTCAGGCATTCTTTAGCATCCTCTCCTGCTTGGTGGAGTGTTAAAAATAGCACACTCATGTCCACTTATGGTCATATTTAAAAATACACATAACTTGATGTTAATGACACACACACACATCATGGGCATGCACTAGCAATGAATGGCCTCCCAATCCAAGGGATGATGTTTATCTTATACACGTGAATAGAGTTATACCCACCTCCCCTAGACTTTAAACTGTACACACACATACTGGTACACACAGCTGAGATGTGCAATAATAATAATATCCCATTAATATCCACTCCACTTCATGACTGAGCATGTACATATACATGTATGCTGCACCCCACAAATACGACAACTATATCATCTGGTATGGGTATGTGTAATCAATTTTCTTATGTTAACATTGCTGTGTTTATTTGATTTCTTTCACCACCTGCTAGACGAGTTTATTGATGTTATTATGGGCAACAGAGTCTACCTCAAGTGTTTATATGTGAGTCACTGCCAGCCAGGGCTGTTTCAATTTTGACCATATTTGGGCAAAAATTGTAACTGTCTCTGCCTGTTCCTTATCTCTATGCTAACTATAGCACATTATAATTACTATTACTATTACTATTTTTCAATTCTTTAGTGTTACAATAAGGTAGACACCATCTCTATAGAAGAAATGGACAGGCTTGCCAGACAGCCAAACTGTATTGTCATTAGTTGTGGACTAAAGCTCAACCTCGATTACCTTCTTGAAGTTATATGGGAATATCTTCAGCTGCTTAGAGTCTACACCAAGAGGAGGGGAGGTATAGCTAGGATATTTTTAAAAAATAAAATATTATGTACACACACACACACACAGAACCTCCAGATCTCTCAGGAGCAAGTTCCCTTATAATGAGAAAAGGCTGTACTGTAGAACACGTAGTATGTGTACAACTAATTGTAACCTTTACTTTTAACGCTGTGGTCTACTAATGAGCTACTTGCTAGCTATTTCACTAATTAACATATATTCTCTCTTCTTTTCTCTCTCTCTCTCTCCCTCCCAGTGTCACGCTGTTCATAGAACATTTGTCGACTCTTTCAAATACGCTTTGGTCTGGGTGAGCTCTTTTATATAATTGTTGTGGCTTTGTGCCCTTAATTGGATAGTAATGGGATGTAGGAGGAGCTGTACTGATGTTCCTACATTACCTAAAGATAAGTGGTAATATGGCACCAGCTGGCTGCCCATCTTATCATCAGGTGTATGTAGGCTGACATCATTACTCACCACTTCATAGTGGTGTAGTAGACTTAATATTCTCATGTACTTATTATGTGTGTAGCCAGTATTGTCTTGTGGTAAAGACAGGTGGTATCTTCCTGATCTGAGAATTGCTCTACAGTCTGTTGTGTGTACTCTTACTATTAGCATTGTGTATTTAAACACGTCTATATTCATCCCAAACCATAAACCACTTTATCAGTAACCATATTGTAGCCTAGAGTAGATTTTCATGTCTGCCAACTTTCCTAGTCACAATGTATCATCACTACATTGATTTGTTTATTAGGGGACTAGTACCAAGTATAGTCCACAGAGGGTTGGATTACATCATTTAATGCATGACGAAGATGTCATTCAAGTAATGAAGAAGTGATGGGCACTCCAATCCTCCAAACAATTATCTGATTCATTGCTGTTATTATTATTATCATTAATTTCTTATCAAAAAGTTATTAATCATTCCAAAGAATAATAATAATAATCACATACTAAAATGGTCTGCTATGGCTGCAAAGGAAAAGAAAAGAACTAAAATTAACAATAATAATAATAATAATACATGTAACAGGTACACAAATGAGTAATATTGTTACAATTAGTGACATGGAAGATTTGTCTATTAACAGACAAGCTATGAAATGTTCTATGAGAGAGAGAGAGAGAAAAGAAGGCCAGTTAGTGTACCAACTTTCCCAAATGCCGTTACTCGTTTAGAATTCCCACAGAGTTGCCGGAGTGACATCATCCGCAACTGGTTTGAAGTCACCATTCTGAGCCGACTGGATGCATTTTCCATTGGGAGCAACAATACACATACGAGTGTGAGCTCTGAACTCTATGAAGAAGTCAGAGCCTCCTGGAGCATTGGCAAGGATGTTGTCTCCCTCAACCTTCCATTGGTTGCCACTTGATGTCTCAAAGCGGTAGGTTCCAGCATTTCCCTTGAGGCGGAAGACGTCATACTGTGATCGGTTGCACTCGAGTATCCCAGAGGCTCCCTTGGACCCAACGAATCCAAACTCAGAGCGAAGAGTAAGGATGGGGTGGTTGATAATCTCAAGCACAAACTTACACTCTGCATCATCCACACCACCAGTTGCAGAGAGTTGACCATTACTTGTCACTTTGAGGTATTTACCATTGTTGGCTTGGAAGAGAACCATTGGGCCTTGCCAAACAATCGAGAATTGACAATCGGGAGAGGAGAAGTCATTAGATTTGGCTACAAGGTTGCTCTCGGAGTTCCAGAATTTGAGTTTCTTGTTACAGACGGCCCATTTGACATTCCCGGAGAGGTCACTGCGGTCAACGGCCATTATTTGGAACGTCTCATCATCGGTGACGTCAGTTTGGTTAGCGCGTACCTCCACTCCCTGACGCTGGGACACATACTTCTTGTTGAAGGCAATGAGAGTGATCTGTGGATTGGTATCTTCAAACGTGAAGAGCTCATCCTTAGAAATGGAGCTTTTACGAGACTGTAGAACTGCATTAGCACCGACACCAGCTAGGTACTTGCCGGCATTGTCGCGGAAGGCAACCTGAGTACCTCTATAGACGATAGTGTAGAGGCAATTATCATTGAGTTTCTCAACAAGAGCTCCGCTACATTCAAGGTAAGAACCGTTGGCTGCACGAATGGAATATTTGCCCTCATGAAAGTCAATGGAGATGGTGGAATCAAAGCCCCATGGAATGACTTCGTTGACACGTATTTCATTGTTTGTCACATCAAGATGTGCATATGCTTTCCTATTGACATTGAAAAGATTAAGTTGAGGCATGATGGCCAGTTGGATGGTCCAAAGGGAAGTGGCAGAGACCTCCTTGTCAAAGCCAGAGAGGTTGTCACCTGTGCCACCAAAATAACGACCATGCTTTGAGCTCTTGATGGCTACTTTGCCATCATCTCGGGTTTCAAGGATGAACCTGTTGTCATCACCGACCTCCTCAGCATCAGCTGTAATCTTGCCATCTTTGTCACTGCCCAGGTAGCGCCCGAAGGAGCTCTTTATGGCAACCATATCAGAGCCAGCGTCCTCAAGGATCCAGTATTGCTTCTTCCTCAGGCTGGTACCATTTGCATTGACCTTGAACTGGAATTTCTCTGCAGTGAGGAACTTGTTTGCACTGTTGATGAGGCCCACTGTCCAGGACTTTGCAGATGCGACGGCCATGACACTGTTTCGGAGAATATGATGCGGTTACTGAATGAACTCGGAGAGATACTGTGAGAGACTGGGAGAGAGGGTGCTGTTGCTGTACACCAACTGCTGCAAGGAAGAATAATGGAGGGCGTGTGCGTCTCTTGATGGATCTGGAAAGGGGCGTAGCTGGACTTGCAGAGAGTTGCTACGGAGTTGCCAAGCAACATCAACGTACTCTCACCCCATTGGTGGATGCGGTCAGGGAACACGAGCCGGTCTTTGGCCAATCAGATTCGAGGATTGACTCTTTATTACCATATTTGGTCAAAAATTGGTCTGAATCCACTTCTGGAGGGCGTGGCCGGTTGTGAGATTGAGATAATACTATCCGACACACTCAATCCTTCTCTGTTGGTCCGTCACTCTCTCCTGCGACAGCAACACTTTTGACTTGCTCTCTCTTCTCTTTGCCTCTTTGTCTTTTACAGCTCGAATCTTTTAGAATTAGAAATGGAAGACGACGTTGCAGCTTTGGTTGTTGATAACGGATCCGGTATGTGCAAAGCCGGTTTCGCTGGAGACGATGCTCCCCGAGCTGTTTTCCCCTCTATCGTTGGACGCCCTCGTCATCAGGGTGTCATGGTCGGTATGGGACAGAAGGACTCCTATGTTGGAGACGAGGCTCAGAGCAAGAGAGGTATCCTAACCCTCAAATACCCCATCGAGCACGGTATTGTCACCAACTGGGATGACATGGAGAAGGTAAATAGATAGCCTTTCTTCCTTTGTGAGCTTCTTTAAAGTTACTTGCTCTTTGTTTTTGCTTGCGCGATGTAAAAAGGATGCGACATTTAAATTTTTGCACTTATGAATAAATTAATTTTATTTTTCTTTCTTTTTCAATCAATAGATCTGGCATCATACCTTCTACAACGAGCTCCGTGTTGCTCCCGAGGAGCACCCCGTTCTCCTTACCGAGGCTCCACTCAACCCTAAAGCCAACCGTGAGAAAATGACCCAGATCATGTTTGAGACCTTCAACACTCCAGCTATGTACGTTGCCATCCAGGCTGTTCTGTCTCTCTATGCTT